AGTGTTATTCTTTATATAAAACTAACTTTTATTAAATATAATATTATATATAATAATAACTTACTAAAGTAAAAAAATTTATACTTAGTATAAGTTATAAGTATTTTAAATATATCTTATAAAGTACTTAATATAGCCCCTAGGTTCTACCTTAAAGCGTTATCTCCTTATATCTCTCTTTTTATCCCTCTAAAAAAGGTACGCTTAGTAGCTATATATATAAAGCTATCCCTACTAAGGTTATAGGTTCTAGCTAAGATTTACTTAGTACTAAGGTTACTACTAGTAGAAATATTATTTAAACTATTTTTTTTTCTTAATTAGTAAAAGCTAGGCGTTTTACTTATAGGGGCTAATATTATAAAGGTAGATTTTAGCTATTATAGCCTTAACCTATAGCTTAAGGAGAAGGTTAGCCCTAGAGAGTATCTTAATACCTTAAGTTATTACTTCCTACCTAGCCTTCTTAGTGCTACTATTTAGCTTCTTTATATATAGAGGTATAGTCTTAACCTTAATCCCTTTATCTTAGGTCTACCTTTAGAAAGTAGTATTACTATTAATTACTATTATAAAGTAATCTATATCTTAGTATATTTTATATAAGGTAAGGCCTTAATACTAATAGACTTATATTTAAATACTTATAGAACCTAGAAAACACTCTTATAGGTCTTTAAAATATATAAAAAGCTAAATAACTTACTTATAAACTTATTTTTAATAACTATTAGCTAGACGCTATTATTAAAGCTATTAAGGTAGTTAAAAAGATCCTAAGTAATCTTATAGTATAGTTAGATTACTTATTACTCTAATTAGCGTTATAAGATAACCTTTTTTATATAGGTTATCTAGTAGTAAATATAGTTAAGACTATTAAAAGCCTTAACTTTAATACCTTTTACCTTAGTAATAAGATACTTAAGCGCTTTAGTACTAAGGTGTCTACCCTAAAGGTACTAAAGCTAGGCTAAGTTATTTTATATTAGTTAATCTTAGTAAGATAGTTATCTAGAAGTGCTAAGGCCTAGTAGTGTTATTATAATAACGTAAACTATAGTTATATTACTTATAGGAATTTATCTAGAAATAAGATAAGTAGAGAGAGGCTTATATTTAAGAAAAAAGATATTAGTAACTTAAGTAAGTTACTTAACTATAAAGCTATCTTTATATTTACTATATTATAAAGTGTAGTCTAGACTAAAATACTAAATACTTATTTTTTAGAGTAAGGCTTTTAAGATAATATTTATATAAAAGTCTTTTATAAATACTATATCTATAAGTATAAGGTCTAAGCTTGTCCTGTCCTAGCTCTTAAGAACGCCTTTTATTATATAAGTGCTTATTATAAGTATAAGGTATAAAGTAGTACCTAAATTAACTTATTATACGTCTTCTTTTAGTATCTTAATAGTACTAGGTTCTAGTAAGGAAATATTATTTACTAAATATATAGCGCTATAGTTATCTAATATAGTACTATATAAAAAGACGTATAGGCCTAAAAAAGGTATAGTAAAGACACTATAAGATTATAGTTCTTAGGTGACTTTAGCTAGAAGTAATTATAATAAGGTAGGGTTAATAATATAAGTAATAACCTTAAATAAAAGATCTTTTTTTTATTATCCTTCTTACCTTTTTATAGCTATTTACTGATCTATAAGTAATTTATCTAAAGAATATACTTCTTAAATAAAGGTCTTACTTTAATTTACCCCTTCTAAATAAGTTTAAGTTATAAGTCTAGATTTTTTAAGCTATTAATTTAATTATAAATTTATTATATAAAAATAAATAAGACTAAGGTAGGGTTTTTAAAGTTACTAGTAAAGGCTTTTTTAATATATAAGTATTTTAAAATAGTCTATAAGTAAGTGTAACTATATATATATAAATTACCTTAAGGCTTAGGTTTAAAGTAAGGTAATTTATTTACTAACCTCTTTATAAGGTAACTTACTAGGGTTATATATATACTATACCCCTTCCTCTTATATTTTATAGTAAATAAGTCTTCTTTAAGTATACCTATAAAGATAGTAGTATAGTAATTAGGATTCTTAATATAAAACCTCTATAATTTATTTTAAATAATCTCTAAGAGCTTATAAGTTACTTAGAAAAAGGTAATCCTATGTAAGACCGCTCTAAGAAATAGCCTAGAGGTAAGTATGCCTTTAACTTTAGATATATTAAGGATCTTAGTGCGTATATATATATTTTACTATTTAGTAAGCTAGGTATTAGGATTAATACTAGCTTCTACTTAGTCTATAACTATAAGGTATTCTTTTTAAATAAGCGTCTAGTTAGTAAAGTTACTAAGCGTATTTTAGTATTTAGGAATTTATATTATTAAGTAAAAAGAGGTATTTTTTTATTTAAGTGCTTCTATTTAAGCTAGTAAAAGTAAGGTCTTAACTACTAATAAGTTAACCTAAGACTTAAAGGAGTTAAATACTTTTTTTTATTACTTATAAATAGTCTTTAGTATAGTTTTATTTAAGAGATATAATTAATAAGTAAGCTTTATATTAAGATTAGTTATTACACTAAGAAATACAACTATACAAAAGAGTACGCAGGTCACCTGTTTTGTTACTGTAATTAAATAGTTACACACTTATAAGGGTAATTAATATCTAACTCACCCCCTTAAGGGCTTACAAAGCTTATAGGCCTTGGACACGTTATGTTATATAAGGTAGAAACCCTAGATTCCTAGGTAAAGACCCTCTATTATGTGTGTTGTAACTGTACATCAAACTTAGTTAATTAACTAGGAGCTAGGCTCATAACCACTAAGAAATACAACCGTACAAAAGAGTACGCAGGTCACCTGTTTTATTACTATAATTAAATAGTTACACACTTATAAGGGTAATTAATATCTAACTATTACTAGTAGTAACTTATATTATACTTATAATATATTACTAATAGTAATAAATTTATTAATAGTATAAATATAAGTAGTATTTAGAACCTTATTAAGATAAGGATTACTATCTTTATTAATAGTTAGGCTATTTAAATTAATATATTTCTAAATATAACCTATTACTACCTTAATATATAAGGTTATATACTATATAAGCTAGTTAGCCTATGTCCTTAGCTTTTAAGTGCTATTAATTAATATAGTTATTATAAAAAGGCTAATAGAGAAATAGTTTATTTAAGAGAGAGGTATCTAGCCTATAGGTGCTTTAGACATAATTATTTAAGGGTATAGTATAAGCTAGGCTTATAACTATTATAAAAGCACTATTTAGGTAAAAAAGATTATAAGGAAAACAGCTTAACTATCTATAGTGTAAAGATAGGTAATCTAGCCTAAAGAAATACGTATTCTTTAAGTAGGTTAGCTACGTAGAGACAAGGCTTAGTTTAGAATAACTATTTCTCTGGTCCAGAGAAATCGGCCGACCGGAGCCGGATGCGCGTGATGCACATGAGGGCATCACGACATTACTTAAACACAATGCGATATACTAATGTGACCTAGGACATCACACTCCGTGCCAGTAATTTCGAATACCCCAATATGTACCATGTTGTTGTCGAGGTCAAAAAGTTCTGCATTACTACCCCCCCACCCAACAAGAAAGAAAGAAACAAAGAAAGAGAGAAAGCAGTAACAGGACATTTGAATTACCGCAGCTAGTTCTGGGGGTGGTTCTTGGCAGTCAGAGGAACATCAGTACCAGTTCTGTGGTCTTGGCCTATTGAGAGATGAGCACAAAAGTTCCGAATTTTGGACCAGAATATAGGGATCATCATGAAATATAATGAGAAGAGGCAATTAACACAGAGCGGAGCTCAAGCTGACCCTGAGAAAGGTCGAAGATAAGCCGAGCACCCTTGAATTGACTCGTAAGAAGACGCGTTGTGAGACATAAACAGGAGAGCCTTGCAGAGTCTAGATGGGGCCATGATACCTGTAGATGCACATCTCCATAACGACAAGGAGATTAGACATCAGCTGAAAGATGAGTCCAAGCCACACCAGTTTACGTTATAGGCATGCTGTCTGTTCATCAAGGATACAAAGGTTGCATATAACCTGCTGCCTGATCCGATATATGACATAAGATGCTGTTAGACCATGGCTTTGGGGGGTAAAGCAGCAGCATAAGCACCCAATTGCATTCCGAGATTTGTGTTTTATGGTTACACAGCGTCTTGCAATCAGCAGGCTGTAACCAATATTGGGTTTGCGGTCCCCAACTCCCCAGCAACCTAGCAGGGGCGATGTCAGATTGTACAAGATAGTGATGCTGAGCAGTTTATCCACCTATATAAGAGCATGCTTAGCATCAAGGGTTAGCAGGCTGGCAGCATATTCTTCCATTTAGTTTATTGGAAATATCCAGAACCCCTCATACCATTACACGCATAGCCAATAACAATCAGTCTTATTTAGTCGACTGGAGTGTATTCCAATGGCCTCAACACAAAACGACATTGAACTACGTCAACCTCCCGGTGTCGCGCGGGCAGAGAAGGCTCATACTTTTCCAAGTAGCAGGTCATCACCTCCAGACGCAACCCATACCGGAAACGCCCGAGGCCACCGCAAGACGCCTTCGGCGACTGGGCGACCAAACGATGACGAAACGACCGTTGACGCGCCACTGCTTTCGCGTCAAGCAAGAACTCCAGGGGCTATTGATGGAGATGGAGACAGTTGGTGTTACGAGATCGATCGGAATGACATATATGATCAGTCAAGAAGTCCAGAGGAGCACACGCGATGCGATAGTGCAGGACGTGTCACAAGCTATCGAGAAGCCCAGAAAGCTACAAGGTCAACACTCACCGGCGCAAACAAGACCGCCAGAGTACCAAAACAAATCGCTCGAAGCAGCTGGACTCGTCACCTTAATGGGTGGATCGTTCATGTTCCTGCCATAGCGATGACTGTCGCTATCTTATGCGTCGGCTCTATAAGGTTCTATTGGTACCCAGATGATGGGCCTCTTGTAATGGGTCATCATGTGGACGCCGACACCATCAACAACGTTCTCCAACTTGTGGCCAAGCTGCACGAGCTTCTCATTGTGGCATCGCTTTCTTCCATCGCACTAGCCATGTTTCGACGGTGTTTAGTGACAAATGGTGTTCGGTTAGGATTCCTCACGGGCGGCTATCGAGTCGGCGACCTTGGTTATATGGGAACGACAGCGTTCTGGCGCCAAGGTTTTGATACCTCAAGCCCCTGGGGTATACTGCTCCCAGGATTTGTTGTCTTCGCTACCATCCTGTCAACCACCGTCGGACCAGCATCCGCTGTATTGCTTGTGCCAACTCTCGGCTGGTACAAGATCGATAACTCGATTGCATTCGGAAACATCACTCTTCCCCTGCGGTATTCGTGGAACAAGGAAAATATTTGGTTTGCGGGCCGGCATGATGCACCTTCAGAATGCAAGACGGTTAAGGGCATATACAATGACTACTGCGCAGCAGGAGGTTTCCCACAGATATCGAGCTGGCTCCTGGATTTCGCAGCCACGGACCTGACGAACAACCTTGCGTTTCACTCCACGTCAGCCGATCTGCGACGACACATTGTTTTCACCCACGTCAACGACTCCGATGGCATCAGCTCAACCACGCTGTTAACCACTCCTCGACATTTTCTTACGGGTAGCATTGGCCTGTTTGAGAAGTATATCCATAGCTCCGAAGTGGGCGCGTTGTCACGCGAGCCCCGTTACAGACTCAACACCACAAGAACAAACCCTGAGAACTCAGAGGAAGAGTCGATACTTTATCAGCCATTTGTGCAGTCGACATGCAGGATTCATGATAAGCATAAGTTGGTTGAGGATCAACAGCCTGTCTTTTATCCTGTCGACTCACTTAACTGCTTCCATGATGATGACTGCGAATATTTTCAAAAGAATCGTAAGGAATTCGACGAAGGCTGGCTGACGAACCCGAATCTCGATGTTGACGTGTCGATTTCCACAAATTTCTTGGTCAACAAAAAAAACTCATCCATTCTCTTCCTTAACGGACAGATACCAGATGATTCCTCGGGCGAATCAAAGGACATAGTTTTCCTGTGCAGCTTAATCGGAAGCTGGGCTCCGTCGAACTTCTCTGTCGACGCCAAAGCCAGTGATATACTGCGATCTTCTCTTAGCCAAAGCAGCACGATGCGAGGGTTGTATGAAAGTGATTCCATGGTTGAGGTCCACACCGTGAGGTTCTCTAGTGCCTGGTTCCAAGCTCTTAACCCACGTTGGAATACCACCAACACAACCAGTGTCACGGCACTGCAACAGATTGTTCAAACCTTCTCCTCCACGGAGAGGCAGAACGGGATTACCCTGCCGGTGTCAGCACCTTTCAGCCGTGACAACAAGACCGGAGCAGAAATGTTTCTCAGCAAGGTATTCGGGGTTTATCTTACCGAGGGTCTTGCTCGAAGCACCTATAAACACCAGAATACGCGTGTAGTCCTGAATAGTAGCAGCGATGAGCTGGCGTATATCAACCTCAATGAGCAACACGGCTATCGTGGCGGAGTACACAAGGTGACCCCGTTAAATTCAACTTTTCGTCTCGAGAGATGGCGGGGCAAAGACACACCTCTCAACGGACCCTTCGAGGATTTTCAAGCAGCTTTCCACAAAGACCTGCCCATATACATCGTCGCTGAGCGCCACGGATATGGATCTGGCCAACAACGTCGCACATTACATTGGGCCCAAGCTACGATGGGCATCTACCTCGGCACTGTGGCCATCTATGCATTGGGGGTGGGTGCCATGAGTGTTCTCGAGTTCTTCGAATACGAGCCAGGAGGGGTGGGGGTGCGCGTTTTGAGCATCATACCGTGGTCGGACCTCCAAGACCTGATGATACTCGCGCTGAAAACGCCAGTCCCCAACGACGAGGATTTGGCGGATGCTGGAGCGGGTGTTACCTCGAGCCGAGTCTGGGAGAAGACTGTTCGAGCTAGAGCAGACGACGAGCGCAACGCACAATTGGTGCTCGGAGAGACAAATGTCACGAGAAGATTAGACTTGAATGGTCAAGAGGGGTATTATTAGAGTCAACCAAGCCGTTGTAACTTCATTGCATACTGGAAAATCCCAGATGTAAATCATTCATCATTGTGCACGATATTAAAAGCGTCCTGATCGTCTAAATGTTTCCACCCAGCTCTTCTCTTTTGCATACCCCCTCATGTCTCACGTCATGGAAAAGACGTATTTTTAACAACATTAAATGGTGTCAGAGAAGGCAATTTTTGTATACGTTTGGTTGGTATAATGTCATTATACGGCACTTGCTGTACAGACTTTACACACACCAGGTTAGCTAACATAAAAATGCATGAATAGAAGTTGAGAAGATGAGGGAAATATTGATCAATATTATTAGTTAATTATCTGTAGTTCCTAGCTTCTTCAAGGTGGCAATACAGTAAAACAGAGCAATCTGAGAAGGACAAAGGGACAGAAAAACATAAGAAACCCCTTCAAAAGCTCTACTGATGAAACCACTCTGTACTCTACTCCCCAACTTCCATCAGTGGAGCCATGAAATCCCTGGCTTTCGATTGATTAACCATATGGCGTGATATGCGGTCTTCCTTCTTGATCACGTATCCCTGAATGTTGACTTCCTTGCTCTTCCACTTTGGCTGGCGCCTGTTGAGTTCCCCCTTTTTCGGTTCTGGGTCTGGCACCAGGGGGCCTGGTTTGTAGTCAGGGCGCTCACTCATGCGGTAATAAATAGAAGGATGGATCATCTCCTTTGTGTCACTTCCCTTTCGGAACTTGTCCTCGTAGTGGCCTGGCGTCCTGTCGGTATACATGCGGGGTAAGAGTTTCAAGAAGAATACGAAGATTCCAAATATGTAGAAGCTCTCAAAGATTTTGAAGACGTCAATGGTATCTCCTGTGCCCCAAATATCGGCTTCCCTGTTATTGTCTGGGGTCGGACGTGTGAGAGAGACCACTGAGCGCCACAATCGCCGCAGAAATCCGGGTAGGCCCGAGTTTCTTTTCTGTTCTAAGCTGAAAATCAGGTAATCGCGTGCTTTGATTTCACGATGGGCAAGGCTCGAATAGTTGTCTGGTTTGCCTTTCACCTTCCCGTCGTCGAGACGAATAAACGGCGCGATTTGATCGCACATCCAGGAGAAGGTGATGAGAGCGATTTCTGTTTAGGAAATTGGGGTCAGCGGCCCTGCGTGTCAGTCACGTACTGAACACGTTACTCACGTTCGAAATCGTATGAAAAGCCGGCCAGGTCGGCTGAGTTGCCACCTCCGATGTTGACATGGCCACCGGGAAACCAAACCTGGCGCAATTCCGGCGTGAAGTCTCTTGGCTCCTTTGCCATATGGACCTTAACCACTTTATCCCACGCCTCATTGAGCTCTTTCTCAGTTACATCTTTTTTGATCTTACCATTGGCAAGGTCTTCAAAGTAGTCGTTGACCTCTTTCTTATCGAGAGACTCGTAGTTCTCCAAATCATGCTTTTCTCTTTCAGTTTCTTCTGCGTTCGGAAGATGCCAAAGAGTAGGCGCAAAGGGAGCCATATGTTCATCAAGAGCCAACGCGTGAAAGGCATGCTTGGTGTCTGAAATCATAAAATTAGAGCTGGTCAGCAAGGCCGAAAATCCATGCGCAAAGCAGTGTTCTAAGAACGACATGAACGTACAGTTACTCAGGGAAGTCCTGTAGAATCCTTGGTAATCGATACCAAGCTGTGGGAGGTAAAGCGCGATGCAGTTGAGAAACCTTTGGACCCAATACAGGCCAGGGATTCCCAAGGCACCAACAGTGTCGAAGACGCCTTCGACTTCTATGACTCTGCTCGATTCCGGAGGGAGGCGGTGCCTTTTTCGAGTCTGTTTGCCTCCCTCGAATTGGCCGGTGATCCACTCCCTGTAGGCCTTGGTCTGGCGGAAGGTTGGGCCGTCTGTGATGCGATACTTCCGGTAGAGTTCGTACAGATCCGGAAAGTCGTTCATCTCTTTGGGCCGAATGACGCCAATGTCCGTGATGAGACCCGCCACCGCGCGAGCCGTGAAGGCGCCCCGGGAGAAGCCGAAGCAGCAGATCTGATCCCCCGGGCAGTAGTTCATGACGATGAAGTTGTAAGCTTTGATGACTTCTCCGACAAGGCCGTCGCCGAAGATTGCCTGTCGCAGATTCTCAAATAAGCTGACACCAGTACCCGCGCCTATGCCTGAGCCATAATACACGATCTGAGGACAAGGGAATTCGTCCTCGACCTCTTCCGTCATTTCAAACTCATTTCCAATCCCTTTCTCAATTCGGATTTCCTTCTTCTTTTTCATCTTCCCAGTGCGCGCAATGGAACGAGCAAGTCGTGTGACGTTGGAGGGAATGCCCCACCGCCCATTCACGGACGACTGCCAGGTGCCATCGCAGCATATGATGATGCGCTTGGGAGTAGGTGGGGGGAGCTGCTCTTCCTCCGGGTCTTCCTTCGGGTCTTCCTCTGGCGCCTGACGGTAGTATCCACGACCTGAGTCTACTGAAAGTGAAAAATACTGGGCGCCGCTGGCTGGAGGGCCGTCGTCCACGGGGGCGAACCCTGGAGGCCTTACTTCGAAGGACGTCCAGAGGTCCGAGGAGTTGGGGCTCAAGTTCGTCATCTTCCGAGAAAGTGGATAGGTGAACGTTGAATGATGACATGTGCCTTGGCCATGGCAATCTAAGCGGAGGGGCTTCGGGTTCTTATAGAAGACGGGGGTCTATTGATAGCCTCGTCTTCTTCTTCTTCTTCCTCCAGGAAGACACGACTTATGCTGCTATGTGATTTGATTACTGTATTGCTACTTGGGTTTTGAACTAACTTTTGGTTTAGTGGTATTTAGCTGAGGCTGAGACTTCGACGAAATGGTGGAGATACTTCTGGTCAATAAGACGGCATGTGACATGGCACATGGAATGCAGTCATGCCAGTCTTACGGCCGGAGAAAAAAATATATATTTCAGCTGGTACAGCCATGAATCAACGTCTCGGTCGAGATGCGTGGTAAAGAATGGAACCAAGCCGTTTGCAAATGAAACCTCCACGAGCTGTGCTGAGACATGAAGCTAGGCAAGACGGATACTGCAGTCTGCAGACCTAGCGATCAGTTCGAGACTGCCATCCTGTCAACTCACGCTAAAAGTCGATGCATGTATTTCATTTTGCAGTGCGTGTGTGATCCTGTTAGCAAAACCCTCACCGTGGTTTTGCGGTGTTTAACCAAAGTAAACACGAACCTCACTCACAACGTTGGAGAGACCTTCCTAACCATAGGGCAACCAGAAATACCAAGGTACATTGTCCAAGGCGGTCCCTCCTAATGTTGCACAGATACATAACGGCAACCCGGAATACGACCGTATGCCAAAACCCAGCTCGCTGGATCCGGGCACACACCAGTTGGTGATAGGTCGGCGCATGATGATCAGAAATGACAGCTCCGTGTCATTGGCCGAGACTGAGATTGGGTGGCCGATAGCGGCAACTATTCCCTCCCACCATCCCCACCAAACGTAAACTCAATCTTCAACCATAATAGTCAACAAATGCGAGCCGCCTCACTGGAAGAAATACGAACGAATCAGGTCATGCAGTCTTTTGCATTTACTCTCTCAAGCCTGTATCCAACAGAACCGGGCAGCACACATTTCCAGAGGGGGGCACTGAATCCATGATTTCACGCAGACATTGATCTGCCCAGTCAGACAACACCCGCTACAGCTGCTCCCTCCTCGCACCTCTTGCACCCGCACTCGAAGCCCCAATTCCTCCTCAGCGTCGACATCCTCGTCTCCCTCGGCATCGCCTTCTCCTCCCCGCCCAGGTAGGTGATGCACAGCTGCTCCCCCTTGCCGACGTCCCTCGACGCGCGGAACTCCCACGCCCGGCCCTCGCGCCTCTTGTCGACGTTGGGGCCGCACGAGTGGTTGAAGTAGCTGGCGGCGGGCCAGCAGCCGTGACCGAAGAGCTCGGACCCCTCGTCCTCGAGCGACCGGATGCCGAAGGCGTTGTGGCTGTCGCGCGAGGAGAGGGTCAGCAGCGACTGCGGCGTCGTGAAGGGGAGCAGCGGCGGCGGGAGGACGGCGAGCAGGTGCAGGTAGGTGTGGGTGAAGGCGCGCAGGTCGTCGGCGCTGGAGTAGGGCGTCGGGTCGACGGCCAGGGAGAGGACGTGCTCCCACCTCTGCGGGGTCTGGTACTGGGCGATGATGCCGCTGACGCAGAAGCCCATGATGTCTGCGTGGACGGGTAGTTGGAGCGCCTTCTGGACGGCTTTGCGGTGTTGTTTTGTGACCGGCCCATTGCCGTTGCCGTTGCCGTTCAACGCCAGGTTCTGCGGTCCGCCTTCGATGTCGTCCGTCAGCTCCGCCATTCTGAACGTCAGTATCAGATCCGCCTGCGTCTTGGTAGCATTCCATGCTTGCGCAATCTCCTCTGGGGTCGGTCGCGGCAAGTCAATATCCACCAGCTCGCTGTCCTCTTTGCTCTTCCTCTTGGCCAGCTTCTTAACCTCGGCCCAGGCCCGGACACCTACCTCACCATTCTCTTGCCGCCACGTCCTCTGGCATTCGTCCGAGCAGAAGGCGAAGCCCACGGTGTGGTCCTGGATTCTCAGGTCTCTGCCGTAGTTGTAAGCAAAACACCGCCCGCAGACCTCACGCCTGTACTCCTGCAGGAGGGAGGACACGGTGAGGTCGTCTGAGCGCCATAGCAAGGTGTTCGCGACGATGTCCCTGGTGGCGAAGACGGCGCGGCCGGCCGTGGGGGTATCACGGATCTCAAAGTGCACAGAGGTGGCAGCGCCCGAGAGCAGCGGCTTCGGTTTGTCGTCAAATGTTGCTGCTAGAGAGGGAGCGGACGAGGCGGAGGACGGCCTCGAGGGACTCGATGCTGGGTAGTCCGTCAGTATCGTCGAAGCGTCGCTGTCGACGGAGTCCATTGCGAGTGATTCCAGGTTAGCCGTAGCTTGTGAGTCAAGTAGCTTTTGTGTTGGATGGTCAATGCGAACTCTACGATGAGACGAGCCGACGAACTACGGCTTCACATTAGAACATTGAGTGACTGGGGTTGATCGAGGCTCCTCGGAAGCACCTACTGATGGTGTAGGTGTCAAGATGCAAGGCTAGCGGGTGAGTGTCTGTGGTCAGCTTCTTATATCACGGACGAAGTTGTTGATGGTAAGAATTTGAACGGATGCCATGCTGCAGCTCTGGTTCCTCTAGAATACGGTTTGTAGGTAGCCAGATGAAGAGTGAACCGAGGGAGAGAGTCGGTGAGGCCGGTGGCTAGAATGTCTTTAAATATTGTGGGTGGGTCAGGACCCTTAAAGTCGACGACTCCGGACTAGTGCGTGGCGGGCAATTTTGCGATAAGAAAGCGGCGACAGCATGTGAATAGGAAATTTTCCTTCGCACTGACATGAATTATTGGTCCAACATCCTTTATAGTCCGATATGACTGGGTCTCCCACAGGATCCTCAAGTTGCTATACATGCAGTGTTCAATGCTACTTGCTTCCATCAAGCCCTCTACCTAGTACCCGAATCGCCGGCCGGTACGATACTTTTTCTGTTATCAGACTCTTGAACACCTAGTCCGTGTGTCTGGTATCTCGTTACTAGGTGTCTCGGCTTCCCACTTTTCTTGACCCTGCATGGCAGATTAGCCAAGCCTAGATCATCTGGCTGCCACGTTCCTCTCGGACAACTGTGGGGAAAAAGATGGGGTCAATCTGTGTTCAGAATAAGAAGCTGGCTGCCCTTGGCCAATGGGATCTAGGCAAGGACAGCAATGTCTTGGAGGTCGAAGAGCCGGTGAGAAGAGGTCTATTAGTGACGCCTAATCTCGACGCACGATCTAATGCAGTCCAGTCCAATATGAAACAGCTGCGATAAGAACTGACGAGTCACGTACTTACACCTTTGACGTGGACGGGCACGATGCCAGCAGCAACCGGGACCATGTAATCCAGCGGGTCGAGGCACTTCCGATATGCTCAATTGAAAAGTATAACTTTACTTTTCCCACTGCCTGACGTGCTCTGGTTGGCTCTGTTTGACTTTTGTATCTACCGTTCCGCCTTTGGCGGTTCCCGGATCTTTCAAACCTTGCTAGCAACAGCCGAGTGCTCGCACTAGTCGGAAACCTCGTTCGTCATTTTGCTGTGAATATCCTTTCCTGCACTGTCGAGTTTCTTTGTCCACTTGACTGTAAATCTCTAGGCCAGCACCTTTACCCTCGCACGGTCTCCATAGAGTCATTGGCCTTTAACCCTAACCCTAACCCTACCCTATAGATGAAGAGGCTTGTCAAACGATTGTAAGACTCAGAACAAGCAGCCAGCTGCGCGTATATGAGACTTAAGAAAGGTGGTATACTATAGCAAGTAACATGTTCCAGATATTTGAATAAACTTAGATGGCTAGGCTCCTGTGACAATGTATATAAAGAAAGGCTACGAGACTACGTGTCAGACCACAGATGCCGTCAAAATAGGAAGATTTGCGTCGTCTCTCGAAACAAACCCCTTGACGAAGACGGGAGAAATAGACGTCATGGCTGTCAGGCTGATGTTAAATGAATTTGGATTAGTTATTGAAATCCTATGGTATCCCGTGATATATAACGCCAATGTATGAAAGTCATCTCCGCCAGTCAGTAACGCCGCTCTCCGCAAATCAGGTCAACGCCCCAAAAAATGAGACGTGATGCATCCATCCTATCGATGCAACAAAGACAAAAGCCCCAAGAACAATCGAATCCGCCCCAAAATGGAACCCTGAACCAAGACACCTAGAAAAAGCGCATCGACGAGGTCGTTAAGCCGGAAGCACTCGTCGTTGCCCCCCAGGGCGTCCGTCCAACACACTGCAAGCACCTCCGCTGCGCGCCGAGGTTTGTGATGGAGCAGTGCGAGCAGACTTGCCTGCCGCAGGCGCCACAGGAGTGGTCCGCCTCGAAGCCGGCGCCGTAGCTGCAGGCGTCGTCGATGTCCATCCCGTCGGCCGCGCCGTCGGAGGAGCCCAGGCCGGTGCCGCAGTCCTCACAACTGATCGGGGAAAGCGCCGCCCGGTCGACGAACGGGGCCGAGGAGGGGTCCGGGTTGGGCGGCGGCGCAGACTTGATGGTCCAGAAGCTGTGGAGAGACTTTTGCATGTTGCGTGCGGCGGCGGGTACGGGGGAGGGTTCGGAGTCGGCGTCGCGGGCTTGGCTGATGGCGTGTTGGGGCTGCTGTTGCTGGGCGGAGTAGAGCATGTTCAGGGTGCGTTCTGTCGACGAAGGGGAAATTCTGTCAGCATTCTGTTCCGAGTCGGCAACGGTTAGAAGACGGCGGCGGGCAGGACTCACGGTGGATGTGGTTCTCGGACGGTCTGTTGTCGCGGAAGCGCTTCATTGTGCGGCTGGGAAGATGCGATGGCGTCACGTAGGCGCGGGGGTACATGGGGCTCGGGGAGACGGGGGAGTCGAAGGACTCGATGCTCGAATCGGAGCGGGCAGGCGAGGTGAAGGAGGTGAAGAGGTCGGATTCGGAGCGCTTGCGCTTGAAGGCCATCTTGAGATTGTGGACGTGGGGGGCGTGAAGATGTTGAGTGAGGATGTCGACGTCTTGGAGAGACAGGAAGGATACGGCGTAATGGCTCGTTGGAGAGGAATTGAAGACGCGGTGATGGCGAGGTATAATGTTTCCGAGGGGTGATTGACGATGTTGTGCTGGCGGAGTGAGATGGGAAAAGGATTGTGTCACCACTTTAGCCTGGCGCGTCGCGTTCGTGTGGCTGTTTAGGCGGGCAATGGCGCGCCAGGTTCGCGCCAGGTCAGAGTCCCCCCGCTGCTTGTTAATGGGACCCACTAATTATGCCCTAAACAGGCTCAGCGTTGTTCCTGATCTCATACTTAGTTGCGGGCCATGGCATGCTATGCAAAAGCCCCTTTCGTGATCAACTAGCTTGAGGGGCTTAATCTTTTTAGGCATCAGATCTTGCATAGGGGAAGGCATTCTTGGAGAAGAAACACCGACATCCGGCCCCGTTGCCCGCGTACCGATAAGCCGGCCGGCCGTCTTGCCGTCCGGAGTCTCCACTCGCCGGGCCGCTCTCATCCCGCCGGCTTCAGTCACCATTGGTGAGGACCCGTCAAGCGAATGAGAGCATTGGGAAGAGGGTACGTAGGCGATAAGAATTTAGGCTCTTTCCATGTTACAACGTTGGCTCCGGTGGCTGGTATACGTTTGACATGCCCTAGCCAGGAACAGGCCGACTGGCTTCGTATCAATCCCTCGGGTCCGTTCCGTCATGGTAAACTTTCGGCTTGGGCCGATGGCTGAAGGGTTACCGGCAGTCGGTTAAATCACCCCATTCCTAAAAAGACACCGCCGGGTTTCGGGCCTCTTGGCAGCAGCGTACACATTACCCGGGCCGCGCACCAGCAGCATCAATGGGTGGAGGATGCTCCCCCCCCCTGTCTCCCTTACTACGTAGAGACGCAAGACACCACGTCTCCCCGGAGTGATGATTGAGATGGCCACCAAGCGACTTTACTCCGCCACTGTAGCAGGCAAGTTTTGAGGTTTTGAGGTTTTCGAGCTTTAGACAAGACGGGCCGGTCCCACGAACCACGTACATCCACGCACGCATCCTCCGCGCCTCTTCCCCCAGAGACCAGTGAGCATGCCAAAAGACGAACGATTGAGCAGGCTGATGATTCGGTCGTCTTTGGCGGTCTACGATGAGGCGGCGAAGAGGTTACCCCCCATCATCAATTAATGAACCTCAGATCCACCACGAGCGTGTCCCCCAGCTAGCCAGATGATTCCTTATAGCCTCAGCTCCCCCCCTCGTTATTTAGTTAGTTTCTTCCTTTTGTTCTTTTGCCTTTCTCTCTCAGGCTTCTTTGTTGTGGTACGAGTCACAACCGCACTTGGAAGCTCTTGACGTACGGGAAGCCTTATTCTCGGCCCGAATCTTGGGCGTTTTAGTAAGTCTGCTATCCCTTCAATGGCACGGAATCTTGTTGCTGACGGTCGCCGCAGCCATTTGGCCGCACTGCCCCTTTAACCGAACACCGCCCGACCTTCCCTGTGTCGTGGGGAGCCCATCGTGAGCATGAGCCCCGATCAGTCGCGCTCCCTTTTTGGCGAGACCGCTGGCCGTGACCATGACGATGGTGACTTCACAACCCATCCCATAAACTATCCCATGATTCACCCCCCGCCGGCCTACGGTGGCCACCATATGATGGGACAGTACGGCTACCCTCAGATGCTCGACATTTCTGAGACCGATTCTGGCCCTGTGGCTTACCTGCAATCGAACTTGCCGGTCCGGTACCACCCGCAGGCTCCGGATGTTCAACAGTCAGAGCCCTGTCAGGCATTGGCGTATGTGAACGCTATGCTACACACCATCCCCCGCTCCGGGAATGCAGTCCCTCTCGCGCCCCAGCCCGAGTATTTGACCCCAAGTGGCACTGCCACATACAGCCAGTATTCGTCCTCCCAGAGCCTGGTATTCGACCAATCCCACCTGAATCCTTACTGGGCATGGGACAGCGCCAGCGCCATCAGCGGACACACCAGCAACTCGAGCCGCCTCGAAATATGCTATTCCTGCGGGGAACCAGTGAACTCGAGGCAGATGCAGCGCCATATCCAAGACCGTCACCGGCAAGAAGGTGACCAGAAATACGTTTGCAAATGCGGCCACGAAGACCCAGCCCTGCGCAAATGGAACTACACCCGGCACCTGGACAATTGCAAGCGGATGGACAGACCGGGCCAGGTTTTTACCTGCAGATGCGGAGATGCACTGAGTGAGCTGCCGGCTCACCTGGACCACATCAAGGACTGCGGGAAGAAGAGGGCCGGGCGGCGCTCGAAGAGAGCTCCAACAGTCAACTGAGCTGGGTTGGCCGTCTCTCCGTCTCGCTGCGGCCGTATTTTCGGGACTGGTCGGAAATGCCATCGCTGAGGCTCGACAATGGCCCTTTTGCGCTTTGACATGATCTTGATGCCTCCCACCTAGGAGCGTTCTCGGCGCTAAGAGTTGATAGTGATAACAAATACCTTTCGAGTCTCCCGTCTTGTCTGTCGTCTATTAGCCCACTTACTTGCATCCCTGTCATGGGGATCCTTGATGTTCTGATTTGCGTCATGTCCACTGTATAATTAGTCAGTGCACGCGGCTACTGTTTTCCCCTCCAAGCTATTCCGGGCCGGCGATGGTCTCTGCTGACAGTTCCAATCGAGCCGTACACGCAGCATTATCGACAGCGCGATGAGCCATGTTCGAAATGAAGCTTCATACTCATCGACGCGATGAAAGAAGAACCCAAAGAACAGCTTCCCATACTTATATCCCATCGATTCTTCTGCCTGGAAAGAAACGGATCTGACCTCGTGACCTTCGTATCAGTCATAGCCCTTTGGCGGCCTCCATTATGATCCTTTAACCCTTCTATTAATACTCGTGCAGTTGCGTGATTTATTCCTGGGCCAACTGCGTAAGGGAGTATCTCAAGGTCTCCCCAAGCGCACATCTCACGACCTAATCCCCCACCCCCTTGCCAATTCAAGGCAGCGGCTTATCAGTTGCGTTTTTGCTCAGCTCGGAAGAGGGGGCTGGGCCCGTTTCGGCACTCTTGCTTTACGCATTGGTGTTGAGGTGCATTTCTGCCTAAGTTCGGTGAGACTCGACATAGCCATTGGCCCTTGCCTCATTTTGGAGATCAGTTCTAGAGCCGAAGCGAGATCGCCCCCTCGCATTTTCTTTCCCTATCCTGCAATTTGAGGATAAATCTTCCAACGAGTACTGGTCCCCCCACCGTGAGGGTGTATTGATTGATTGGGAAAAGCTTGCAACCTCATAGCGCCAGACGCCTCGTTGCCTTTCTGCTGCCTAGGGGGTCAGGTATTGGAATGGCTTCCAAGCGCGAATACTCATATACCCGGCGCTTTGCTGGGAGCCTCGCTGGTTCGCCAATGAACCCTCATGACAAAAAAGAGCCACTGTCTCACTTTATCGCGATGAGGCCCACTTAGATGCGCTCTTGCAGGGTTGCGCTGGTGTCACATATTGGCGCACTGGAGCCTTGTGATGATGCTGTTATTGATAAAGTGTAGTCATTCTAGACACCCATAAGCGGCCCAGAGCACTTCACCTCGTATATGAAAATCACGATACGTAAACGCTTTGTTTGGAGAAGCGCCTTGCTAATAATAAGATTCATGCTCAGCGAGCCATTCTCGGTCGGTTCGTCTCCATACTGGACTGCAGAATACCAGACGACAACATTCGGGTTCGTCGTCCCCGATCCCTGACAACTCAGATCTTATGATATCTGACAATTTGACTACAGGGAAAGACTCGCTCGCTCAAGAATCAGTCCACGACTCGTGCGCTGGTCCGGCGGCAGATCCGGAAACATGACACCTCACCAGTATCAGGCCGACTCCAAGCTCGTCGGGGAAAAGTACGAGATCAGAAGCCACAAAGTCAGCGGCGAGTACCTCGACGTCTACGTCGTCGCCGACGAGCGCGGCACCTGCTTCGAGGCGCAGGCCTTCGCGCCCGTGGCGGAGATGCCGCGGGAGCGGGAGGGCCTCCGGCAGGCGCGGCGGCGGCGCATGCGACGCATCTGCGGGTCGCCGAACTTCGCGGACGAGTTCGAGCACGGCGGCCGCCGGTTCCTGGTGTCGAGGGTGGAGAGGAGCGGTAAGGAGTGGCCGCACCTGCAGGGCCTGTGTCAGGGCCGGCGGACGTGCGCAGAGCGGGAGGTCCTGCCACGGGAGCAGGGGGCCATCTGCGGAGAGCAGCAGGGGGGGTACGAGTGTCGGGCTCCGGCTGAAGAGGCGTTGAATCAACAACAGCGACGGTCAAGCTATGCGGAGGCGGCTGTGTCGAACAAAGCAGAGCTTTCGGGGGGTATAGATGCACATCCGACGAGGAAACGTATGTGCCTTACCTTGGGAAGTCTCACAGGGTTCAAGAGATATACAGTATAGGACGGGGCAGAACGGCATCGTGTTGTTCCACCTCATGGTGTTCTAATCGTGCAACATGAAGGTTGCCTTCTTTGACTCGCAATTTTTGTTGGTTGTTTGGTCTGTCTAACAAAAGGATGTACTTACCCTCCTAATGCATTCATTCCCTGGAGGGTATCTCACCGACGGTGACTGGAGCCGGCGGGTTGAGAGGAGAGGCCCGGCGAATGAAGACTCCGGACGGCGAGACAGCCGGCTTGTCAGTGCGCGGGTAGCGGATCTGGGCGAGTTTTTTTTTTCTCCCAAGAGTACCATAGCGCAAGCCACATCGCATGCAACATGTATATGTCTGCGTTTTGGCAAACCAGCCGTGCTCCTGGATTTGTATACAATATGCCTGTCTGTGGTACCACGTGTAGATACTCATTGTACCAGTCAGCATATCGTGTACAGGCAAACAAGCTGCAAGTCAATGATCATCAAGGAGAAGTCGGCAATAAGAATGGGTAATTTCATGTGTCCAAGATACGTGTGAACAACACCGAAACAGCGGTCGAAACTCAGCAGAGTCGTAAGAGCAAAACCCGGATGGAAGGCGCTTGCACCAGATAGCTGGCCATTTTATTGATTCGTAACAATAGCCTCTGCTCAGCCTAAAATAGACACGATGAGGTTCTTGTTGCGCCCAACCTTTGATCAGTCGACAGGGGCTGCACAATAGCCTTGAACGGCTAACAAACTGATACCGGACAGCTTTCGAGGCGAGTCTAAATTGAATACTCGAGGAAACGCTCAAGCTCGGGCGTCCAGCTTCGCTGAGGATCATCAAGAGCCAGACCAAGCCCATGCGGCCCATCTGGAAGGATCAGCACCTGAGCCGGCCGACTGTGTGCTGCCATGGCCTCGGCGAAGAGGAGAGTGTTTTGCACGGGAACCACGTCGTCGTCGGCCGTATGGAACAGAAACGTGGGAGGCGTCGTCGCGGAGACGCGGTTCTGCGCCGACAGTTCGTGTTCCAGCTCGGCGCTTGCGTTGGCGCCGATGAGGTTGTCGCGCGAGCCTATGTGGGTGTAGTTCCCTTCGAGGGTGATGACCGGGTAGGCGAGGATGCCAAAGTCGAGACGGGCGTCCGGGTTGGTCAGGGTCACCGCGGCGAGGTGGCCGCCCGCCGAGAAGCCCCAGATGCCGAGCTTGGTGGTGCGGTTCTGCCCGCGGATGTAGCTCAGGGAGTCGAGCGCCTCGTCCTGGGGCTTCGGGTAGATGGGCGGGGTCGCGTTCGAGGCCGTGGTGTAATCGAGGACCCAGGCGTCAATGCCTAAGCTGTTTAGGAGCTTCGCTGGGGCGTACCCCTCCTTATCAATGGCTACAACAGCGTATCCGCCTCCAGGACACACGAGAACACCGGTGCCCGTCGAGTTCGCCGCCGGGAAGTATGTAATCTGAGCCGTATCGAGCCTACGATAACAGTCAGGGTTCCATGACTCTCCTACCAGTTCGCCACGAAGCCTCGTCGGGCCTGGGCGCTTGGAACTTCTCACCTCTTCACAATTTGATGAGGGGATCCATTAGAAACCACGTTATTGGCTTCATATGGGACAGCGGGCACTCCTTGAAGGAGGAAGCCTGCGGCTAGTGCTAGTATAGACTTCATCGTGTCTCTTGAAGCCCGGTTCAGATCTTAATGGGGGTAATAAACGTTGAGGTTGGTAACTCCCACAGTCTCGATGCTGTCTGGGCTACTTATAAGACCAGAAACTGCCGGCTTCATGACGACATACCCGCAGCCGGCTTTACTTATCCATTGCAGCGTAGCATCGCTCCAGAGCATATATTTACCCGGCCCTCAATCGCCACTCCAGTTGACCGATGCATAGCTTGGCAGATTCCTGTACCCCATCCTGGAAAAAGACGGGGATGCCGTTGCTTAATCGGTAAGCTTGATAAAATCCACCAATAAGAGCGGAATGCTATGTATCTAGCAGTTGGCACCTAGCCATTGACTCGTCGAGAATCCGACGATGGTGGAGAGTGCATTGTGCTCGTGACCAAGAATTTGGGTAAAGGTAACAATAGTAAATGGGCACTGCGACCCCAGCAAAACTAATGGTGTAAACAGAGGTCAGTCACCTGTTTACAAGATCTTTACCAAAGGAAGGCAAGGTGCAAACCTTGTTTTTCCCAATGATACCGTTCTTCGTACAAATTATGAATAACGGCACTGGTTAAAGTAGTTTCATGAATCCTTCGAAGCATGTTTTAATCTCTCATTTCTCATCATACATTACCATGAGTATCTGTTGGCCGGGTATAAACCACCCTTTTGCTCCACTACTGTAATCATATTGATTGACCATCGTCTGTAATATGTCGACACAACAATACTTGTATCAGCCAGGAGGACACTGCACATGGAAGGCTCTTTGCAACGTGACGTCGTACGCGACGTTTACGACGACTTTACCCTTACCAGGCTGCGAAGCCTTTGAAACAACGGGGATGGCCCGAACGCGGCTTATGCCAGGGCTGTACGTGTTTATCCAGGGTCCTTCGCGATTGACGGTGTCGTTGCCGTCTTAGTCAGTTGGCTGGTCCTACGAGGCTCTGCTAGCTCGTCTGGACGTATTATCTTAACACGTTCTCTTCACTTAAATTTCGCTGGGTGGGACTGCGAGTGTTTTGAGCGGACTCGGAACCATGCATCTAGCCTGATCTATGTATTCTGTCATCATTTGTTATCAAGTCAAGGGTACGGTAGTTTGCAGCGTTCGCATTGCTTCAGATAAGCGTATGCACACAATTAAACCAGCTGCCTAATAGCGTAAGATTGGCAGCATACCTCCGAATGATATCAACTCGCAGACCGAACGGTCTTGGCGTACAGCGGTTTTTGGCAGGCAATATAGCAGTCTAATGTGATAGCCAAGATACCACGCCGGACGTGAAATTAAGTGGATATATGCAGCGAGCGTAGCATACTAAATAAGTGTTGCAAGCCGCTGCAATTGTCGTGTTACCGATAACTGTATCGAAAGATGCAATTACGTGCCTTTGCCATTATGTCCACCATGGATATTTTAAATATGGGCTTGTCTCCCTTAATATTACCGATTGAAATTGTTCTCACTTGGTTGGCTGGGTATGTGTATCCTGGAGAAGTCAGCTCAGGGTATCACTGACCTGCAAGCAAGTGGAGTTGTTGCCCAAAAACAGATTGAACGCTGGGACTGGTTTAGGACGGCTACTGGACTGATATAAACACTGCTGTCTTGACTCTTGGAACTTTCCCTAGCCTTGGTTTTGCTTAGTTGATGGAGGCTTTGAGGGCGACCCGACGATGTCGAAACAAGCATAGCGACGCCCGCTGAGTAGCGCATCTTGTATAATAGCCATGGTCTCAGGGAATTCCGCGGAAGACCGGTAGGTTTGTATCTCCATGTATATGAAGTTGAACAACCACAACTCACGAGTTGTAGCAGCGAGCCCGGGGTTGAACTGCTGGCAGTTACCGCAAACCAAACAACAACACCACCCTCGCCCAATCCTTCCATCGAAGATAACACACCCCTAGCAGACGCCATAGACAACACAAGGAGTGTGTCAAGTTTTAGGGCAGAATATTTCGCCAACAGAGGCCTCTTAGCAGGATAGTTTCCCCAAATCAGATGCGACGCGAATAGCAATCAGAGCATGTGGTTATCAAAGAGAAGCCGTGCGCTCATAATCAAGATTAGCATCTGTCAAATCCGCAAAAGAGTACCCAAGCGCCCGTTTTGTTACTTTTGCTGGATTTGTTGCCTACCTATATACCCTGGCACATTTGACACACCCCCCAGCCCTAAGTGCGTTTAAAGCTTAGAGCTGTTTTTATGCCAGGGGGCTATCAACCGTCGTTCTTTCAAATCAAAGCAGTCACCATAGGTTATAAGGGGGCAGTTCTCATAAGCGGATTCATTGCATGCCTTATTGACTATACTAAGGATCGAACGCAGGACCTTTGGGTCTAGGATCGGCGGAGTGGAGCTCAAGACCACTAACGCTAATCAGACTGTTAATTGTCAAATCCGCAAAAGAGTACCCAAGCGCCCGTTTTGTTACTTTTGCTGGATTTGTTGCCTACCTATATACCCTGGCACATTTGACAGCATCATTAGTACCATCTTAATCACAAACCTTGTTATAGTAATATTTACCTACTTAAGTTATAGCAGCAAGAACAAGGTAGGACTTATCTACTATAGCAACTGCTTAACAGTAAAAAAGGTTAATTAATAGCTACATCTGCTCATTAACCTTCTAGGCACAGGGACGCTGTCTGCTTCTAACTTCTACATACAGCTACAAGCCGCTCCTACTCGCAAAAATGTCAATACTACGCACAAAAAGGGCAAATAGCTAGATATTAGCATACCCAGTCTTCATAATCCAAGGTACCTTAATAACTAGCAGCAAGCTTCTTAGATATTACTAGCCCTCACCTTTATACCACTACATCTACTATAAGGGACTTAACATTATCTCCCTATAAAGAAGCCACTAGGCTAACAAGTCGTTATTAGCTATAACTTAGCACTTTTCTAGTCACTATTATCACATAACTCCCCCACCCTATATCCGAACCACCCCCGCATCCGAACCACCCGAAATTCCCACATTTCCCCTCCTTTATTAACACTACTACCTTTTTTAAACTATCATAACAATTACTATTTATTACTAAATAACGCCATTTTTTTAGGATACCTTCTTTAAACTATTATAAAGTAATATTCTAAAGATAAGCTCTAACAGGCCCTCCTAGATATGCAGTCTAGGCAGTATAGCCTCTAGGCTGTTACTTATAGATAGGGTATACTATATGTAACACTTTAGTATTAATACTTTAGTAAGTAAAGCAGGAATACTGCCTTTAAAGATAGGCAGCACTTATCCTAGGCCTAGAAGGATAATCTAGCTGCCTATATTACCCTTTAATAGTCCCTTAGTAGATATATTAACTATTAATAAGTAAAAGGCCTAGTAAAGTATATAATAGGTAATAGGTATCCTCTTATAAGGAGGAAATAAATAGCCTAATTTATATAGTAAAATCTATTTATTAGAACCCTTTAATCTAGAGTAATTAATACCTAGTAATAGGCAGCCTATTCCCCTAAGGTTATCTAGGATTTCTTCTATTACTTTAGTAGTATCCTTACTATCTAAAGGATTTATTTATTTAATAGATAGAATATAGATAAGACTAGTATTATAGAGGGTAAAAGGGGTAATAGGCTAGTGCTAGGCTCTAAGGTATTATAATATATCTAGAAAAAGCAGCTAGGATCCTAAGTATAGGTATCTATTATTAAGTGTATATCTACTACTAGTAGCTCCTTACCCCCCTTAGTTATATATAAAAGTAAATTACTTTAAGCCTAGTAGTTCTTATCTAACCTTAATATATATAAGCTATAGTAATTTATAGTAACTAATAATAGCTAGATAACTAATAATACTACCCTTAAATAGCTAAAAAAGGTTTTTATCTTATATACTAAGCCTGCCTAGCTAGAGGAGGCTAGACTACTAGTTCTTAATAGGTATTATAGCTATATAACTATTAATTTTATATAGTAATACTAGTAGTATAATATATATCTACTATTTTTACTACTATACGCCTTTACTATCCTCTAGCCTCTAGATATAGCTATCTTTAGCCTATTAAAGTAGGCCTATTATAAGGAGGTTAGATATCTAGATAACTAGGTTATAGATTTAACTATTACTAGTAAAAAGGTATTCTTAAAGTGTTATTTTAAGGCCTATAAGGTATTTATTATATTTATTAATATTAGCAGTAGCTAGAGGTTATTTAGATTATAGCCTATATATATAAGACGCCCCTTATCTAACTTAATAGTAACTAAGGCCTATTAGATTATCTAGGCCAGCTAGCAGTTAAGTTAGCCTAGTAGCTAGCAGTAGGATAAAGCTAAATCTATTATCCTATAGTTAACCCCTTATTAATCTACTAATCTATAGTATTAACTATACTAGTTAACCTAGCTAGCTAAAGATAGGCTAGATACCTATACTATTTGTTACCTATCTAGAAAGATATAAAAGGGCTATAATAAGCAGGTATCTAGAGCAGCCCTTCTAGAAAGGCAGGTTAACTTATTACAGGCCTAGTTAGATAATATATAGTTACGTAAGAGGAAAAAGGTCTGCCTATCGCCTAACAGCACCTTTGCTACTATAGAGGATATAATCTGGGCCTAAAGTCTGGATTCTGGTAATATAGATAGTCCGGATGAATCTAGGGCATCCGAATTGCCCAGCGAGGCCAAAAGTTGCATATAGGTGGGCGGCAGAGATAGTGAAATAAGTGGTGATAGTGGTGGCAATGGTGGTGATGATGGTGGTTCGGATGTGGGGGTGGTTCGGATATAGGGTGGGGGAGTTAACTACACAGTAGCAGTTGTTAAAGACTCTTTTCTAAACAGCAGTTCTTAGGACCTTAAAACAGCTAAAAGCAATTATACTAGAAACTAGAGGTAAAACAATACTTATGTTAACAAGCTAAACGTAGATTACAAAACAGTTATCTAAGGCATATAGCACGCTACGCTAATATATAAGAAACTAAATACTTCTACTTACTTTAACCTCTATAATAATTATTAGAAGCCTTAAGGAAACATAATAATACTAGCTAGGAATAAGTTAGTGCAGATCACGCTAGATAACAGCCTGCTAATATATGTCTCCATTATCCCACGTTTAGATAACTAGACAAAGAACATATAAGCGCTTAGAAATAGTAGTAGCAATTTTCTAGCTAAGTTACCACTAAAACCTATAACTAAATAGCTTCTTAGGCCTAAATAATACAAGGTTTCTCAGTATCTTGTCTAACCGCTAGCAAGTCTTAGCATAAAGTGCTAGTTTAAATACTTACTACTAATTATGTTTATAATTATCCTTATAAATCTAATTAAAGTCCTTATTATGCTATTAATATAGATAGCTAGGAGAAAGTAAGTGTAAAAACAGCAGGATAAGGCCTAAGAAGTGTTATATACTCTAGGTAATGTAACTACTTCCTTTATAAGAGAGCCCTACAGCTAGACTATTAATATAGGCCTTATAACAAAGTACAACTTTCTAGCTATAAGTAGATAGTTCAGGAGGCGCACTCCTTTAATATCCTAAAAGAGTCCACACAGTGTACGAGTTCCACTAGCGCCTCATACCTTCAAGACCAAGGCTAATCAGTAGAGATTAGCAGCAAGTCTTCTACAATAGGTAGTACTACTTTTAATGTATAATCACCTAGTTATCTATTCCTTCTAGCACTTAGCTGATCTCGCTATAGGTGTTTAATTATAGTTATTATTCCAGTTGCCCTCCTTTTCCAGTCTTTTGTAAGTTTACAGCTTCAGAAAATTAAATTCAGTATCCTAGAGCTGTGGAAGCTTGGCTTTAGAGAGTTGACGCCTGTTACCTATCTATACATCAACATGCCTCGCGCGGATCCGGTAGGGCTGATTGCCAACGTTATCCTGGTTAATATGCCTCAACTAGTTCTCTCAGTACTGTATGTGCTCTACAACACAATGCTCAGTACCTTTCTAGTGCAAAGAGAATTCAGCCGACTGTGTGAATACAAATACCGGAAGCCCCTGCGTGTTTCGGAGCCCGTAGGAATTCAGAGATCGAGTTATTTCATCTCGCTCCCTCTGCGATATAGAATTCCCTTATCCGCCAGCTCGGCATTGCTGCATTGGTTGGTCTCGCAGAACATCTTACATTCGATCGTCAATGTTCGAGGAAGTCTCATCAAGCTGGTATTCAGATTAGCACACCGCTGGCTGAAGGTGCAAGGCTCATGCATACACTAGCCAAATCGTCGACTTCAACGTTGGCAGAAACATTCACTGACGCATTCAAAATTTCGAATGCCGGTGGTGTGGTTTCCAAGTTGAATGTTGGTGCCGAGGCCTGGGCCTGCGGACTGGTCGATGAATATGCCATTTCCTAGTTCTGCCGTTGAGACTTTGCGAATAACGTTGACCAAAAGAAAATATGGGAACTGTGGTATTTATTGCCGAAGTACGGCCTTACATTGTCGCTTCTGGTCATTTGGGGGCTGATAAGAAGAGCATTTCGGGCCGGAGACTAGCCCGTTGTTGGTGCAGTGACCGACAGGTGTACTATCGCATGATTTCTACGGTTCCGCTGCTTTGCATTTTATAAGAAACTGGAACTTATCAACGACTTCTCGGTAGGTTATCGACAGAGCAACTTCCCAATATGTACGGTGGTGCAGTTGACAATCCACTGGGCACCAACAGCACTTTCGTATTCGACAAAATGTCATGCAAGCCAGGGTAAACGAAACCTCGGCACATGAAGTGTTTGCTTCCTCATGTCTTGGCACATTGGCAAAAGAGACAACGGTATCGTGCTTTGAGGGGCCAACCTCCTGGTCTCTAAACCTACGAACTTGGCAATAGTCCTGGCAATGAGGATTAATAGAACGCATAGAACTGTATGGTCTATGTAATCAATCCATTTCTCGCTTCTCCTCTAGAAACAATGGCAGATGTTATAGGTTGAAATTCAGGTGGGAAGTTGGGGGCTTTTTATATAAGTCTTCGAGCTTGATCAAGAGTGGACGGATCCGCGGCCGGGTGGATGGCAGCACCGATCGGCAGCGGCTTCGGCGACCGGGACCCGCCGAAACTACCGAACGGCACGGCCTTACACTACGGCCCTTTGGCCTGTCTTGAAGTAAATAAAACGATACGATGCAAGCCAGCGCCCTTTCAATCTTTCCATCTTAATTCAGATTCAGGACCGATCTTCGTCGATAAATTCCCAACGCGTGTGGCGATAAAGAAAACCCCCAGCCTCCTTATACCCCTCTGCCCTCATCGACTTCAGTGGCAGGCTGAGTCAAGGGGGCATCGGCCGCCCTGCAGAAAGTAGGGAACGTGACCGAGATAGTTAGCACTGGCGGCCCCATTCGTATTGAGAGCGGAGTCTTTAACGGCAATAATATTGATTCAGAACCCCCCGACTATGTCTTCAGCATTTCTTTTCTAGCACTTGCGATGGTGGCAGGGCCGCAGGAAGCGGGGCAATCGCGATGAAGGGGTTGCGATCGCATCTTAAATGACCCGGCAGAATTGTATCATTCAGCGGCTATTTAGAGAAGCAGTTCCCAGAAGGTATCGATGCTGAGGAGGATAAACCAAATCCTCTTTGCCTCTTGAATCGCCCTACTTCCTTGCCTCCGCCATCGTCGTTGGATCTCAAACCCGCGTCTCAGGTCTCCTGGGCACCTTCTCGGATTTCTAGCTTTCAGAACGTCATCAAAATTGTATCCGGTCCCGAAAGTTTTGTCTGGTGTAGCATATACTGTTCTAAAGGGGCTCGTTTAGTTTTCATCTTCTTCTCGTCCTACCTTTGCCAAGTTTCGTGTACCCAGATACTTGCAGTCACAATGAGGCCTTACTTTCCACTCGCCATTCTAGGCATTGTGGTCTCGGTTTCCGGAGCTTTCAGCCCAACATCGAAGAACAATGTGGTTGTCTACTATGTAAGGTCACGGTTTTGAGTCGTCCAATGCGAACCGAAAGCAGAGCTGACTGTGTCATAGGGACAAGGTCCGAATCAGGTTGACCTACTTTACCACTGCCAGCAACCAGAAATTGACGTGATCATACTTTCGTTTGTTCATCTTTTTCCAGCGCAAGCGAACGGCTACCCGGGAACGAACTTTGGAAACCGGTGCGGTGATCAAGTCTACCCAGGCCCTGGCAACGATCCGTCAAAAAATCAGCTGAAATTGAATTGCCCAACCCTCAATGCTCAAATTCCTGTGTGTCAGCAACAGTATGGCAAGAAGATATTGTTGTCTCTTGGAGGCGGGGTCACAACCTACCAGCTCACAGGAAAAGCCGAAGGCGAGCTCCTGGCGACATACCTGTGGAAGATGTTCGGCCCCAGAGACCCTAGTTGGACCGGGCCTCGCCCCTTTGACAACAACGGACAGGCTGTTGAAGTTGACGGTTTTGACATGGACATTGAACATCCATCAACAGGTAAGTCTCGAAATACTGATTTCCATTGTGATGACTGCGAGCTGATGCCACGGCCAACAGACAACTCCGCTGGCTACATCGCCCTCGTCAGTCTCTTACGAACTTTTTACGCATCAGCGACGAAGCCATACTACTTGACCGGCGCTCCCCAGTGTATTGTGCCGGACGCCAGCATGGCGGCCATGATATCTAGCGTCAAGTTCGACATGATCTTTGTCCAGTTTTACAATACTCCTAGCTGCTCAGCCGCCACCTGGGTCTCGAGCAACCCGTCCTATGTTCCTGGCCAATCCTTTCAGGGGGGTGGGTTTACTTTTGACTCATGGGTTCAATGGCTATCAAACACGCCGAGTCGGGATGCAAAGGTGTTTATCACATTGCCTGGTTCGCCCGACGCTGCCAATCCAGGGAACTATATAACCCATGACCAAGCCAAGAACCTCATCAACGCATATTATTGCCGGCCGTCCTTCGGAGGTGTTGCCGTATGGGAAGCGACGCGAGGAGCCAGTAATCCATACAACGGCAAATCTTTCCAGGCCACAATGAAATTGTGGCTTCAGGGAGCTGCGGAAGACGCGCGGCTAGCAAGCTGTCAAGTGAGTTTGTGAGTGGAAAAAAGTAGTGGTCGCCAGCTGACATTTAAGCAGGCCCCGGTGGCATCGTCGTTGCCATCATCTGTGCAGCCGACCCAGCCAACCAGCTCGGCCCGGCCCAGTCCGAGCCCCAACCCTCCCAATCCTGGCCAGCCCGGCGCTTGCGGGGCCGGAGTGGGGCCTTGTGGAAGTGGATTTTGCTGCAGTGCATACGGCTATTGCGGAACGACGACTGAGTACTGCGGCACAGGGTGTCAACCAGCCTTCGGCACATGCGCGACCGGAGGCGGAAGCGGAGGCTCAGGACTACCGACATCAACCAACGGATCGTGCGGCGCCGGAAAGGCGACGTGCAAGGGCAACGGCATCTATCAATGCTGCAGCCAGTGGGGTTTCTGTGGAAACTCCAACGGGTATTGTGGTGCCGGTTGCCAGTCCGGATTTGGTATTTGTAGTTGATGGACGACTGGGACAGTTGGTGTAGCAGAGTACATGTGATGTCGGTGTCTGTACATGAACGCATATGGAGGATTAATGTAGGTATTACGAGAAGACGACAATGATGAATGGCGACGAATGAAACGTTGTATTTCCCATAGTCGGTCACGGTATCCTGGCGTTGTGACGAAGCTCATAAGCAGCCACCAAGAGACACGCCTAGGCCCGGTTCATGTTTTCCCTTTTTTCTTTCTCTTTGATTTCTTCTTTGGAAACCTCGACATTGCCATCACACCACCTCGACTGATATGTCCCACAATGTTCTAACTGTTCTTGGTTGAGCAGGTACCCACAGTTCCCTCGTTCATACATATAACTTTCTCAACAACTTATACGATCCTCTATTTGATATATCACACTGTTGCATGCAAATCACTCAAACTCTGTGAAGAGGGCGAGGCTTGAGCTGAACCTTGTCCTATCCAGGAACGCCGTTTTCGGATAAAACCCGCATCAAAACACGTCAATGGGGTTTATTACCTAAAGATGGCTGAAATTCATTCCCGAACCAGTGAGGCCTAGCACAGGTATCGCTCAACGACATGAGCGCACCTTTGCACGGGCACACCGGAGTGGACGCCGGTAGTTGTTAATCATTCGATTGGCTTGGGCGACTTGGCCAAATCCCGTTGTGCTTGCCATCCATCAGACCAAACAAAACACGACACCGGCGGGGGTTAAACAAAGCTTGATCCAATACCTCGCTCAAGGCCGTTTCTCCATATATTCCAGTCTGAGTTTACCCCATAAGCATGCCAGAAGAAACTCTCTTTTGGTCCCTTTACTGGCTTGACCTTCGGCAAATGTCTTGTGAGGTTGCATCTAAAGCCTCGGTCCCAATCCACTTTAGGGACAAGCAGGTTTTTGTGCGCTATCTACCTTATCCGACACCTGGCCACCCCCCGCAAGATGGTGTGATCGAAACGCACTATCATGGGATTCACGACCTTCCGAATAGGCTTTACCGGAGGCTCATGTCCTTTCGTTGAAGGCCTCGAGTCCGTTGAATCATCCACGGCCTGCAGCCTGTAGGTATGCCGATCGGTGTCTCCGGTATGGTACCCAGCACCATCAATCCGAGGTTTGGACCACGGGCCGAGCCTAGAATGCAGATGACAAATGGTGAAATCTCGCTGCATCCTAAAACTCGAGCCTCGGGATGATTAAAAGACAGCATGCTAGAATACAAGTCCTCGAGAAAGGTTTGTCTACCGGCCTGCTTTCCGTCGGATACTCCGCGTGGACATACCCCCGCGGCGTCGGCCGCCCACCACCCCTCTACGGGATTCCGGCGTCGTGGCAAGTCCGCGGATGTCAATGACACCGCCTTTGTTCGTCTCTGAGGACGATCCCTGACATGGGAAGATGACTCAGAAAACACAACTGTTTCTGACTCTGGCAATGCGCTGACGCCCGGCAGTTTGGCCTGCACAGACATGCCTTCTATAACTGTGAACGGATAGGAACGCACGTCGTGGAGCCACATGCCAGGACAACGCCATTGTGCAGCGCTGGGAAGCTGCCGAGGTCTGCTGGCGTCTCGGATGATCATTGGGCCGCGGTTGTTGGTCTACTTCCGTTGATCCTGGTTCAACAAAGTGTTCGAGAATTGAAATTTTGGGTTGTCGTCTAACCTAGATCGAGCCCTTGGGTCACATTGCGACAAACATCAATCTGGCTTACCGTGACCTTTCGCAAACTGTACTGGCACCGGGCCCAAATCTGGTGCAAAGAGTTTCAATCTCAGTCTGGCCGGAGAAAATGGTACGGCAAGTCCCATATTAAGCCCACGAATGTCCCTGCGAGGCGAGATACGGGAACATCACAACCCATTGGCGTTGGGCTACAGGAAAACAAAGTGTTTTTCTTACGGGGCGAGTCTGGCAAAGCCAACCGACTCAACACAATCGGTATTACAGCTTCTCGATGCCCTTACTCAGCCCTGGCCGAGACACCCCCTCCAGCCATCGGAAATAGGACGGGCTCGAGAGGGTTTTATACGGAGGGAAGCTCCGGCGTCGAATGAAGGTTTCGACCGAAGCTTCAGGAAACTTAACGGTGTCCCAAGAGCAAAGTGGCCATCCGGTTTGGTTGTTCTATTGGTCAGGACTACTGCCGGGAGACAGACATCTCCAACCTTGAGTTGCACGTGCCACATGCGTAAACTCAGTCGGCATCGGAATGACGTCCGCGAAAGGATGTAGTCGATCGCCCCTCGCCCTCTCCGATGCTGGTTTCTGCCCCAGGTAAAAGAAAACTTTGAGCGGCGAAAATATTGCCTCGTTGAGCTGCTCAGATAGCCGCCTTCACCTCCACTATCGCCTTTCCCATGTGGTTCAGTGATGGGCATCTGCACTCTATAGCACTTTGTAGTTTTAATATCGAACTTTTCCATCTGCCAAGCTGTCTACTATCCCGCGCTGCAGCTAGCTATGGGCCATTCTCTATAATTTATCAGCAGCGTTTCCCGCTCCGGAAACCGTCACCTGCTGTTGCGAATGCTATACGGTTAAAGTGACGACAAGCCGACAGGCAAATACCCAGAAGCCCCTGGTTCTCATCCCTCAGCCGGAGAGCCTGCGCCGCTAAGTGACTTCCAACCTGCCTCCGTTTGGCCCAAGTGAGCGGCGCAGCAAGGACGACGAAGCCGCCGTCTGGCAGCAGGGCCCTGGAATCCCTGCCGCGGCAGAAGCCCGGTTTTCTTCTTCCTAAGTGTTCTAGGTTGGGCTCCCGAAGAGCACGCCCACGCCGGTGGGATGCGGATTCTGCGCGCACCGCTTCCCTGACTCGATCGTGAAACACGACGTCCTGGGCAGAGGGGGCGCGGCCCGAACACTCAAAAGCTAATATGGGTTGACATGTTGGCCACCCAAAGCATATGCCTTCAAAAGACACGGCGCCGCGACTTCGGCAAAAGTCTCCTCTTGCGCTCGTCTGTTCGCTGTTTTTACTTGAGGACCGACAGCAAATAACCTCCTGTTCCAGATCTTCCCGACAACAAATTGAGGCTCTAATACATGGTAAACAGCTCGACTGTCTGTTTCCCCATTGATCCCTCGATTTCCTGTTGCGGACGTGTATGCCTTTTTGTGTTTGCTCGCCATCAACCATGCTTCTCTTTTCGTACGTATTGCATTTCGTCCGCTCCACCCTCCCCGTTCCAGCTCTGCACCCGTATTGGTTCAAACAATGGCTGACTTAAATCCTTTCTTTGTGTGATGAAGAACTTGACAGAATAACCTGTAGGACACTCCAGCCTCTTGCCTGCTATGAGGTTCTGGCAGGTTCATCATGAGCAACCTTCTTTCCCCGCACTTCAAGCTCGAAGAAGTCTCTGAAAATGACATTGTCATTGCATCGCTGGCCTGGGGCTTCACCCTCGGGTTCGGCTGGCTCACAGTATGGACGGCCATCAAGCAGACGACCGCCATGTATAAGCGCCAAGGCAGACGCATGCACCGGAATGCCTATATCTGGATGATCTGGTTAGAGATTATCGTGTGTGCAATTTTTAGCGTTATATGCTGGCTGTATCTAAGAGGCATCATACCACCAAGGTAAGGCCCACTGCGCATCTCGGATCTGAACGACACGAACATTTTGTGCTAATCAAACAAAATCACAGCTTTGAATTCTATTTTAGCATATGTATGTTCAATTCCAAGCTCTCCTACCATCGTCACAATTTGCGCTAACATCTAAAGTGACGACATGGGCTCTCCAGGTTCGGACATCCCGCATGTTGCTGTTGGTGATCAATTTCCTGACTGAAGCAGGTCCAATTTTTGCTACAAATTATCATAAACCGCTGTGCCATTCTACTCGACAATCCGAAACACTCCTTGAGGCTCAAGGTCGGCGTCGCCGTGCTCATCACCGCCGTCAATATTTCAGTCTACAACATATGGATCCCAGCTCGGCTGCAAACATCAGACCGATACATCAAAATCAACGACTGGTGGGACCGCTGCGAAAAGATCATTTATCTCATTGTTGACGGGGCGCTCAACATTTATTTCGTCCGCATCGTCCAGAAGAACCTGGTTACTCATGGCCTCACCAAGTACAAGCGACTGACGCGATTTAACATGTTCATCATCGGCTTCTCGCTAAGCATGGACGTGCTCATCATTGCCATGATGAGCCTCAAAAATACATTCGTGTAAGTGGTTTCCCTACGGAACTATTTTCTTTTCTGATCCGACGATATCTCTACCGTGGCATCAAGACCCCGTCACACAACTAGCTAACACATTGAATACAGATACATGCAGTTCCATCCCCTAGCCTATATGGTCAAGCTCAAGATTGAGATGTCGATGGCCGAGCTCATTGGTAAAGTCGCCAGTAAACGCGACCTTAGCGTATTATCCGCGCAGAACTTTGAAGCTAGCCGCGGTTCTTATCAGCCTTCAGAATACAGCTTGCCATCACCCAGCTATCCGAGAGGGCAGCAATTCGGTAACATTGATGTTACGCTCAACAGCATTGACAGGAACCCGGTCGAACTCACCATGCCTTGTACAAGGGCACCAAAGCTTCGAGGTGCAAACGTGGCGGCCGTCAGCTCAGGCCCCAGCGACCGAAGGGCTTCGGTCACTGCGTCCACCATGACCGAGGATGGACAGCCCAGGATGGCGATATACCGGACGAGGGAGGTGGTTGTCGAAGTAGAGGCAGTACGTGATGAGGGGCACCAAGCCACGACAAGCCAGACCAGCCAGGCAGGCTTGGACGACGCGCACAAGACGAATAAGCACGAAGACGACTCTTACGTCAAGAACCTCGGTACCGTCCAAAAATCGTTGGCGCTGCCAGAATACCATGCCCCATGGGCCACACAAGAATTCTGCCCAAAGATCTGGGACGGGACGAATTATGACGAAGACCCCAACCTGCCGACGTCGGCTGCGAAGGTCGACGCGCAGTGGCAAAACAGGCCGTGAACAATTTTCACATTCCCACCAAGGGGCTGACAGAATGGAGAAAGGCAAGAGAACGAGTGGGCGGGATCCGATGAGATGTCGTCTCAGCAGTGGGAGTGCTCGGGCCGAGGCCCACAATATGGCTAGACGGGGACGAGCGGGTGTAACGGGGCAAGGCTCGGACGAGGCGATGAAGACACACTGCGCGTCAGGCCGTCGCGGAATCGCTCAGTGGGAAATAAGTCCTGAACTGAGGCGCTCCCCGTTGCGCTACGACATTCTCTGCCGTCTTGGCTTCACAATTCCAACCCCCCTCTGCTTTACGGTTGCCGAACTCGACGATTAAGGGCTAATAGCCGGGCTTATACCGTGCTCTCTGGAACCACCCATATGCTCGCCGTTCTCCCCTCTTCATGTAGGCCTCGGATACCTCCCTCCCATGTTCTCCAGGTCGATCGGGGGCAGATATCTTGCGCCGCATTCCACACATGAACAGGAACGATTGCAACATGGCACTCGCCCTACTTTCTAGCTGTGCCGGGAGCGGGCATATCGACCACAAGGTTCCGGACCACGCTTATGTCAGAAGAAAATCTGTTATCTCGACGCGTTCGAGATCAGGATAACTCCTGAAATACAATATTGTGAGGCTATATCGGAGGTGGGAGGGCCGAGAAAGACATTCAAGTGTCAAGTTGCACCCCCAATTGCGATACAAGCTACGGATTTATGGATACTTCATTAGAGCGTGGCATTTAATGGCGGGTGAGCCTACAAACTTCTTATGAGGCTAACCCAGCTTGTTCTCCTTTAATGATTATAGCAGGAGCGAGCTCTTTTTGAGTCTATTAGGAATACCCCTGAGCTACATAGCCATTACAAATAGGTATCCTTATTGAAATGAGACCTGTTTCTGGTACCCTCATCCATGACAATGACTGTTACAACAATCGCTTTACAAGATGTTTAATCCGATAAGCTACTGGTATGAACAAGGTACACCGGCGCTTATCCAGAGTGTATCAGCCCCTCTGCATCGGAGATGTTGGCTGATGCTACATATTTCGACTGATCAAAGGCTTCTTCTCTTGGTTCAAATACTTGGGAGACAGACGAATAATCACGCTTGTGACGGCCCGTTTCTCGAGAGTAAATATCATGTGGCTCGGATGTCTTTGAGTTGCAAGTTACACATGCATTTTGTGGGGACTAATACTAAGACTGATGGGACAAACCGACCTTTCTGATCTATTTGGCTCTCTGAGTATGCTCTGTGGTAACCATTCCCTTTCCGATACCTCTGTTTCGTTACAGCAGACCGAGCCAATTGCTAAGGAAGATGGACATCCCACCGTTCCAAGCAGCCATGGGAATGTATTTTAAGTCGGGCGCGTTACCGAATATTTTCATACTATACTAGACCTACGAAAGATGGTGGTCATTCCGATGACAGGACTTACTGACAATATAAATCCTCGTTCGACCTCAACCGAATCCTACGTCAGTAGCTGAGCCAGCCATAGGGAGCTGCCAAAAGCGATGCTTCCATGACATAGTCCGGACGGAGTTACATGCTCCTATCAGATATCCGGCCCACACTGCCCCGTCGCATGATCAATATCGTAAGCTGCATGCTGCTCATTAGTGAAGTCACAACTTCGTCGTATTATAATGGCATGCAGATGGCTGTATAGAATGGTTGCGTGGCCCGAAATTCGCTCGGGCCCATTGGGGCTACAGTCTAGGGTAAGGGGCCTAAAAACAAAAGAAAAACTGGTATGAGGAATGAGTGATGTCTGGTATTACTGTGGCTATACATCTTTGCTTTTCTTGCTTAAGCAATATGAGCGCTTGATTTCCAATACTTGGGAAGAGCCTCATACGACCCGTTGCGTCCTGGCGGCTACGCATGCTGAGGTGGTTACGCGACTTGGAAATGACTACATATGTACCTATTGAGCAAGACAGATTTCAAGAAGGAAGTTTTCCCCCGTCGACGCAGTTCCCGTGAAGCCCAACCCTCAAGCTCATCGGGACCTTGACGACGGCGGCGGGCTCCGCAAAGCTCCTCGTGTCGACGACGTGCAGCTCGCTCGACATGGTGGCGGGCGAGGACGCGGTAATCGATGCGGGGGAACTCGACGTCGTGGTCGAGGATCGTGGCGGGCGGGGGGATCGAGCGAGGCGGTGTGGGGGTCGATGTCGTGCGGGCCCGGCGTGCTGCCCGCGGCGTCGGGCCACCAGAAGAAGGCATTCTTGTCGATTAGCGGCAGGTCGAATACGATGAGGCCCTCTGGGGTCTCGTAGGCGTTGGTGGTGTGGCCGGGGAAGGCGTTTGACACGCAGGACCACTGGGGATGGGGGCCACCAGGCACCAAACGTCATATGAGTTCCGGCGCGCCTCCAACAGTGTAAACCGACCGGTGATTCGATCAAATTTCTCTCGACGTAATCAGAAGACAAACAGTGGCCGGGAAGACGGGGCAGACGTACGGGGTCGTCCTCGATGAAGGGCGGGAACTGCGGGTCGGGCATAACCCGGTAGAACGTGCCGTCCAGCTCGGCGGGGAGGGAGCCGACCATCTCCAGATTGCGAACCTCGCCCTCGAAGCGGCACGGTTTCATGAAGCCCAGAGCTGGGGCCGGTACGGAAAGGATTTGCGCGGGCCGCGGAAGTGGCAGACCATTTGCGAGTGGTTCCGGGCCACGCAGAGGATGTGTATATATATGTGTGTGTGTGTGGGTATCACGTTGACTCGTGCCGACAGATGTGAAGCCCGCGATGGGCAAAACTAAACGAAGGCGGGAGAGAGCCAAGTTAGTTAGAGCCAGTAGGCCCGGGCAGCTACTTTGATCTGGGATGGATGGGGATAAGATGAAATATTGTTTCTTGTCTGTAGACGATGGGGAGGAGAATGGATAGATATCCTTGGCCTCAGGCTTCTCCTGGCTGGTTGGTTGGGGAAACACGCGGGTGAAAGTAATCCACAACAGCGTATCTTGGGAACGTCTGCCCAAACGGGTGTTGGGACCAAGGAGCCAAGATTAATGGATTGTAACCATGATTTGAATCTGAAGCTGTTTGTGCCAAGTAGAGATGGTTTCCCACGTCTGACTGTTGACGAGCTATTTCGTCACATGTGGGTAACACGATTTTTATAATATACAGGTTTGGGATATTGTATGGCATATCCAGGCTTAACAATCATATCGGGCTAGTCTCCTTCTACGAACATGGAAATCGAGGTAATGGGTTGCTTGAAATGATGTATGAATTGGTTCAAGACACGGATCTGACAACAAAACAGCCAACAACTTGTGGCTGTGGTCGATTCACTGTGAGAGAGGGTTTCCCGTTTGCTATACCCACTCGTATTCTGACCTTGAAGCCACATTTGATAACCCTGGTCGAAATGCAAAGAACAGTCTTGTAAATCCTCTTCCAAAACACAGTACAGCTCGCAGGGGCGTCTTCCGCACAGTCGGAACAGTCTCGTCAGCCCGACGCCCCATGAGCGTCAGGATGAAATGCTCCTCGAGTAATATAATAGGTCATCACTCAAGAAAACGAAATGGAGGGAAAAGAGAGAGAGAGAGAGACAGAGGATACAGGAACAGATCGTCCGCACTCGTCTGATGATAACAGCCTGTATAGATCGGCACGATCGTCCATTCCGGCCCACCTCCCTCCCCCCTTTCACCTCCCGCAATCGGACTAATTGGACTCCGGCCCCCGCCCCGGCCTGTCCGCCGTTACCCACCCCGCCATAGCTCGCAGGTCGCCGCCGCCGCCACCTAACCCCGCAGACCGATCACACGTCCTCGCACGAGCGTATCCCGCCATCTCGGACCTCATATCTGGCCCGGTCGGCGCTTCTCTGGCGATCGAGAGAGGGGCGGCTCAAAACCCTGGCAGTCGGGTCAGAAGTCGAGGATATACCGACTGGAACTCTGTGATGAATCGCAGCGTTTGGTCATTTGAGAGTGAAGTACGGAACAGTATGTCCTATCAAGAACCTATGTATGGACCGGAGAAGTGGTGGAAATACATATTCCAAGCGGTCCGTGCGGGTGGTACGCCACATCTGTGGCGGCTGCCACTGGTACTAGCCACACGAAGCTATTCCAGCTTCGCGACAGACTCATTTTTGTTTCATTTGTTTTGTTTTGTTTTATTTTTTATGTTTGAGTGGCTGCCCCTGGATGGGGGGAAGATTCTCCCCTATGACCGACAGTTTCATCTCTCTCTCTTTCTCTCTCTCTGTGTGTGTGTTGCGTCTCTCTCTCCTGTTCTATTCTGCGGTTCCAGTTCATCGGCAATTCGGCCAGGCTTGGCACTTGGCGCATTCATTTCACCCTCTCAGGACCACCGGCCCAAAGCATTGCCAGCCAACCCGCTACGCACGCAGCGATCCACCCCCCTCTTTTTGCCCTTTTCTTCTTCCACTTGTCTGTCCAGCCTGGTTTCGGGTAATGCCCGTGGAATACGGAGTAATTTGAGAAGCATCATGATCATTCGTCCCCCCCTCCGCTTGTTACCTTTTTCTTCTTTCCCCCCCTACCAACATCGAAACCGTGTGTGTTTCTTGGCTTCTCCCGTTCCAGTTCCTCTTTGGATAGGGCTGGGCTGTAATGTGATGAATGAACCAACCCGCCCTTCCTACTCCCGATGGGGGCTGGCTTGCGTGGACAAACATGCACGACGTTGAAAAGCCGCAAGCCACGGACTCGTAGTGACACACCCAGATCTTTCTCAGTCTACAACAGTCACTACCGGTAATGTAATATGTGTTCCGGCAGAGGGCACCTCTACCCCCACCTCCGTGCAGTTGCACCGCCGGAATGCCAAGGCGCCAACCCGGCGCCGAACACCCATCAGTCTTTGTCGACTTCACCTCACTCTTCACAGTCCAGTTTCTCGTACCTAGTCCTGTCTGATGATGCGCCGAGCCTCTCCTATGCGACCTGAGCCATCCCCCGTTCTCCTCGTAAGTAAAAGGGGTGCTTTGACCAAGCAGGCCAGCCTTGCCTAGCCTAGCCTTCCCGCAGTGCTCTGAACCCTTGCCTTGCTAACCCAGTTTACCGAGAAAGGCGCGCCCCTCCACAGAGCAAAAAGGACATTTCCGAGAGACATATGGACGATCCCAGGCTGGAAAACGATATACAAAACCCTTGTCTGCCCCATTGAACCACCGACCACCGACCACCACCCCCACCGGGCCAACAATCCAAGCTGCGTAATTCACATCAGCCAAGAAAGGCAGTCAAGGCGTACTTGGTAAAAAAAAAAAACCCCATCTGTGGGTAATCTCGTTCCAACCCCCGCCGGCTTCCCGGGCGTTAACTTCCCGCGGAGCCGCGGCTGGCTGGACCACCGCCGCCGCCGTCACCACCCCCGCCCGGGGTTTAACCGACTTTGAAGTGCCCTCGTCGTCATATTTGCTCACTCACTGACGTTGAGGCGATGGCTCTCACCCAGGTCGCCCATCATCACAAAATTATCACCATGCATGAGCAGAGTCGAGCGTCAAGCGTGACAGTTTAAACGGTTGGGTTGGAATTGCTTCTAATCCTGCCTGTGCCGACATTGGCTTCCTCAAGCTAGCCGGTCCGAGGCCCTCGTCTCCGTCCTCTTATCGGAAGACCACACACGAGGGCGCGAATCCTGTGCAAATCAAGACTTTTACAGTCGTCAAATCCACTCGACCAGATACGAAAAAAAAGGTCCCTCTCTGGTGCCTTCCATCGCTCATGCAAAACCAAAAGACTTCGACATGCAACACATTCCAGCATACATGCGAAGCTTGACGGAACGCCTACTCCCACCCCCGCCAAGACTAGAGCTCGGCGGGTGGGTGAGCCATCAATGTCATTCGGCCCGAACCCCCGGTCGCCGGCTTTCCTCTTCCCTTGCGGCCCCGTGTAGCCCACGGGGCACGTTGTGTATGAAAGTAACCAGGCAAGCCCTGCCTTCCCCGTAGTTGCGCCTCTTGTACCGCCGGCATTCGGCGAATATCCGACGCGGCATTTTTGAAAACAAAGAAAATGGATGAGAAAAAAAAAAAGATGGTGGTGGTAGTTACAGTCCGTACTCCGAACCCGAGTGACCCGTGCGGTATCAAGAGACTGAAGATAACAGTATAGATTCGGCGGAAGAGTTAGTTTGGGTGAATATGCAGGGACGGGGAGCGCCCATCTATGATGCTGGTTGTCCCCCCCCCCCTCTCTCCATGTGTCGGATCGAGGTAAATTAGACATGGAAAATATTATCATTGCCTTGATTGACGGTGCACTTGTCGTGCGCAAAACAAAAAGCAGCTGCACCACCACATGTGGCAAGCGAACTGGCCACGACCTCGAGGCCGAGGAGAAGGGGGGCCCTGGCATCTACTGGGTATCTTGAAAAAAGTAGTAGATATTGCCAAGGCACGGAAGAAATGGCCTCGGGTCGGCGAGATGATGAGGGAGGGGTGAGGGGGGCAAGGTGAATCGGCCGCCGAACTCGTTGTGAAAGTGAAGACGAGCACATGCCTCTTAACTTCAAGGCAGGTCACGGCGGTGGTTCGGGTCATGTGGGGGGAACTGGTGGTGCCTCGCGTTGGCTTGCGCGGCCATGTACTCGGCGGATCCCGTCTGGCGACCGGGTTGCTCAGCAGGCAGCTTGGTGTCCTCGCGTCTTCTGGGCGGGGCTACGGCGGGCGGCGCACTGCTGGACGGGCTGGGCATGCCGGGAACAAGATCGGTGACGGCCTGGGCAATCGAATTGATGACGTATCCACGAAGCTCGCGGTCTTCGCGACTGTCCTCCTTCTCGAGTCGGAACCTTTCGTCCTTGTTCATGTTGCTGCGCCGGATGCCCCTGATCTCGTTCAGGATGTAGAGCAAGACTTCCTCGGGGCAACGGTTGCGCTCGGCGGCGAAGTCGCTCTTGCGGACGTATCGCCGGGTGACATCGGTGGCGCCGTCGATGGAAAAGGCGATGCAGTACGACATCTTCTTGCCCCAGCCCTCGGTGTAGAGGCGGGGGTTATCCCATGCTTCCTCACAGGCGTCGACGTGAACCCAGCGTTTCTGGTGCTCCGAGTAGACCTCGGTCCAGACGTGGTCTTCAGCATTCCACACCCAACGAACCCTGCCTCCGACGGCACGGCAGAGCATACTGAAGCAATTGGCCCATTCGCCAACACGTCCTCGACGGGTGTGGATGAGTCGCCACACGTCGCCGTACCGCGGGAACCGTTCGTAAGCGCCGCAGTCGCCGGCCGAGCAGCGGTAGAGCTCGACGCGGAGTGCGCCGCAAGCGCTCTCATCGGGCGTGGGGGGCGTCATGCCTTGGGCGATTGTGGGCGAAAGGCAGACGGGGCACGGAGGGTTGTTGATCCAGGTGAAGAAGGATCGCTTGAACCATCTGAACATGGTTCGTCAGGACGGAACTCTTTTACCTCGCAGGCAGGGGACAGTGGAAAAGCGGAACTCACCTCAAGAGCGCCCGGATGACGCAGTCTTGGTAGCCCCAAGTGGCTTTGCGTCCATCTCCCATGCTTTCGGCCTCGGCCTGCATGACTTGACATTCCTCCTCGGCCTCGCCGTATATCCGGTCGAGTGGTATACATTGCAGGGCCTCGTCCAGCAACCCGGGGTTCTCGTACTTGGTTGGAGTCAGGGAGAGGCTGATCAAGAGGTTGCGGAATTTTTGCGAGTCGCGGTCGTTGGCGGCGGGAGGGGTGGGGATCTTGGGCAGGTGACGGGAGTACGCGGGTGGTGTCGGCGGCACAGGTGTTGAGCCGTGTGATGTCGAAGGGCGACCGGGGCCGGGTGAGGCCAGACCACGGAGGTTGGTACTACTTGTGCTTTCCCTGGGCTGGGGGCTATTTTGGCGAGAGGATGTTCGGAGGTCGTTCATGCGCTTGTCACGGAGGAGCGACTCGAATTTTACTCTCAGGTCGCGAGCCCATTCTTCGCCATACTCCCCGTCACCGTTAGGGGGGCCTTGGCCCGGCGGGTAGCCGTGACCATCCATTTCACTGTCGTTGACGATTCTTTTTTTCCCCTCCTGCGTCGTCGTCGTCGTCGTCGTCGTCGTCGATGATGATGAGATGAATGTCAAGGTCGGGTATGTCGCAAGGAGTGGCGAGTAGGTAGGTATTAGACAGAACGCTCGCGTTGGGCGCAAGTTGCTGAAGAGTTGTATGCTGGTATGAAGACGGCGGTGCGAGTTGGTTTTGTGGGTGAAGGAAAGTACCAGTCGTCGTAGTAGTCGTCGTCGTCAGCGTGAGTGGTCGTCAGGAAGATTCGTAACGTCGTCGAAGATGTCAATTGGCACTCGAGACGGATTACTGGCGTTGATATTATTTGGCTTCCCGGTGTTCCATCGATCAAGTCTAGGCCAGGCGAGGCGAGGCGAGGCGAGGCGATGCTAGACACCTTCTCTCCTGCTAAGTGGCGTAGTCGAGGTCCTAGCCCAAAGTGTCTTGGCTTGGGGATCGGTCGAGTCTTCCAGACTTGGGTCGTCGTGGGTGAGTCGGGGTGTTGCTCGACGAAGCGATCGCAGCCTCTCGTGAATGGTGTTTCTTCGCAAGATTTCCGGCGGCCTATCGGTCGGTAGAAATCAAGAGTCGAAATCGCAGACAGGCGAGTTACGGTGGTGGTGAGAGGGAAGGGATGGGGGGGATGGGGGTGTTGAAAGAGGTGATGGTTAGCGGGCGGAGAGGAGGGTGGGATTTGGATTTGGGGAGTGGGCCGTGCCAGGGGGGCGGAGGGGAGACGGAGGAGAGGAAAGTGAATAAAGAGAGTAAAGGCAGATGCAACGCAAGCAACGCAACGCAACGTAGTGTACGCCAGCAGGACCCGTTAGGTAGGTATGTAGGTAGGGTAAGTGCGTGTACAGTACTAGAGAGGAGTGCGTAAGGGGGGGGGGGGGGGGGGTACAGCAGCAACAATAAGGTCCAAGGTGGTAAACCCGTGGTAAGTGACTAGGTGTACGTAGACACGTAGTAAAACTTGAACTATCTGGACTGACAAGGAGAGAGAGAGAGAGAGAGAGAGAGAGAGAGAGAGAGAGAGAGAGAGAGAGAGAGAGGAGGAGGAGAGAGAGAGAGAGGGAACTTAAAGGAGCTAATTCCCACATTCTCCACAAGGGCATCACATAGGCATAACGACTGAATGGGACGATCACCCAGCGAACCTAGCAGTCGAGATTGATCAGAGTGCCAGACGGTTCTAGGCAGCTTATCCCGCCGCGAGTCCGATTTAGCATCGCTGGGGTTTTGCGGGAACCTATACTGTCGCTGATTGGTAGAAGCCCGCAGGGTGCCTCCTAAGGATCAGATGGAGTAAGCGTACGTTTACAGTGATCAATCGTGTGATCGACCACGGGGGCCCTCTTCTCTGGCCAACGTCTTGCGTAAAACACATACGAGCAGATCAATTGCATCCGTTATAAAGATTAATCAATTCACCGGTGACGCTGTGGTCGAGTGTGCAGGCTCGCTCCAGCTGCTTATTGTCGAAGTTTGAGCCATTGTAAATGAATGTCTGATACTAGAAGCCGCTGGTACTTGCACGACTGGATGGTATGTTCTTAGATAGCGAGTATGGGGACTCGAATAATCAGACGCCCGTATACATCATGGGCGTTTTTCATTTTAGGATAGAGAGAGACAAGGGAAGTGGAAGGGGTCAAGGTTTGATTGATGGCAAGGGGGGAAGGAGGGAGGGAAGGACGACGACGACGACGAGGGGGGGGGGGCGTGGCAGAGAGGAAGGAACGCATACGCACGCTGCTGCTTCCTCTGGCTGGCCTCTCTCTCTTTCTCTCTCTGTCTCTTTCCTCATGTACGGAGGTTTACGCGTAAGCTGCGCAACTCGGACCAATGACAGGGGCAGTTTCGGTCCAGAGAGTGGGTCCCGGTCAATCCGCCCCGGCACGTACCACCGCACCACGACTCCAACGCTCTTTCTCTCCTGCTGCTCTTGCCTAATGTAGATAGGCATTTGTACCTACCTACATAGTGTCCGTACTATGTACTCTGCTCTTGCTTGCAGCAAGAGAGAGAGAGAGAGAGGGCGAGGCGAGCGAAGGAAAGCACTACCTACCTAGGCCACGACAGAGGAGGAAGGAAGGCCAATGTACGGATACAGTACTCCGTACTCGGAACGTACTCAGACACTGCTCCAACGTCCCCTTTCCCATCCATCTCTTCCTTCATCTACTTCTCCATTGGTTCGCTCGGACAAACATTTTGCACACGTACGGATACCGATACCGATATCCATGTTCTGTACGGAGTATAGATACAGAGCATCCTATCAGTAGGTACACTGGCGATGAATCCAATTTGCATGCAATGCAAATACTCTTCCCTCCCCAGCAATAGATGGGCAAGCTTATCGATAAACCTTCCGCTCGCCTCCCACATATCGATGCCAAGCCTTTGCTGCACTGTCCAGAGCGTTGGGACTCTCTCGGGTTATGGATGCTTACCGTCCCGCTCGCTCTCAGGCCCTTTGCCTTCCAGAGCAACGCAAGCCTTGGCAGAAAGTATCCGGACAACAAGGCCAGGCACCGCCTACGTCAACGCAATCCAACCGGTGACGATTGACCCTGTATCCGTAGACTACTACTACCTTACTTTGGCAACGCAAACATGGCTAGCCACCCAGCAGGCCTATCTTGTCGAGCTTACCGAGTAGACAGACGTTGGGAGCGAATGCTGCCGCCTTGCCTATTCTACCAGCAACCTCACCTCCATTCACAGCCATAGCTGCGCACGACAATGGACGGCAATCGAGAGAAACGCTCAGGAAGATGGATTTCCTCCCGTAGGTGTGTATACATTACCTACCTACACTACGGATACAAAAACACTATAAATGCATGTCACTGCGGTACGTACCGCTTACTCACTCGTCAGGCTCACCATAGCTTGAAGTCTGGACGACGACGACGCACACGACGACGCACACGACGACGGCGCAACCTCGTTGATGTACCGGTACTTCTCCCACTAGTACGTGTACCTACCTAATTAAAGCTGCTGTCACTGGCCCCCATTCTCATGGGTTGTCAAGTCACACACACACACACACACACACATCCCCTCCCCCCCCCCCCCCCCCACACACACAAACACTTACTCACACTTTTTCCTCACTGTGACAGGAGTTCCGAGTCTGGCAGCCCCGAACCGTGATGACGAGGCGTGGCTGACGGCTATTTCCAGCGTCTGCCCAGGCCTCTACCTGCGTGGCTGGCCGAGACATTTGCTCCCTCTCTCGTACAAAAATGCGCGTCCTCGGATTGGCCACCCCTCCCTCGATCCCGGACCTGTGGCTCAGCTCTACCCCCTCGAGCTCGAAGCTTGAAGCCTTGCCTCAGCACCAGCTCCACATAGCACAGCACAGCACAGCACCGCACCGCACCGCACCGCAGCACTGCACGCACGGCGCCGCGCTCTGTTCCCGCATCCTGAGACAAGACAGACTCGCATCTCTCCGCCCTCTGTAACTGGAACCTGAACCTTGGGGAGGGAAGAGGTCAACGGAAGACCGCTGCTCCGGCTCCAGGCGTCGACGCTGACGACGGGTCTTCGCCGACAACCCCCCCCCCCCCCCCAAAGGGCCCGAAGGAGCCTCCCAAAACACTTGCTACACTACCTATGCATGCCACCAAGAGCCATCGCGTCCCCCTGCCCCGAAGCAAGGCGAAGCATTTGCTGCAAACGAAGCTGCCGTCGAGCGCCGACCGAAGCTCCGGGAACAGCCAACAGACAAAACGGCGCCGTCGCCGATTGCCGAAAGTCGAGACGACATACACCCGAGGGCGACGCTGGCGACGACATGCGACTTTAGGTACAAGGGCAAGTTTGCTCCAGCACCGTGCAGTGGCGATGGGTTGTCCTTTGTTGGCTCTGTGCCATGCGCAGTTTCACTGCCTCGCCTATCGCGCCTCTCTCGCGGTACTTTTGAACCCCTGAAACTCTTTCTCCTGTTCCTGGTCACCTACTATTATTGTAGGGTTTTCCTCTCGGGCCTTGCTGAATCACCATCTCGCCCTGGAGCTTGAGTCGTCTGTGGCCCGTATGCTTCTCACAACCAATTCGACGCATCCCAAAAGACAAAAAGGACGACAACGATGACGACTCAAAACAAAAGAAAAACTGCAACGTGATGCGACAACCTCTATTTTACACTCTGTTTCCTATATACCACATTTTATTGGCCATTCCCTTCCGGCGAGGGCGCCGCAGGGGGGCTCGATGCCCATTCGCAACTCTACTACAGCCAGGCACACACTCAGAAGTATTCGGGATCTCCTGGTTGTCTACCAAGAAAACAACACCCCTGGGATTCAAGGTTTCTGTCTCGCCTCCCGCTCAGCCTCGGTTTCTCCTCCCGACCCTGGCCCCTGCCTGTCCCTACCTCCCAACCCAAGTATCTGTACGAATACCTAGCTATCCCGTTACGTTTCTCCCGCATTCCCGACCGGCCTCAACGTTGAAGACTGGCTATTATGCCCTTCCTTGGGACGGTCCTCACTGAAGCCGAGCTTCTTTGGACGGGCCAGGTCTTGTCAAAATCTTCTGCCGGTCGCCCTGGGCCGTCACTGACAAGCTCTCTCTCTCTCTTTTCTCTATCCCTCTCCACAAGAGCCTCGCCCGTATTAGTCCGATCCCACGTCGTGTCGAGTCCTCCATACTGTTACATGATCTTGCGTCAACAAGTGGGCTCGCCAATCGTTCTTGCAAAGTCAAAATGCCCACTGACATGGCTACATGTCAACGTCCTGCTTAATTATCTCACCACGTACAGGCCGAACGGCCTGATTGGCTTTCATGAGACGAACCATACGCAGGCCGGATTCCTTCAAACAGCACTCTCACCAAAAAAAAAGCATCCATCTTCAGGCAGAATGATGACGAGTCAGCGCGTCCTACGTGCTGGAGCTGGAGTCCCCCAGGCCGTCGTCCCTACGCCCAATCCGCTCTGTGTCGGGGCGATCGATCCAACCAAACGTCAGCACTTGGCGGTCAAGTTTGAAGATGGTTGATACCATCGCGAACGACAACAAGGATATCTGTTGCGGACGGCGTTCCGACTAATTCCAAATCGCACACTGTCTTTTCGGGGGAAGCGGCCAGCTTGTCGGATCACTCTAACGGCCCAAATGCGACTCGACTTTCCACTGCCTGGAACAGACGATTTGATCGACGGCCACAATGGCCGTCTCTAGCGTAACAGTAGCTCTGAGTGCGTCCTCGATGTGCCGACGCCCCTGGGCGTGAACCTTAGCGGCTCGGTGACGCGTCATCCCCCTTGTCTCACGTCGGCGCTCCAATGGTGGCTTGCGTGTTGTTCCCAAACCCCGTTGCCACCCCACATCAGACTGCGCTACCGCTCGCCCCCGTCTCCTCTCAAACTGTCAGGCTGCCAGAGACTCGCCGAAGACTGACCCATGATTGCCCACATCGCGTCTTACTCGCGAATCAGAGAGCAACAAGAGACGGCCTGGGGGCTATCTCATTCCGCACTTCACGACGGATCTCGGCATGCTTGCCAATGTTAACTGCATCGTTGCTGCCCACTTCCCTTCTGCAGAAGTTGCACGTTATTTGAATTTTCTGTCATGGTCTCGAATCATAGTTTGAGAGACAAATACACGTACGGGTTGCATTCGTATACAGTGACCGGGTCGGCATAATGGAAACGAAACGATGAAGCGGTTCGGTGCGCCTACGGAAGCCTTCTCATCCCGTTAGACTGCTTGACGAAGGCAGGCCCATGATGAGACGAACGACGACGTCCAAAGGATTTGACACGCTCTTGCTGAACCAACAGAACTTGACACACCTCCAAACATTGCATTACAACCGGTCTCTGGGACGGCAATTATCGCCTAATTTCTCCTCGGGCTGGCCGGATCGTCTGCAGCTCGACTGAAGACCCGGATTCCGAACCGTAGTACGCACGCCATTTGCTACACCAATCCAGAGCACGAATCCCTCCCTGTTCGTCCATCATTGTCTCGTCGCCGACGCCGAGGCCTCGACTCATGTCTGCAACCCTGTATCGTCTACCCAACATCTTCAATCACATCAGACCCCGCCCTGGATTACGTACACCAACGTCCTCTTGGCCCCCATTCTGCCCCTTCCTTTAACAGTGAAACCGGGTGATTGGGATTCCTATGGCCAACTGATGAACGCACGCCACGATTCCAGGCCGGCCCTCTGCGGATATTGCAATTTTTCAAAGAAAAAAAAAGTCAAAAGACGGCTTTGATTTGCTCTGTATTTCCCTCGGCTGCCCCGCCCCCGACTTGCCGGCTCTGGCGGATCTTGCTTCGTTTGTCGAATGTTACGAGCATCCCCAATGGGTTTCCCACTACCAAGTACCCTACCATTTTCTCTCTAGGTACCTGAAAGAAACGGCACAGAGTGTTCACCCTCGACAGATCTAAACTAGTACTCTGTATCTCCTACGCTCCTCCATCTAGTGCTACTTGGGCTGTTGGGGTTGCTTGCGTAGTCTGACCCAGGCCGGCGTTGTTTGTGCGGAGGGGAGGGGGAGTGTGGGCAGAGAAACCTCCAGCGGGACGCGCGTACCCTGGACCCTTCCTGGCCTCTGATCCTTGCAGATCACCACTTTGGCGAACAGAGACTGCTGCCAAAGCAGGGACGCGGCTAGCGGTGTTCGATAATCCACATTTGAACTGCCCAAAGCCTTCTTCAATCCCCATAGCACACTTAAGCCCTCTAGCAAGGTAACAAGTATGTACGGTATTGATACCTCCAGGCAAAGGATCTTCCTGGCCTGCGGGTCACATCCGGGCATATATGGGCCCTTTCGTCTGGTCTTTGTCGTTCGGCTCCTTGGCGACATCGACAGAGCCTGTGGCTCCTCGCATATCTGTTCCGGCTGTGAGCGGTCGGCGGGTGCTCCGTCGGTACCCCGGCCAAGACACCAAGTGGGTCATTGGCTCTAGTGTTATTAGAACAGGGACGCCAAGTCGCGCGCGCGGCTCTTTGTGGCCGAGTTTCTGGCCCACTGGAAGATACACGTACCATGAGGCGGCTTCCGCGTTTAAGTCGTGTGTACGCAGCACGGGTCGGTCCCGGCGCCTCGAGATATAGACGCACACCGGACGACGGGTGGTGGGGGGACGTTTCTCCGATCTTTTGTGCGCCAGGTTGGTCCGGAGGGGACTCTGGAGGGCGATATTATCGGCATGTGGGTGGACGAGACTTACAAGGGAACAAGGCTCATCTTACGCCTCCTATGGGTTGGAGCTTAAAGTCGTAAGCTCGTCCGCCGTTGGCTGTACGGGTTACGTGGGCGTCCTATGACAAGGTTGCGTACGGTCGCCCGCACTCTATACAAGTCTCAAAGAGCCTTCTCGATTAGGCCTTGTTGGACAATTCGGTTTCGGTTTGCGGGATCCCGGACTAGGTAATTTTCTAATTGTGTGAGTGGTCGGTATTGCGGAAGGAGTGAGGCGGACGGGTAGGTGGGATGTTGACCTTGCCGGTCATTTGGCCAAATACACATCTCTCCGGCCCACAGAAATACGATTCTTACGAGGTCTTCACTCGACGCTTCACCAACTTAGGTTCTATGTTGACGCGCGGTAGGGGAGGGGGTGTATACGTGCTATTCGCCGAGAACGAGACGAACAATCGACCTGGGTCCATGGCTGAGCTGGCCCCCCTCCCCGCACGTATGTGGTCTGTTGACGCGTTGCTAACCCTCGACGACGCCATGAGACGAGAGGAGGAGGCGGAGGAGGATGTCTCTTGACGTGGTAAGACGGGGTCCATCTTTGCTTTCTCCGCGTGGCGTAGCGTGGCGTGGCGTGTGTTCCGCCGGACAAGCCTTTTCTGAACTTGGCCTTGCTGGCCGACGGACGGGGGGCCAAGAAAACTTATCCAAAGGGATAGAGGCAGGCGAGCGGGGTGGGGAGAGGGGGAGGTGATATAAGAAAAAACATCTAGACGAGTTTTTGGGCGCCGGGGCGCTCTCGGACGTCCTTGACGAGCGGAGAGTTGAGCCAAGATGTTCATCCCAAGAGGCGGGGGTGAGGGGGTTCTGTTCCATCACGTCTTTGGGTTCTTCCTCCTCTTCTCCTTGCTTTTTCCAAGCCTCAGGACGGGCGCATGCGTGTCATTGATGACTGATGATATCCTCTCTCTAGAGACGACGGTGAGGGGTGACTGTTGACTTTACGTCTTGCTCGTCCTTATTCCCGGTCCTCGGAAGACGAAATTAAAAACGAGGGTTGTATTTTCTTTTTCTTTTCCATGTATCTGAACGTTGAACCGAGACTACGTATTTCGAGGTATCTGGACGTATGGACGCGCGTGTGAACGCCTTTGAATGTGTAGGGAAGGAAACCCTAAGCAATATTGTTGGATAATGGTAAAGATGAAATGGATGAAATAATAATAAAAGATAGTCAACTTTTTCTAATTCTGAAAACCTATCCCGTCACGCACCCCTTTTTTTTTATGTCCCCGGCCATACATATATGAGAGAAAAAGGGACAGATGAGGAAATATACCCGGGCCATACACGCCGGAGACAGTATAGACATGACACACACACGCACACAACATGGAGCATGTCGGCTGACACTGAGCTCTAACGGTGGTGAAGATGAGAACAAAAGGAGAAAAAAAGGAAAAAAAAAAAGGAGGGAAAGGGGGCTGCTGTCTTTCACCACTGTTCGCCAAGACATTAAGGGGGGGAGCGTGCGCGGGCCTTTTCATCCTCTCTTTGTCTCTCTTTCCCTATCTCTCCCTGTATACCTAGACACCTCCCCGACCCTAATCCCATAGCTTGGTTACTCGAGTCTCCGCGGCTGTGTTCGGTCGCACCTGGGTCGATGCCGATACCACAACAGAGATTCCCCTCTTGGGGTGTGTCCCGTGCTTTCATCAAAGTAGAGTAAGACGGGGGACAGTGAGGCCGTAGATGGCGCGTCGCGCCCGTGAGTGCCATGCAATCATTGCGTGATTGAAAAAAAAAAAGGTACATTGATTGATTGTCGTCCTTGAATCCCCAAAGACCATTCCTCTCACTCCCCACCCAAATCCCTCGTGGCGAAGGGGCGTGTGGGACGAGGAGATGAGTAGCGCCGAGAAGGGCCGGAAATGACGCGCGGGCTGGTAGCCGGTGCTCGTGATGGTATCGAGCGAGAGGAGATGGTGAAAAAAGGAAACCTCCGAAACTTCCCCGGGCATCGGGCCGATGGGATGTGATTCCCCCCCGTGTGTGTCCTTGTCCCACGCCTCTTGCCTGCCTGACTGACTCTTCTCACTCTCTCGTTCAATACATCCGCCCTCCGCTCCTCTTCAGCGTCTTCTGGTCGGAGGTGACGCGGGCCCCCCTTTACCGCTCTCACTCGTTGGCACCAACGTACCGCTCGGGGAGGTCCACCTCCCAGATCGGCCTCTCCACGAGGACGGCCTCGAGGGAGGGGGTCTTGCTGCCTGCGTCGTCGACGACGGCGGCGGCAGGGCCCGAGGAGAGGGGCGCTATACCCAGGATGGGACGGTACTTGTAGGTGTACCACCACCGCGTCTTGCCCTCGGCGCCCTCCTCGGTCTGGGTCTCCTGGTTCCGGTTGCGGAGGGCCGCGAGCTCGCCGCCCTCGCTCTCGCTGCCGTCGTCGTTGTCGTCGTCGTCGTCATCGTCGGCGGAGTCGTCAACCTCCATGGCGTCCTCGTCCCGGGCGAGCTTCTTCTCGATGTCGTCCTGCCACTCCTTGGAGGCCTTGGAGCCGACGAAGCGGTCGACCTGGTGCGGAGCGATGGCGCCGATGGCCATGCGCGCGCCGGCGCCGCTCTCGGGTCCCTTGCGCTTGCGCTTCGTGCCGGCCTGGCGCTGCTGCTGCTGCTGCTGCTGCGGGACGACGGCGGTCTCCGGGTCGGTTGTCGCGCCAGTGGGGGCGGCGAGGTCCTGGGAGAGGTCGAGCATGAAGAGGAAGGAGACGCCGTAGATCCACACGCGCGGGCCCTGCCAGAGCAGGCCCTTGGCGAGGTCGCGGGTGTCACGGATCGTCGCGGGCAGCCTGGAGACGGGGTTGCGGCGGGACCACGAGGTGAGGGAGCCGGCGGTGGGGTGGAAGGCGAGGATGTGCCACGCCGTCGTGACGGCCACGAGGGTGTACTCTGTCGCGGCGGCGTCGGTGGTCGTCGTCGTCTCGTCCGAGAAGGAGAGGACGACGGGACACGCCGGGAGCTTGGGCAGGAGGGCGGCGCGGGGGTTGCGGACCCAGCGCTCGTCAGCGGGAGTGGCAGCGTCGTCCCCCTTGCTCGAGTCGTCGTCGTCTTCGCTGTCGGAGGCCGACGCAGCTTTGTCGTCGGCGTTGGCGCCGTCCTCGGCGCTCTGAAGCACCCAGGTGTCGATGTAGCCGGCCAGGTCCGCGGACGCGAGCATGCGGCCGTCGGGAGAGAAGGCGAGCTGAGTGATGCTCCTCTCGTAGTTGCCGAGGCCGCCTAGAGCCTGGTTCTTGGGGATGTTGCGGCGCAGGCGGTTGACGATGCGGGGCTTCTGGATGGTGACTGTGGTGCCGTTGTCGCCGTCGCGGGCGACCTTGGCGACGAGGACCTTGGAGCCGTCCTGGACGGCAGCGAGCCACGCGCCGTCGGGGGACAGAACGACCTTGGCGGCGCCGTGGGCGGCGAGGGGCTTGGGCACGGCGACGGAGGCGAGCTTGACGTCCGAGGGCCGGGTGGGGTCCTGGTGCTGGAGGTGGAAGGCCTTGACGTCGGTGCCGGTGGCGGCGACGAGGAAGGAGCCGTCGTGGTTGATGGCGGCCGAGGTGATGTTGGACTCGCCCTTGACGAGGATAGTCTTGAGGAGCTTGCGGTTCTTGTCGAGGTCGGCGGCGTTGCCGTCGTACAGCCCGTCAAAGGAGCTCTGCAGCTTCCAGATGTGAATCTCGCGGTCCCACCAGCTCACGACCATCCTCGCCGACGGGGCGCTGGCCAGGGGCGGCGAGTGGGGGAGGCTCGAGAGGGTTCTGTGGTTCTCGCGGCCGAGTTCCTTCAGGGGGAGGACGACGGGGGACGCGTCGGGGCCTGTGGAGGAGGGGGGGGTTCTGTTAGCTGGTGCACCAGATGTATAGACGAAATGGAAAAAAAGACGAGAAAAAAAGAGTGCTTACCTCCCGAGACGACGACGCTCATCTTGCTGCTCTCGAACGAGGCCATGGCCTTGACGTCGTGATCGTGGTATTTCCTGCTCCAGACTTTGCCCCATCTTGCGCCGGAGCCCGAGGTCTTCTTGTAGAGGACGGTGCGGCGGTCCATGCCGCCGCTGAGGATGGCGGAGCCGTCGGCGCTGATGGCGAGGCTGAGGACGTCCTGCCTGTGGCTCTGGATGCGCTGCATTTGGGTGTAGGTCTTGCCGTCCCAGATGCAGACCTGGCCGGTGGAGTCGGCGGAGACGATGTCGCCGGAGGGCAGAACCTTGACGCTCCAGACGATGATGTCCTTTGCGCCGCCGGCGAGGTCGGCGCCGAGGCCCATCTTGCGCAACATAGAGCCGTTGCGCATATCGTAGGCGCGGAGGGTGGAGTCGGAGCAGCCGACGACGACGACGTGGCGGGACTGGAAGGCGATGCTGACCATCTGGGCCTTGCGGGTGGGGGACTTCACGAGGAGGCGCTGGAAGCGGAGGTCGCCGTCCTCGAGGGAGTAGAGGGCGAGCATGCCGTCAATGGTACCAGCGACGAGGCGGGTGACTGGGTCCTGGGGGGAGGCGGGGGGCTGGGCAGCGAGGCACCAGATGTCGCCGTGCTGGCCGCTGGCGTGGCGGAGGGGGCGACCGGCGGCGAGGTCCCATTCGGTGACGGCGGAGGTGTAGCCGATGCTGAAGAGGCGGGCGCGGTCGTCTTCGGGCTCGTTCACCCATACGAGGCCGTCGACGGAGCGGTCGGCGCCGGAGCGGAGGACGGTCTCCTGGTGCCAGGCGCCGGCGAGGGGGTTCCAGATCTCGACGTCGCCATTGGCGCGGCCAACGGCGAGGCGCGAGAGGGCGGCCTGGTTCTTTGAGCGGGCGACGGGGTGGGAGAAGGCAAGGGCGTTGATGGCGGAGGGAGGGTAGGGAACGAAGCGACAGCGATGGAGGTCCATGGCGAACGAGGTGGTGTGGTATGTATGCGTGTGTGTGTATTTGTGTTTTGAGTTTGTGCGATGGCCTCGAGGCCGGACGGACGGTTATTCGTGCAGTCAATTGGGGGGGTAGGATGAGCGGGTTCGCTGGCGAATGGGTTGGAGGATCTTGTCGTAATAAAGACGAAATCGAGGTCGTCGGTGGAGGGAGAGGGCGGGAGGAGGAGGAGGAGGAGGAGGAGGAGTTGTGGTGGTGAGGCTGACGAGAGTTGGCGGTGGCAGCTTGTTTCTCTCTCGTCTCTCTCTCTCTCGCGCTCTGCCAAAAAATTCGCGGCTGCCAAAAAGTTTTGTCGGCGGTCGAAGGATGGAAAAAATAAAAATAAAAAGATTTAAGGTGTGGTCTGTGCTCTGAAATGCCCCTCCACCCCACTGGCGGGAAGCACCTGAGAGGACGAGAGGATGAGAGCGCCAAGAGGGACGTTTGCTCCTGTGGCATAACTATATATGTATGGCGATGAAAGACCCAAAGACGTTGTTGGTTCAAGATTGAGGATTTCATGTTTTTACTGGTTGTTTCTATTCTTTTTTTCTCTTCGTTTCTTTTCTTTGTGTGTCTTTCTCAGTTGTTCCTATATCAAGTCTTTCACTCACGTGGGTACATGTCATGTGCAATTACATAATAGAGTATTAGGTAATCAACTAGGTATCCATGCTAGATACGGTACGTACCCGACCATCGGCCGCGTGTTTCACCCGCCGATGAGTTCCCAAGAGTTGTCAATCGAGCATCCAAATGGCTTGAGCGTCTCATTGGCTGACACAACGGATGGATGGGACCCTTTCTCGCCCTCCTGCAACGGACGCTTGGATTCGTGTCCGTTCGTCTCTGCTTGGCAAGCTTTCTGGACCAATTCTGGGGAACGGTTGCAACAGAAAAAAACATTTTCATTATCCGCATCCTCTGCCAACTTCGAGTTGCCCTCGCACGATATTTGCTCTGCTGCTACCCTGATAGTGCGTGCGTGCATGCGTGTCTGGGATTCATGGTCCTATCCCCGCCGGTTTGAATCCCAACTGCGACAACGGCATATGGAAAAGCTGCCGTACGACGTCGTGCCTAAAACTAAAAACCCATGTCGTTGAAACTCCCTCAACTGGTGATCCCTGCCAGCCAGCTTCCTGCCAATGTGTGGTGTGTCTGTCTGTCTTATCAATCAGGTTTGCTACTTACTGCCGCACCACTACTCAGACTACTCCCGGCAAGACACGATATGGTACTGACAGAGCACCAAGGTACGTCTTCAATGCAGTTCCTCTCAAGGTCACACAGGGTACACAATGATGGTAACACAGCTGGAATAACCCGTTTTTGAATTGAGGGATAGAAACTCAGTACAATGGAATGTCGTCACCAAACCTCCCTATTAGCCAAGGCTGGCAGAGCTTTCCGGGATGACTCCATTAGTTGCTATAGCTAGCTACTGCTTGCTGCTGTGACTGTCTTCCTATCTGTTTGCTCTTCACCTCGTCAGATGATACTGACAGAGCACGGTAACCTGCATAATCCAAGCTCGCGGGTTTTAGACGTGTCGTAACGCTGCAACAGTCCCGCCGATTCGTCATCCTCCCTCTCTCAACCCCTCCACATACAAACATCCCATCCCTTTGCTCTCCTCCCCTCCCCCTCCCCCTCCCCCTCCTCCTCCCGCCCCTCCGAGCTTTGTCACGATCGCGCCCGCTGGTGACACGCGCATTCCGCCATCGCCTGCAGACTCTTTTCTTTTCGCCAATCGCTCTGCAACAAACACACGCACACGCATAGCATACATACATACGCCCACGCATTGATCGACCGACCTTTGCGGCGCAATCGAGACCGCCAATCGGAAAAAGAAAAAAAAACCAGCAGCCATGGATTTCAACAGCTCGTCGCCGTTCCCCGAGGGCGTCATATCCTTCCTCGACACCGACCTCTACAAGCTGACGATGCAATGCGCCGTCTTCAAGTACTTCAAGGACGTCCCCGTCACCTACGCCTTCACGAACCGCACCCCCGAGAAGAAGTTGTCGAGGGCCGCCTTCCAGTGGCTGCAGGACCAGATCCAGAGTGAGAAAAAGAACTCTGCCCCTCCAACCCCTCCAACCCCTCCAACCCCTCCATACCCTCCAAACCAACCCCTCCACAGCAAGGCACCAATGTTTTTTTTTTTTAATTTTTTAATTTTTTAATTTTTCTTTAAAGAAAAAGACGATGAAAAGCTCCTCCCACTGACTTACCCCGCGCACGACAGAGCTCGGCAACATTTCCCTCTCGGACGAAGAATACCGCTTCCTCAAGGCGCACTGCGATTACCTCAGCGATGAGTATGTGCACTTCCTCAAGGACTTCCGCCTGCGCCCTCGCGAGCAGGCCGTCGCAACCTTCCACCCCGTCGGCGACGATACGGGCGCCGACTCGGACATTGGCGACCTGCACGTCGAGATCAAGGGTGCCTGGCTCGACACCATCCTCTACGAGATCCCGCTGCTCGCCCTGACCTCCGAGGCGTACTTCCGCTTCATGGACACAGATTGGAGCTACGAGGGCCAGGAGGAGCAGGCCTTCGCCAAGGGCATGCGCCTGCTCGAGGCCGGTTGCACCTTTTCCGAGTTTGGCACCCGCCGCCGTCGCGACTACCATACACAGGCCCTCGTCTTCCGCGGCCTCGTCAAGGCCAGCAAGGAGGCCGCCGCCAAGGGCTTCGCCGGCCGCCTAACCGGCACCAGCAACGTGCATCTGGCCATGCGCTTCGGCATCCCGCCCGTCGGCACCGTTGCCCACGAGTGGTTCATGGGCATCGCCGCCATCCACGACGACTACAAGGCCGCCACCGAGCTGGCGCTGCGCTACTGGGTCGGCTGCTTCGGCGGCAAGCTCGGAATCGCGCTGACGGACACGTTCGGCACGCGCGAGTTCCTGCGCGCCTTCAGCCAGCCGGTGCACCCCATGGACGGCGACGAGAGCCGGTTCAGGACCGCCGACGGCACCAGGCTGCTGACGTACGCCGAGCTGTTCCAGGGCGTACGCCAGGACTCGGGCGACCCGGCCGACTACGTTAAGATGCTGCGCCAGTACTACGACAGCCAGGGCATCCGCGACAAGACGATAGTCTTTTCCGACTCGCTCAACATCGAGCGGTGCCTCGAGTATAAGGACATCTCGGAGAAGGCGGGCTTCACGCCGACCTTTGGCGTGGGCACCTTTTTGACCAACGACTTTACGCACCTCAAGACGGGCACCAAGTCAGTGCCCCTCAACATCGTCATCAAGCTGAGCTCCGCCAACGGCCGGCCGGCGATCAAGATTAGGTGAGTCGCTATCCTCTCCCCTCCTTCTGGGATATATGGGTGCTGGAATGAAAGGCCAAAGGGTCGCACTAACGAGGTTTCCAGCGATAACATTGGCAAGAACACAGGCGATAAGGACACGGTGGACAAGGTCAAGAGCCAGCTCGGCTACGTCGAGAAGGAGTGGAAGGGCGGCGACGAGACGCAGCGCTGGGGCAAGGAGGAGGACAAGGCGTAGGGGCTCGCCGGTGCCATTTAGAGCGCGTCCGGCGACGGACTGGGGGAAAGAATGTTTCCAAGGAATTATCCATGATGGTACGGCAGAGCCCGGCATCATGACAGGGCAGGGAGGCAGGGGCAAGAGGCCTCTGATTTTGACGACGGTGAGGTATAGACTTTTTTTAAGATACCTGTTGATGGATACAGAAATCGAATTGGCCGAGTGCCGGCAGAAGACCCTAGATGGTGCTTTTCATGCGACTCTTCCCCTGGCAGAATGGAAGAGAGAGGAGATGTTAAGGGGGCAAGCCTCGTATCATCTGAACAGGTAGGCAAGCAGGCATTGGTCACGGGCGAAGCCTTGGTAACTGGCGCCTCATCAGTTGCTACCCGGCCGAGTCCACGATGGTCTTTGCTAGACTCGCCTCTCACTCACCACTGGCAAGACTGACATCACGGCAAGAGCCACACCTCGAGCCAGAAAAAAGGCAGGGACGATAGAAAAGGTGGGGCCGTAAACATCGAATCTGCGGAAGTTCCGGCGGCAGGAACGGCGTTGTTCTGTTCGTGCCTGCGTCGAGAAACATCGTCGCTCTTCCCTCTTCCGCTACGAGTTAGAAACGGCAAGGAGGACGACAGCTTCCTGCCCCTCTTAGCCAATATCCACGGAAGTTGCCAATTCCTCTCTCACATCATTGATTCCCTCTCCGCATCGTCACCTTCCTTCTCATATCCCTCCCTTTTCATGGAAGCAGCACGATGCGGCCGACACGTCGGGCCATATCTGTCCTCCCCCCCCTTCCCCCCTAATCCCAACCTCTTCTTCTTCTTCTTCTTCTTCTTCTTCTCCTCTTCCACACACATCTCCTCCCCTCACCAACATCATCCCACTTTCGCTTCAGTTTTGGCTCGTTTTCTTGGACCTCAAGTTTTGGAACCTTCATTCCCTCTCTCCCACAGTTCTCTTCGAAACGCATCAAGAGTCATTCCACTCATTTCATTCCCCGGCTATTTTAGCAGAAATCCTCCATCATGCGGCTTTGTCGTCCTTTAGGACCCTCACAATGGCAGAGCCAGACGATGGTCGGCGTAGGCCTCGTCATTCTGACCTTCTTCACGGCATTGGCCGTCTCTCAGGCATTGCCACGAGTCCGGAACGACAACACCGCCGACAACCTGGCCATGAGAGACACCAACGTCCAAGCCAGACAGCTTCAAGGCGCTCCCTGGGGCCTTCCTTGGGGTATTTTCGATGGCGTTCGATCTGCCTCGCCTGTCAATCTCGCTCAACCTGCCATCGCCACGCCTCTGCCCGCCGCTGCTCCCGCTTTACCCAATAACCAACCACAGGCCATTCCGGGGGTGCTCGCTTCTTTGACAGCGGCCATCGGAGGTGCCATACCCAGCAACGTATTGGCCTCTGCCCCCAACGTTGTGTCCACACTACTTCAGCCTGGCGGCCCTCTCAGCCTTCCTCCTGCCGTCCCGAGCGGTGAGGCAGGACAGACCCCGAACAGCGGTGGACTGCTGATTCCCATCCAGAGTCTCGTCAGCATTATCGTTGGCGCAGCAGGCAATGCCGGTTCTCCTATCTCTCTGTCTGGCGTCACTGGCGTTCTCAACCCTCTGACAACACTGGTTGACGGCGGCGGGATCCCCGCATCGCAGGTCACTGCAGTTACCAACAATGGAGTTCCTGTCGGTGGTGGTCTCCTTACGGCTACTGCCCTCTCAGCAGCTATCGGCGTCATCACAGCGGCCCCAGGAATTTTAACTACTGCCTTGCCTATCTCAAACGTCGTCCCCAGCTCACTACCCGTGTCAAACTTGAACGGCGTCCTTAGTTCCGTCTCAGTTGTCTTGCCAGATGCAATGCCTTCGGTCGATCTCGGTGGACTCAATGCACCTCAACTACCTACCGACTTGGCTGCCACTGTACCTAACCTTATCGGTTCACTCATCAATCCAATCACCCAAGATGATGCTTCAGTCTCTACCACCGGAGGTACTCCCAATCAGGCTACGATTTCTCCGGTCTCGGCTGCTTATTTCCCTTGTACAATGGTCGAATTCGCCAATGGAACCCCCACTTTCATCTTCACAACCTGTTCTACTGGTGCTTCTGCTGCACGCCCTCAGCCAGCCGCGTCGACCGCCTTGAGCTCGGCATCTGCTCCGGTCTCATCTGCAACAGTCGGGTCAGTGAGCTCCCTTGTGCTATCGGGAGTACCGTCCACATCCTCCGCTCTGTCTGTAGGCGGCGGCACAGCCAACCTCCCTGTGTCTTCTCCAGCCACCCCTTTCGTCACCCCAGGAAGCTCGCTGGCAGGAACCCCACAGCGCTCATCGACTCCCGCACAACCCACTGCTGACATTAACGATGGTTCTCCCGTCAGTGCATCTCCATCCCAGCCCGGAGCTGGAAGCCAGGGGAACAGCGTACAGCCTCAGAACCCCAGTTCAACTGGCCAGTTCCAATCACTTACAACGAATTCAAACGCTTCATCAAACCTTACCCCAGGTACGTCAGTGGCAGCTGCCGTCTCTTCTCTCAACTAATATGTCTTTTCAGTCATCCAAACGCCTGCTGGCGCTACTGGGCCTCCCAGCCAGCCGAACGGCGGTGTTACTGCTCCTTCGCCGCAAGCCCCGGCAGTCAGCATTCAAACAACTGTAACCGTTGCTGCCGGGCCACCGGCCTCGCAGCCAAGCGAGGCGCCATTGGGCAGCAAAAGCAGCCCCAGCTCTTCTCCTACTCCGTCCGGAGGTTCAGTATTCGCCGACGACGGACAGGGCTCTTCGCCTGGCGGTAGCGCCCTCCCAGGCACGCCGGTCATCCCCATTTCCGACTGCCCCGCTGTTGTTCAATGCCCAGCATGTCCGGCATCTTCTGCAGAGCCTCCTTCAAGCTCTGACCCGTGTCCGGGTCGAGGCTATTCGTGCTCAGAGTGTCTCAACGGCTGGTTTTGCCCCCCCAAGGAAACGCCAATGCTACCCGCCCCCTGCGGCATGGGTTGGCCATGCTACCACTGCAAGGGCGGCTGGTACTGTGCACCTAGTGGAAGCGGCGGAGCACCCGCAGGCGCAAACAATCCCCCAGCGGTCGTCATCACAACTGTCACGGCTTTTCTCGCACCTCTGCCCACCGGGCCTGCCAACGGTGGCACTGGCGGCGATGGCGGTGACGGCAACGGAGGATCCGGCAACAGTGCGGGCAATGGATCTGGAGATGGTTCAGACAACGGCTCCGGCGGTAGTGATGCTGGGAACACCGGAGGCTCCCCAGGAAATGGTGTACCCGCCAGCGTCAGTTCAGGCAATGCTGCATCAACTCCTTGTACAACTACCAGCAATACGCAACCTACTAGCACGACCGGTTCTGGAGGTGGTGGCGGCAATGGTAATGGGTCTGGCGATGGGCCGGGTAATGGATCTGGAAACAGCTCCGGCAATGGCTCCGGCGGTAGGGATGCTGGTAACACTGGAGGCTCTCCAGGAAATGGTGTACCCACCAGCGTCGGTTCCAGTAATGCTGCATCAACTTCCTGTACAACTACCAGCAATACGCAACCTACCAGCCCGACTAGTTCCGGAAGTGGTAGCGGAAATGGCAACGGAACACCCAACAGTCCGGGCAATGGAAACTCTGTCAGCACTCCCATTGGCAACGGCCCGTCTCTCACCACTTCAACAACTGATCCCAATACAGGATCCGGCAGCCCCCCTGGAAATGGTTCTCCTACAAATGGCGGACCTCCCAGTAATGATTCTGGGAATGGCCCAAATGACGGGCAGGGGAGTTCGGGCTCCGGCAACCCGCCATCTGGCTACGGAGACCCTCCTTCCGCAAGCCCTGCTGCCGGGAACCCCAATGACGACCCCGGCTCAGGGGCACCAAACGGCAGTGGCGCACCTGGCCCCGCAACTACAGCAGCTGGCGGCAACGGAGACGCAGGCTCTGGCAACCCCAATGCCGGGCCCGGCGGTGGATCACCCAGCAATGTCACCCCCAAAGCTGCCGCCGAGGTCTCTGGCTGGACGCATCTTGGCTGTTTCAAAGACTCTCCCGTCCGGACTCTGGACTGCGACCCATCCAAATATTTTGCTGGAAGCATGTCCAATGAGAAGTGCATCTCACACTGCGCTGCGCAGGGCTTCAGGCTCGCCGGCACAGAATACGGAAAAGAGTGCTGGTGTGGCAATGCATTCCAACTGGCCGAGCGCATCCCCGAGCAACAGTGCAACGAGGTATGTGATGGACGTTCCACCGACATTTGCGGTGGTGACTGGGCTGTCACGGTCTACAGTGCCAATGGTCAAGCCCTCAGTGTCCCATCCGACGATGATACTGGCAACGGCAACACCTCTGGCAACGGGAAAGGTTCTGGAAATACGACCAGTCCAGGGTCTCCATCAAACCCCCCCGCTGGGCCGCTGGCTTCTTCGAGTCCCCCTCCTCCTCCTCAAACAAGTTCCCAAGGCCAGCCGTCTCCAGCCCCTGCAGAAAACCCTCAACCGGCCCTTACTCCTTCAGGGTCGCCCAGTGCACCGTCACAGCAGCAGATTGATGTGGTGTCCCTCATCAATAGCATCATCAACGCTCTTCCCAAAGGGAGCCTGGATGGCGGATACGGCAGCGGTCTGGGAGCAAGGGACTCTGGGGCGTCTGACAACAATGGAGCCGAATCACCAGACAATGCCGGCATTCCTAATGCTGGTGCAGGAGGCTCACCCATGATGGGACCAGGGCCTGTCATCCCGACAGTCGGTCTCAGTGGTTACGGTTCCCAGAAGCGTGATGTGGCAGGCCGGAGCGTGAAGCGGAGCAGCATCATAGGACGACGTGCGGTCGCCAAATCCGACAGTGCCAATATTGTCGGAGACGCAGATGGATGTGATGGCGACTGTGTGGTCGAGGAGGTTTAATTTTCAAACAAGGGGCCTCGTCATAATGACTGTATCATGAAATATGTGTTATGATCGTTGTTGCTGGATGTGGTCAGTACCGGTGCTAGGATTTGGGGAAAAAGGCGACGGCATGAGATATCGCCTGAACTCGGATAATATAATCAATCATGGCTATGACACTTGTCTTTTGGCTCCTCAGTGACAGTTTTGGTGCATCAACAGCAAACCTAGTGATCCTACAAACGGTGGTAACACCAGGCCACGTCACCTAGTTTCCTAGATAGGTCATGGCCACGTTGGAACCAGCGCTCGATCTTGTTGTTTTATTCAAACGAGGTGGTGAGATTTCTGGGGCTGGAGACACCTGTCAGCTTACACACACACACACACACCAGGCGGCTATGCGGATTATTATGAGACTTGCAAAGGTCACTGGGTGGCCGTGGATACATTGATGATAATAAGCGTATCTAATTCATTATGTCCTGTTGTGCCATACGGGCCTCAATGTGTTTTCTACTTTTGATTTAGAACAAGTATCTCTCGGCCCTTTTCCCGTCCTGTCGATGTTAGATTTCGTGAGCTGTTTTATGCTGTGCCATAAATTCATTATGCTTTTCGTCGGCCGTTGCATTACTATTCCCGGGGCTGCTAATGGCCTGGGCAAGTCCTCGTCGCTTCCTCGTCTTTGCATGTGGGTCATTTCCTGCTCAGATCTGGAGAGCGCCAACGGTGGCGGCGGACAAGAGGAGGGCGCCGATGGTCAGGCCGAGGGTGCTCAGGCCGCCGGGGGCGTGCAGACCGGCTGGGGCGGCGGCGTTGGGCGACGAGGTGGAGCTGGCGCCGCGGCCGCTGCCGCTTGAGGTGTCGCTGGCGGAACCGCCGTCGTCGCCGGCACCGCCGGAGGCGACGACGCTGGCCTGGGCCGAGGCCGGGGGCGGTACGTTGCCTGTGGCGGTGGCGGAGGCATTGACGTCGCCGTTGTCGCGGCAGAAGACAGCGGTGTAGCCGGCGCCCTGGTCGAATAGGCAGTCCTGCAGGTCGCGGATGGACTGGCCGAGGGCGAGGCAGTAGATGCCGCAGCCGTCGTAGTAGGAGACGACGTCGGCGTCGCGGCAGCAGGCGGACATGATGGCCGTGTGGTTGCCGGCGAGGGGCATGGCGCAGACGCGGTCCTGGCTGGGGGTGTCGTAGAGGTTGGAGGTGCAGACGGGGGCGGTGGAAGAGGGGGCGGCGGGGGGCGCCGAGGAGGCGGATAGGGCGGTCGAGGACATTGTTGCGGGTGGTGGTGGTTCTTCTTTTTGTTTTTTCCTTTCTCGAGTGTGAGGATGACTGATGCGTATCGCGATGGGTTGTTTGGCTGAACAGGCGGCAGATGCGCGACCGTGAAGAGTTGGAGATGGGATGGGGAGTGAAGTATTGGAAATGGGATCCAAGGGGGGGGGGGGAAGGAGAGGGATCGATGGGGGTTTTGTTTACATACAACGGATACGAATCCCAATGAGCTTCCCTCGTTTTCTTCATCTTTCCCTGTTTTTTTCTTCTTTCTTTTTCAGGGTTCCCACCCTTCCCCCAGTCCTGGCTGGGGCTTTGCACGCCCAGTCGCCTCGGTTTCCGTTACCCCATTGTTTCTCAATCGAACACGAGCGAATGCCACGCGTGTGTGTTGTCCAAGAAACTCCCTTCGCGGATCCTGACGGCTCCAGTCTGACGTGTGAAAACAAAGCCCCCCCCTGGCTAAGCCTCCCTCCTTCCTACATAGTACGTTCTCCCTCCCGGCAGTGCCTCTTCTTAGCGCGTCACCCCAGACAGCTAGCTGCGAAGATGTGGCAGGGTAGTGAGCGCCGGCAAAGCCAGCGGGAAGGCGGGTGATCTTAATAATACCGGGGCCGGTTGGTTGGGGAACCGGCCGGGGTGCGTCCAGCCAGCGTCGCAGTCGATCTGGCAGAGGAGCATTTTCGTATGTGGGGACGGCGTGTGCCTTTTTTTATCCCTCCCCCCACCCTTCTTCCTCCCTCTCCCGTTGGAGAGAGGCTCTGTTGCAAGCCAAGTGTGTGTGTGTGGCTAACGTGTGGTATACTTACGCAAGGGGGGGGGGCAGATGTTTTGCCAGCTGAACGGGGCCGCCTAGCAACCGTGGCGCATAAATCGCACGACCAGGCTTTTTGTTTTTTCTATTATTTAACAAGCAGCTCTTAGGTACGAGGCGCCGGAGGGAGGGGCAGCTTGATGGATGCTGTGTCACTACCGGATTCGCCTGGTGGAATGAGTGGAGAGAGATTGGTGGTTAGGCCTCCCCCCCATCCTGCTTGTTGGGTTGGTTGGTCCTAGTCTGATGCCGTGAGAGAGCAACGTCGGTAACGGTGTGCACGAGGTGCTGAGACAGACATGTGTCGAATTGAGGAGCTGAAATGGGCGTGGCCAATTGGGGGGAGATGGGGGCGAATGGACCGTAAGGGCGCGCGTCATCCGAGACTAGTGTCGGGGCCGAGATTCAGCTGTTTTTCGCGTTGATTGAAAGCTCAGAGTGGTATCGGGTGGCCTGGTGATGCGTCCTGCCTGCTACCGAGGTCTAGAAAAAGAACATGATGGTGTTTGAACACTGGGGGGGGGGGGGTTGCGTAGGGATCGCACGAAGCTGGGCTGATGTGACGTGTATATCTGGGTTGTCTTCCGCGACCTGCTTGGGCTGGTAAGATGAGCAGGACGAAGGGTAGCGCTGCCGGATAACTCGGCCGTAATTGCGGGCAGCTGGACGAACCCCGCCCGGTACCGGGTTCGGGGGACCAAGTGGGGCCGTGCCAGAATCCGGGCCCCCCGACTGTGGGTTCTTGGTTCGGGAATACGGCGGGCCAGATTGTAGTTCACCTTTAGTAGTTGCGACGAGGGAGATGCTTTTGCTTTCATAGGGTTGTTTATATATTCTAGCAACGCTGCGTGGTTTCCAACATATCTCAATGACCGCCATGCTCCCTTCTGCAAAAGTTGCCAGTTACTCAAGTACCGGAAAAACACCGAGCGATGTAATATAAATGCGCCACCAGACCCAAGGCCATGGCGATGCTGGACGAATTCCTTGCCGGACTCATGAGACGGTAAATTTCCCTGATCAGATATGAAAGACTGTCGCTGCACGACGAGCCCCTTCTTCTTCCTGCAAAACACTGCCCACACTAGGGAAGTAGCTTCACGAACCAGCCATCTGTTGCAACACAGGGCTATACTTGCGCAACGGTAGCATAATTAATAATTCGAGAACATTTACTTCTTTTTACGGTTTATCTATTCCTCTGTTTCTGCTTCGACTAGCTGTGTGTCCTATATACCTAGCTTGTGGTACTGACACGGGGCCACCCGGGAGGCTCCAACACAAGAAATAAATCCATATAGAAGCTACAAGAAGCTTGGCGAACAATTATCTTGACCTTACGTAATAGTTTTTGCTTCCTGCATTGCCAACTAAACGAATTTTCCATTTCACAATCAGTAGTTCCAGTGTGAGGCAACACTCAAAAAAGTATGCACTAAGTTAAGCCTCAGCGTAACATACGTTGTAAGTCTAAGTCGGCATCCGTCCATCAAGGGGGTAATAAGGAAAGGTTGATTAATTTTAGGAAGATACTCAGCCTAAGCCGTCCAGGATTTAGCATCAAGCTTGTAATGTCTACTTTCCTGGCAAGAATCTTTGTCTCTTAAGCCAGACCATCCGCTTACAGTACAAACAATGTCAAAAGGTTTACCTTAATCCAGAAAAGCAACTTCTTTGCTTTTATCCCTAATTACAGGCCTCTTGGTGTGTACCGTTAATCACAACGTAAACTTATAAAGTCGTGGAATCTAGGGTAATGATAATGCGAGTAAAAAGATGCAAACAGCCAAAAGGAGGCCTGCACTATAAGTAGTGCAGGAAATAGCCGCTTTGTTGTCTAGCCAGAGGCGGCTATCAGAACTCAGCACTCGCCAGGCGTTTGAATGGCTGACGTGCCGCCGCAGGGAAGCCTTCAGATGCACGAGCAGACCTACCGTGATACGGAATGTGCACAGGTATACTTTTGTGTCCATCACGCATGAAGCGAGCGCGCAAGCCTTGTTATAGTTGGGCTTTCGCAGCCTGCAATGCCCACAATCAACACCCTCGATGTATCGCTGTTACCTGCATGTTAGTGCATAGTCTGCTGCTCTACCGCTGATCCCGGCCCAGTGCTTATACAAGGACCTGTTCCAACAGACACCTGTAATGGTGGCCTTGCGGAGGTTGACCTTGCCTGAAGGGTTGGTCAGAAAGAAGTCGAAGGGCGGATCACTGCGCTCCGCATCTGTCCCATGTCTCCGAATCGGCACAGACTCTACTAAGGGTTTTGATCTTAGCTGTTGCCGGAAGGCTAATGAGAGTTCGACTGTCCTCCGACACATCTTCCTGCTGCTTGGTGGAACGGGAGGCGGCCATTGACCACGCTAACATCCATCCACCCGGTCCCGGTACACATATTGATAGAGGTTGAAGACGCGATGTATTTGTTTGAACTGGGGTTTCAAAGCTTCAAATCCGGGCAATCATAGTGCCTCGACTGAGGAGCCGCCCTTATTGGACGATGGACATGTTGGTGATGTATGCACGTTGGAGCATGTTCGGAGGCTTAAAGACTAGAGTTCCAGCATGTGTAAGTCGGATCACACCAGCATTGGCTTTGTCGGCCCGCCATGGTGCATTTGCCAATCGGAAGTAAGCATTACCACACCAGCCGCGGACCTTCACTGTTAACCCTACTAGACCCGATGCGTCCACGTTCATTCCAGCAGGGGTTATGAAAAATAGTTAGTCAATGAGGGAGGTCAGCCCGCTCAAGAAAACTTACCAGTGAGGCATAGCCTCAATCTGGAGGGCACTGGTCCGCTATGGTTGAGACCATTTGGAGTTGATGAGGTGTTAGAGGGCTACGTACGGACAAGAATGAGTAACCGAGTCTTCTTCTCAAACACTTGATCAAGACACACCCGACTTAATTCTCCTTGCACTCTTGGATACGAGGATGATACTGGCTTGGCCAAGTGACTACGTAGTAAAGGGGAATCTGTACGTCCCGTCGATGCCTCATCGGTACCTCACCAACTGCTCCTTAACTCCGTCTTCAACTAGCTTATGTACAACAAATCGTAATTGGACAAGCCTGGGAACATGACCTTACAGCTACAACTCAAATGATGTGAACTTCGGGGTGTTCTGGAGAACATTCTCGTTGCTTTGTCCCCTGTTAAACCTCACGTAATACATCCAGGAGTTGTTAGGGTTACTGTTGGTCACCTGGCGTCCTCGATTCTAGAGGAGCTTTTCCCAGAACCTTTCCCATCTGACTTGCGTCGCCTCAGACGCCACGTCTAGCTAGCTATACCCGTAGCGTGTATTCAGAACCCTCTAGATCCAAAAGAATCCGTGTTTACCGGGATCGCGACCGCAGAGACATCTTTACAATAAGTCTCACGTACGTTCAACAGAAGGCAATCACATCCCTTGTCTGTAAGCACAATCTATGGGTTCCTGACTTCTTAACTGAACGCTTGATCACCATCCTACAATCTCTCTAGAAGGATTCTATATTTCAGTTGTCCTTCCTAGCCTGGGCTGCCTTTCTACAGCTCTTCCCGCCCCAACAGCCCACCCTAATGGCGCCTGCCCCTCTCTTTGCCTCTATGGCATTTCAGCCTACTGTGGCGCCCACTGGTCGGCCACAGCGAGACCTCTATGAATCTCTTGAGATGCAAGCACCCTCCCTGACTATCTCCCCTGGCTAGATGTGATTATAATAACACTGTAACAGCCTCTACTCTACTGGAATCTACGTAGATCTGACTATATCCTCTGTTGCTAAGAGCTATCTAGTACACCACCCTATTGTCTGTCTACGCTCTGATTTTTTAGCTGCTGCATGCTGTAACCTATTTAAAGTACTTATATCTCTGTCTTAGTATAATAAAATAAACTACTGACACTAGCTACTGCATAGGAAGCTCTTAATAGCGTTATCTCCCTCCTAAATAATAAACCTTATGTTATAGACATAATAATCTAATATTTCTACTGTCTTAACTATTAATAGCTTCTTAACCCTAATAACTGTCTAAAGTTGTTAGAGCAGCATAACAACTGCAAGAACTTTCTAGGGCTCCTTCTCTACGCTAAGGTGTACGTAATTACAGAGAAGTATGCTATTAATAGCCTTAAAGACCTTGCTGTAAGTAAATTCAGGACAACTGCTATAGAAACTTAGGACGATGGCGATTTTCTGGATGCTGCTGGCGAGGCTTACACTTCTATAATTGAAACTGATCGCGGCCTGCGGGACGTCATCATGGAAGTATTTGCTAAACACGAGGACCTGCTAGACCGGGATGAAGCAAAGACACTCGTTATGAGACTAGGCTCGCTTGCTTATGATCTTCTCGTGCATTTTTATCGGGAGGGGAAACTTTGGTATTAAAACGTGTGAATAGTGTCTTGAACCTTGTGGGTTAACTAGTCTGGGACAACGGCACCGGAGGGGTGCCAGTGGGCCGAGGCCGGCCCGGCACGCTCTCATCGGGGTTAGGAGCTTGGGAGAGATCGCATTTTGATCATGTCAAGCCTCGTATTACTACCGAGCCGCGCCGCTCTGACACCTATTATAAAGCCATAATCGTTCCTTTCTTACAGTTCTGGTACATACAGGAGGGCATTAAAACGGCAGAAAACAGCTCTACAACACCGGAACGGGGCGATCGCCAGATGTCGTAACAGTTCTAGCTTCTTGTCATTTTATGTGGGTACATCCCGATCGAGTCTGCGTAGTAGTGTTGCCTCATGGGGAATTTATTGCTGCTATTTGTTGGGGAAACGAAGCGTAGCGCGCCAGGATGGATATTACGAGCAGCTGGAATCGCCGTCCGGTTCCGAGTTCCGGAGACCAAGTGGGGCCGGCTTGAACTCCGGGCCCTGGATTGTGGGTTCTTGGCTCCGGAATGCGATGGAGTCAAACTCCAGCTCGGCTGTTCAGCGGTTTCAACTAGGGAGAGTATCCTTGCTTTGCCGAGTTGCTTGTTGTCACAGGATATAAGGCGAGATCTTTCTAGCCGGCGTGCCTGGGAGCTGTGTTCGACGTGAACGGATCAATCAGGCCAAGGGAAGCCAACCAGCAGACTTGTTGACGGGTAACGGAATGGCTATTATCAGCTTATAAGCCCAACGATATGCGGATGCTACCCTGAGATACTTATGAATGACTGGGCGAGTTATATACAACAAAATCGTTTGCATTTTGTCTTGTCATGGAAACTACGTCTGGAGTAGGTGGTTATCGAAGCCTACACGTTCAGCTACCTTGCTTCGAGCCTTGAGTTCGATGCCCCCCGCCACCTCCCTTCTCGGTTAGGCTTTGGCTTCTGTTCGTCATTGGCGGGGCCAGCCCCCAAAAGTCGACAAATGAATCGGCAATGTTGACATGCTATGAACGGTAACAACCAAATCTTTGCGTACGACTTTAGCAGCAGGGTCAAAAATGCTATACCATCAAGCAACTCGACTGTCTTACGTTATATCGCAGTTGGGAAAGCCTTCATAAGCTTCCTATCATGTTAGAGCTCCAAGGCCACTGCGGCGTCCCGATACTATTACCAACAACGATAAGAGATTGCAATGGGGGGAGCCAGATCCCAAATCGTCCGCGTCGCAGTTAAGCCGGCAGGTTTTCACCGAATTGAATGAGACGCACATTTATGCAGATGGCAGTCGGGTGGGGTGATCTATAAATGCAAACAGGCGATTGGTTCCTGGTATTACGCACATAATGTGCCTTACCCTCATATTCAGCTTGGCATCGCGTGCTGGAAGAAATCTACTGGCTGACTCCGTTTCCTCAGGCTGCATGTCAGACAGCCTGCTTCCATGCTGCAGGTATTTCGCTAGTGCGTCAATGAAGGTGGGTAGGCTGCTCGTTATCTTGAGGCCTTGTATTCCCCTCTGTTTTCTTGCCACAAGCTTCTTGACTAGCTGTGCGAAAGGATTGTCAATCGATACCTCTTCTTACGTCGCCCAGACAGTAAAGCGGCATGGAAACCACATATTTTCTTAGGGTATAAATGCCAGCCATACCCGGTTCGTTACTTTGCTTATCCTGCACTCTTTTCTCCAGTACACAGAAAAAGTTGAAACGTTCGGACAGTCCGGTACAGACCAACCTGCTGACGTTTGTCGAAATCCTTCAAGTTCATTCAGCTAATCTATGGACTAATAGAAAACCTAAAAGGCTTACCGACGCATTTGATGTCAGGTCCTTTCACGGGAGGCTTCGACTTTCGAAAAACATGGCATCAGGCTTCGAGATCTTCGGTTTGATAGGCACCATAATCACCATCATCGACACCTCCATTGAGGTGTTTGGTGCCATCGAAGATCTTCGGGGACTGCCAGAAGCGTTCAAGGAAGTCAACAATCGGCTTCCGCTCATCAAAGAGATTCTAGAAGAGGCCAAGGGCCACGCAAAAGATGCACCCGCCAATGAGGTTAAGGCGCTGGGGAAGACACTGGCTAGCTGCCAAAAGAAGACCAAAGAACTCCAGGAAATTTTCTTGAAGATCCAGATGAAGGCAAAGGACGGCGAGTTTGTTACTTCCGTTTACAAAGCGCTCGTGCTCAAATTAGGCAAGAAATCGCGGGTCGAAGACCTTATGCAGAATATCCTTCAGGACTTCACTGTCTGAGCTACATTTGCTGTCTTTGACGCAGCGAAGAAAAGGAAAGAAGAGCTGGAGAAAGCCGCCCAGGAAATTGCAGGCGTACCTTCATCGCTGTGCGACTCTGTTTTCGACGAGAGTACCGGTGGCACCATTCAGACAGCTCATCGAGACATGTATGTTAACTCAGGCTCTGGCACACTGAGAAACATCCGTGGAAATAATTACGAGGGAAGATATCACTATCACGGTATTATGCCTCCCAAGGAGAGACAAGGGTCATCTCAGTCATCTGCCGATGAGTCATGATCGGTATTGGTGGCTTGGGTCCGGTCACTGACGGTGAGGGCATCAGACAAAGCTCGCAACATATATTTCAACAACTTCCTGTATCCCAACTCAAGTTAGTCCTTCCCCTTGTAGATGGTATCGACCAAAGCTGTACATCTCGGTTTACTACATTCAACACTGTTTACACATTTACTCTCTCAAATGAAAACTTAAAGATGAGGCAAAGACTAACAAAGGACTCTTGATAGGTTCTTCCAAGCAAGGCAAAACGAGCGCTTCCCATCCGTCGCGTAAGTTATTGATACATAGACACACGATCAAGTGTTGTAATATTGATATCTGAAGAACCCGAATTTATCACATGGCTTCTATCATTTTGCCTTACCGATATTCGAAAAAGGCATGACAGATTGCTAGTTCAAAGAACACCTGGTACCGGAGAGTGGTTACTCCAACGAAAAGAGTTTTTGGACTGGATAAATGAAAAGTCCAGAATACTATGGTGTCATGGATCCTGTGAGTTCTGCACTCCCAAGAGTACTTTAATATATCAGGATTTGTTCTAAGAAGAGAAGTGGGCGCAGGAAAAAGCGTTCTAGCGTATGTTGATACCCAGGCCGCTCAGATATGACTTATATCCTCCACTCAACACCAGCTAACGACATTTTGGCTTCTAAGCTCAACAATCATACAACACATAGAATCCGAGTTCGAAGTGAAGAGCACTAGGCCAACAGCCTGCATTCACATCTACTTCAATCATGAATCATCGGTCCACCCGAACTTAGTCCACATATATGCGGGCTTGTTGGTTCAGCTTGTTCAGAAGCAAAAGCTCACACAAATCAGCAATAATCTACAAGACATTTTCAGGAATTCCAAGTATGAAACTGTCACTCCCCGACCGGAAGATTTTCTGGGCATGATTCAAACGCAAATTGAGAGATATTCGCGTGTCTTCTTGGTCGTGGATGCTTTAGATGACTGTCAGGAGCACCCGGATAATACTCGACAGACCTTCCTGAGAGATATCCATCGCCTATCAAAAAAACTGAGCATATTAGTGACGTCCCGAACCCAGGAGGGCATTCGACGGATGCTAAATGCAGACTCAAAAATCAAGATCGAGGCACATGAATCGGACCTCAGAACCTACGTTAAACAGCGAATCACAAGCCACGAGGCATTGCGAAAGATGGTTTTGGCAGCAAAGGAAAAAGACTCATCATTTGAAGAATTGGTCATCAATACAATAATTGATAGGGTTCAGGGAATGTAAGTTATGACTGCCACCTGAAAGGGTACACCCAGCTGACCAGCATTCAACAGCTTCCTCTTTGCGTGCTTACACGTAAACTGTCTTGCAGCACAAGGCACTCTTGCGGATCTCCGACTAGCCCTGAAGACCATGGAGATGCCTGAGATATCAACAACATACGACAAAGTCCTTAAGCGAATCGAAAACCAAGGTCTCTTTCAACAAAAGCTGGCAAAGCACGTACTATCCTGGGTTCTTTTTGCAGTCGAGCCGTTGAACGCTAGAGAGCTGTGTCATGCCTTCGCTGTAAAAGATGAGAATATTGGCTTAGATGGAGAATCAGTCCCCGACGAAGACTATCTGACCGAAGCCTGCGCTGGAATTGTCATCATCGACCATGAGAGCATGCTGGTTCTACCGATGCACCAGACAGCCGAAGCCTATCTGAGGGGGATCCCCGACCAGATACCCGGCGAGGAGTACATCGCTTCCGCCTGTTTGACCTATCTCTCTGACGATGCTTTTGGAAAGGCCGCTTTCTCTCAGTCAGAAGTCGATGACCGTATCGGACGCTGGGCTCTTCTCAAATATGCCGCGAGACACTGGGTAGATCACTACCACCGCGCGGGCGAAACCGAGCCCCTGAAAACCCTGGCATTAAGATTTCTCAAAAGCACCCCAAAGGTGACAAATTTGTTCCAGGTTACCAGTAGCTCTCATCCAATGACGACACAGAGAGTAACAGGTTTGCACGCTGTGGCATACTATGACCTCAGGGGACTGGCTGAAAGACTCCTTGATGATGGCTTTGATATTCATGATGTCTGTAGTAGCGGACAGACAGCCCTTCACTGGTCTGCTAAATATGGCCGCATCAGGCTCGTGGATATTTTGCTTCGGAGAGGCGCCAGTGTCAACGCCAAGGACCACGAACACAACACACCATTGCACTTAGCAGTAATGAGTGGACACAGTCGTGTGATCAAGCTACTGAGCAATGCTGGCGCGCAGCTCGATGTCTGGAACAAACGAAAATGGTCACCTTTACGATGGGCCCTCAAATATAGACTTCAACGAGAGGCGCATATTCTCGTCGAAAATGGGGCAGAGGTAAACAGAGAAGATGAAGAAGGCTGGACGCCATTGAGGTATGCGCTTCAATACGCGTCCTTGAAGACATTAGACATCATGCTGCTGAAAGGAAATGATGTCAATCAACAATGTACAGATGGCTGGACCGCGCTGCGACAAGCATCTCAATATGGCTGGGAGCCTACTGTACTTCTGTTGTTGGAGAGAGGGGCTAAGGTTGACTTGGCTGATCCCGACAATACCACACCGTTGAGGTGGGCAGTTCGATACAACCGTACGGCAGTGGTGAAGATCCTTCTCGATCAAGGGGCCAATGTAAACGCCCAATGCAAAGACGATACGACACCACTAATGGAAGCAACCTGGGGCGGGTATAAGGAGCTGGTGTGGCTTCTCCTGGATTACGGAGCGTCGACAGATGTCCAAGACGATAGAGGACGTTCGGCGCTTCGTTTTGCAATGCAGAAGGGCTATGATTCCATCGCCTGGCTCCTGTTGGAAAAGTCAGCTGCGTTGAACATGGCAGATACGAAAGGACGCACAGCACTGCACTGGACAGCTCAGAACAGCAATACATCCATGGCTTGGCTGTTACTGGAAAAGGGAGCAGAGATTGATGCTCAGGATATCGAAGGGCATACCGCGCTACATTTTGCAGTGCAGAGGGGGAATACGGAAATGATCAAACTACTTCTTGGAAAGCACGCAAATGTCACCCTGAAGGATGCCCAGGGCTATGCCGCATTGCACCACGCCGTAGAGAGGAAGGATGCGTCTATAATGAATCTGATCGTGGACACCCTTGAGAGGTCGCGGCTCGACGTCAACGCAAAGGACAACGAGGGAAAGACGGCGTTGGTTCGGGCTGTCCAGGGTCAGTGGATGCTAGGGGTGTACATTCTGACTGATCGCAAAGCGGCTATCGATTTGCCCGACTGTAATGGTCAGACCGCAGCGTCCCATGCGAAGCTCAACGGCGACACTCAGATTCTTCAGCTGCTGGAGCAGCGATGACAGCCTACCCGTCAACTTCGCGAGAAACTGAGCACTGGGCTTCAGAGGCCTACAGCGATAATATGGAGAGAGGGAGAAGCGAGGAAACCTCGGCACGGTATGACTTGTTCCCATACTGCTGGCTGCGCAAACAAAGCCCTCGATATCTTTGTGATATAAGATCAAGGATAATTGAGGCCTATGTAATCGGGGATGATACAGAAATCACCCAATAATCCTACGTGTTTGAGCCAACCCAAATTCAATTTTAATGCGTATAATTCCATGGCATGAATGGAGAGACAGTTGGGATTGAATTTCCAAAACAAACTATTTCGTACGATAGCGAAATTCGACGGGGAAAAGTGCAACAAGAAGGTCCTTGAACTGATTCTGGTATTTCATGAAGAATACCAGAAGCCATACACAGTGCTAGACTGGTAGAAGGCCGTCGGTACGACCGGTTGAAGGGGGTCGGTTTTGTTACCATAGATCACGTTGAGTCAGCCCTTCATTTGTTGTGACAGCGATGTCTTCTACTTTATATTATGATTCATTACCGTCCGGAACATTCGCTCACAGACTTCAGCAATTCAGTAACCACTTTTCTAGATAATAACCATCCAGTACCGTAGAAGTACCCAGTGAAGGGTGGCAATCAAGAAGTAGAGTTACAGTCTCTCTACAACAAGCTTCAGGGTTTACTAATAGTTTCAACAAGAAGACTATTTCAACCTGGTCATGCTCATGCACATAATGACGAGGCTTTTTTTTTCTCTTCTCTTTTTTGATGATAAGGGAGGCATAGCAAAAAGAAAGAAGGGATCGCTTAAGTAGAGAACAAGGAACATCGGAATTTTGGGAACTTGGTTATTGCTTAGGGTTCCATGCATTAGTCTCAGAATTATGTGCAGATTGCGTTTCATTCTACCAATCAGTCAACCACTGTTAGTCTTGGTAATGTTCCATCGTGCATAACCAGCTCACTTGGATGCCTGAGCTATTCCTGTTCCGGACAGTCAACTCAGGATTATTTAATCCTTGTTGAAGTCCTAAGGTCGGATAGGTTAGTAAAATGACAAGCTAACCACTATTGCGGCAGGCTCTTGGGATAATATCGATGGGGGTGGCTGGCTTGTTGTCATCCCGCAGCACTAAGCGCTCAGCCTGATGGCACCAACTTGCAGCCTAATCAATTGAGTTTTATCGGGCATAATGCCGTTTCTGTCTGCCCCATGAGAAATGCTTGTCGATACCCCTCATTTGCTTATCTGAACAGTGATTGCAAATTCTGGTAAAGATCCCTTGAGACTTTGCACCCGTTAGCAACAATCATGGCATGAACAAGTCGGATGTTGCCCTCGACGACACTGCATAATCGTAATAAACAGCCCGTGCTCGATTTGTCGTCGGAATTTGCAAAAAGATTTCAGAAAGCAATGAGAAATTGTATGACAAGCCCTCCGGAAAGCCATGTCAAAACGCACGACAGTCAGATCTCCTGAACAACACGAAGACTCTGGTTTCAGCCCCGAAAGAAATGCATCGGATTTCGAGCAAGTCACTCGTTCAAAACATCGACATCATTCAAAGGATGTTCCAGCAATGCCAAATCGAACTAAAGCACGGGGCCCAACTACAACAGCTCCAAGACGGACGATTTATCAGCGTGGCAGGGTTGAAAATGTTGACGACAATAGCCACCCGACGCAGTGGCAATCTCATCTTACCGGGACCAGCACAGTCCCTATTGACCTCCCATATTCATACCCGGTTCCGGGCCAGATGATTCCATTTTACCAGGGCTACGACCCGCAGTTTAGCGGCATTAATTATACCCAGCAAAGTGGCGCGCCATTTTATACTGACCAGAGACTATGGGATACGCCCACTCCTCCTCCTCCTCCCCCAACTGATCCAATGAACGACCCAGCAGTCGAGAAGTTAAAAAAGCAAATGGATGAGCTTTTAGCAGAGAAGGCGATGAGAGAACAGCAGTCCATGCAGGAATATATTCAGAAAACCACGCTAGAAGTTGCAGTTCAACAGACGGCTGAGGTTGTGCGGGAGGTTCAGGGTCAGGCGCAGCTTGACATCGAGATAGCGACTGTGAAAGCTGAGATTATGGCCCAAGAGAAGGCAGAAAGATCACAGCGAGAAAAGAAGCAGATCCAGGACCAAACGCGACTGGAGGTCGAGAGGGAATTCGCTCTCAAGCTCGCTCAAGAAAAAGCCATGAGAGAGGAGCTGATCGAGACCATCAGGGAAGAGTTCCGAGAGAAGGAGAGGAGAGCCATGGAGCTTGAAGAGATTATCCAGCGAATACGGCATGAGGCAGAGCGAAAAGCTTACCACGTCCACTCAGCCTCCTCGATTGGAACACCGCACCCAACCGCGAGACGCCCCCCACCTGTTTCTGTCTTCAATATGGAACCCAGGTTCGAATATGAAGCAAGTTTCGACGATATTGATTCCAATGGCCCGGGAACCAACCATTATCAGCAATATCATAGTCGTACCTCATCCACAGGGCTATCTGAGGAGTCGGTGAGACTCCCACCGCCGGCACCGTCTGCGCCATCGCCCTCCATAGTGGGGGGGATATATTCGCACACAACTTCTGCTCCTTCCGTCGTGCTAAGCAGAGCATCAGGAGTAAGCCGTCAACAGAACCGGCACATGGATTTTCAATCACGTTCGGTACAGGTAAATGTGCCTGATCTTCGCGAGATTCCTATGAATCACGAAGAACATGTACCGAATACACGCTATCAAAGCTGGGCTATAGAGGACTCGGATGAGGAAGGGTCCGAAGCATACAAAAGCGCAAGAACGAGTCCGATACCGATGGGCGGGGGCGATGGCAACAATCCCAAAGAAGGCAGAAACCAAGATTCCACGACGGAATCGCGTAACGGCGGAGAAGCAGTCAGCGGCCGTTTTGGGCTACCTTTTGGTTCGCAAAAACCAGCCATTCCAAAGAAAGATGGAGTCAGTAACCAACAGGGAGGGACGCTGCCCGTCTCGCCACCGATGAACGCGGGGAGCACTGCAGAGATTGGAAAGAATGTACGACAATCTCAGAATCCATCAAGGGACCCTGGCCGGATTCTTTCATCATCAGTCGGTCAGTTCACTGAGGAGCGACGCACGGAGCTTGGCCAACATGGGCAAAAGATGGAAAGGCATGTTGGAGTAGCCGGGTCACCTGTCCCAACAGCAAAAATGCAGCCCGCGAATGACGGAGGACATCCTCGTGAAGATCGTCAGACGTACACTGTTGCGGAAGGATTGCTGGGGGGTCACATGCACTTCCCGCACGCCTCGTTGGATCAAAGCTACATTTACGACGGAGGAGATGGGAGGACCGAGTCCATACAACAGTATCAACCGGCGATAGCCCCCATCCGTATGGTCCCCATGATGGTAATCATGGCACCTTACCAGTATCAGGCTCCAGTGACGTTACCGTCAGGACCAATACCTCCAAATCTTTCCGGAAACCCAGGGCATCCGGGACCACATAGTAGGCAGAATGAAAGGACTGGCTAAGAGCTCACTATCAGTCCTGTGTACAGGGGCCTCTTGTCTACGAGGCTTGAGTTTTCAGCAGGGAAGCCAGATGGGCAAGTAAACTAAGAAGGAAGACGGATTTGTATACTAAACATTATGAGAAGTTGAACTTTTCTTACGATTGTGGAGATGGACCTATGCATTGCAGCAACTAATGAGTTTTCCATGGTTTTATGCAAAAGGGCACCAATGCCTTCATCTTCCACTCTTCTGTAGTCTCTCGGTTAACCGGCAGAGATGACCTCCATTATGTCAAGTATCCTCAGTATTCTCCAGATTTTGGCCGTTTGCGCTTGCTTCCTATCATTGATAACGCCGGACACCGCCTAATCGCTATTATTGGTGACATTGGAGGTGGTGCCGCCTGGGGCATCATGGCTCTCCTTACCAGCGTCTACTCCAAGGCCTGGGCCGCGGTGGCCATGGCCTTTGCTTTCGTGCTTCTCTAGGGGATCCCCTACTCGTCTCTCGGCTGGGACCTGCTTGCGGAAGTTTACCCCAGGTCCCGTCGTAGCAAGGGTGTGGCCGCCGGCACGGCAACCGTTTGGCTCTATAACTGCGTCGCCAGCCTCGCCACACCGACCGTGCCCGACAGGCTCGGCTTTGAAACTTCAGCGCCTAGTGTTTCCTCGCCTCTGTGCGAGCTTTCTATTTGTCCCAGACACCGAAGGCAATATACTAGAGCAGACTGATGACGTCTTAAAGGATACCACTGAGTGGGGAGTAGAAGAGATTATCAGGCGGCAGATATGTTCCAAACGTGGACAACAACTATATGGCGGAGCTGATATGAATAATGCAATACATTGCAATGGTCATGGTTCAGCTATGAGGCTTACACATAAAGATACCGTTATCCACCCAACTTCTTATCACGGGTTTGATTGCAGGTTCTCCAACTATGTCATTATCGATTCAACCTCGTGTACTCTAGAGAATAGCAACGCCATATTTCTGGTAGCAGAGCAGCCCCTACCAGTTTCCACGTCTGGTCGTGACTTGTAATATACAGCCGATCATCTCCATAAACATATCCTAATCTCCGAACAACGGCTAGGAAGAGGGACCAGCATACTGACTCAGATTCGAGGCACACACGGAAGCGATCCGTCGAAACGTGGAGAATCGACGAGAGCGACATACGAAGCACACGGACTATTGAATAATTGGCCAATCAAATAGAGGTCGGCAATCGGTCATCGGTCTGACGTGACGCTAGGCCGGACCTACAAGTCAGTCATCCCCTCTTCGGTCCAACCTCCTCCACAGTCATTGTGCATGCTCAGACGCGGGGAAGTAGGCGCATCGAGAATCGAATGGCTGAATAGCAGCTCGCACGTGCAGACAAAGACCCATAGCATATCCCATTCTTGTGGCAACGGTGAACATTGGCACTCGGGCAGTTTTGGGCACCATGAGTGGCGGCTTTTTTGGAGGGTATGCTGTTCGACTGCCACACCTCAATCGTAAAGATTTCTCAAAATGAAGTACAGTTTTCTGTGAAGGCTCTCAGGATATTATTCAGTGGCGGGGGAGAAAAGAACTATCACAGCCTCTTGTGGTAAATTCATAGAGCCTGAATAGCCATCACGCCACGAAACTCCAAAATCGGCAGCACAGCGAAATCCACGAGAACTCTTTGCTCTCCTTAACCCCTCGCAGCAATCTCGGGGCCGTTCGAAATTGCTGCTGCCGGTTCTCTACGCAATTCCAAGGTCTGCGGTCAAATTTTGTATCGAGCTAGATTAGCCGCCGACAACTGCTAAAGTTGTCGCCGTCTTGACAACCTCATTCATCTTGTCCCCCGAGCCTTAAGTAACAGGATGCACAGCTCCCACAAGCAGATGCTCTTCCGCCCGGGATTGCAAGCTGTATGGATCCCACTAGCATGGATGTAAAAGTCAACCAAACTCTGGCAGTCATCAGGGCATCCGTGTGTTATTACAGAGACCTACAAGCACTAAACATGGGTGAGCGAACACAGTGGATTCTGCTTCGTACTGACATGGCAGTAGAACGGGGCCGGATAAAAAAGATTGAGTTGCCAACTCATAGATCTCAAAAGTCTAACGGGCTTTTCCACGACTGTCACCGAAGAGGATGGTCGACAACAGCACTGAAACCCGGTTCTAAAGTAGTTGGGGTCACGGCATGGCCGGTCGATCCCAAACGGCCCCCAGATTCGGCAGTCTGAGCTTGTTCCAAGGCAACCCCTGAGAAGTCAATCTCTTCACCGGCGAGCTGAGGCTAGCAATGCTTAACGTTCCGGAGCTACGATCTTTCTGCAACTATAACCCGATTGGGCTGTGCAAGGGCGCCGAACCACCGGCGATATGTTAAGATACAACCTGCTCGGCCCCAATAGGCTATAGGAAGCACCACGGCCAATAGTGGTTCTAATTTGGCAACGGCATAACTTCTCCGATGATTTAGGCGTCTGTTGTATCTACTGGTGCCCGGGTTCAAGCAAGACTTTCCGGTCAAAGTCGGACCGGAGTTCCGGGTCATTTACGTGCTTTCGGCCGCCGTGAACTTCCCAGCAGATGCAGGATACCTACTTTACCATCGAGGTGGGCCAGGAGGGCTGGTCGATGTTTCGCATCGTCGGTTTTTCATCCGCGCGAAACGCGTGCATGACACATGTCAGTCACCGCGGTGGATCAACCAATCATTGTGGCAAGTGGAAAAATGACCCATGCAGACGTCGTACAAAAAGGATGAACACCTCGTAAGGCCGATTGGGTAGGTAATCATCCGATGCCCTTGCGAGAACCGAATCATCCATGGAGCTGGTTCGCAAGGTAATGAGATCCCAAGGTAACTAGACCCGGCCGTTCTCGAGGCCTCCTTTCCGGTTGGGGGTATAATGCTGCGATGGGTCTACAGAAGACGGAACACAGATCAGCAGAAACAGCTCTATCGGAGCATTCTGACGATCGATACCCTCCCATGGGTTTTAGTCGCGTCCGACCCGCAGCGTTCTCGTTTGTGGCGCCTAACATCCTGCATGTCCAGAGCCTCGGCTCATTCAAGTATGTCGCCCTCGGCCTGGTGATACCCGTGCATGCTGTCATCTCATCTGTTCACCATTGTTGTAGTATTGGCGGGTTCGAGAGGCCTCTCCCCCATGGTCACATTCATACCTTATTCGACTCTCTCTATCTCTCTCTTCCGGGCCCTGTTTACGAAAATTTAAAGAGTCCACCCCCCCGGTACCTGACAACTCGGAGCTGATATCACCACGTGAAACTTGCGACATTACGGATCCACGGCGGTAACCGAAGTGAACAGGACGATGCCATTGGCGCGCGTCCCTGGGAGTGGGCAGGCTTGGCTGGGCTATCCCCACACGAGAACCCCAGATCTCAAACGGCATTGAGCCTTACGTGGGGAGTGTGACTCTATTTTCGGCCATCTTTCCACCGACATGACCAACCTTCCTCTTCCCCTTCATCCCCCTCATGAGGTCACATCGAAGGAGATTGCCCGCTGCGCCGGGGCCCCTCGTCGGGAGAACAAAAACAGACGTTACACGCCCAGTTGTCGCATTGCCGGACCTGCATGCGCTGCCGGCTCACCACCCCAACACGGCTAACTCTACTCTAATCCTCTCGAGGAGCGGGCTCCGATCACACCTTTCCCGGGTCACGAGAGCAATAAAAGCAAGTTATCGAAAGCATCGGAAGCTTGGCTCCTACCACTTCGAGCGTCGACGTCGTCCTCACTGACGTTTTACCTCGGCGTGGATATCGCGGACCGCACCCTCTGAGAGTTCACCAACGACGTATATAACAAACCCCACAGTTTGAGGATTGCCGGCCGGTCCTGCTTCCTCCTTAAGGCACTGCATCGATTTGACTCCCTTTGACCTCGCCACACTCTTCTCCCTCCCAGCTTCGTTCGGCTAGCACGGCTCGCACAAGACCGCACCATGAAGTTCCTCCGTGCCGCCGTTGCCGGCATCGCCAGCCTCCTGTCTGTCCAGGTCGCCGCCGGCCCCGTTGCCTCCCCGGTCGTGGGCCGCCAGGCCTCCGGTACCATCTCAAACAAGGTCATCTTCTCGCCGCCCTCAAACGCCGGCTGGGTTGACCCGCGCGTCCTGTACGCCCGTGCCGTCCAGCTCTCGTCCGGCGACCTGGTCGCCACTTGGGAGAACTACTCCCCCGAGCCCCCCATCGTCTACTTTCCCATCTTCCGCTCTCAGGACGGCGGCGCCACCTGGTCGGAGATCGGCCGCGTCCAGGACACTGTCAACGGCTGGGGACTCCGCTACCAGCCCATGCTCTACGAGCTCCCCGCAGCCTTCGCTGGTCTCCCGGCCGGCGCCCTTCTGCTCGTCGGCAACAGCATCCCCACGGACCTGAGCCTGACCAAGCTCGATGTCTACGCCAGCACCGACGGAGGCGTCACCTGGGCGTTCCAAAGCGCCGTCGCCAGCGGAGGCGAGGCCCGTCCCACCAACGGCCTGACTCCCGTCTGGGAGCCCTTCTTGCTGTAAGTCTAAGAAAGATACATGGGGACTGTTTCCTTCTCATGAGCCTCAAGCTGACCGAACACGACTAGGCTCCATAACGACAAGCTCATCGCCTACTACGCCGACCAGCGCGACCCCAAGTTCGGCCAGAAGCTCGCCCACGCGACGACGACCGACCTCAAGACCTGGAGCCCCGTCATCAACGACGTCGCCGACACGACCAGCTACGAGGCCCGCCCCGGCATGCCTGTCATCACCAAGCTCCCCAACAACGACTTCCTCTTCGCCTTCGAGCTCTGCGGCACCGACGGCTGCCGCGTGCACTACCGCATCACCGCCGACCCCGAGAACGTCCTCGCCGCCGCCGACGTCGCCCTCGTCTCCGACAAGGGCACCCACCCGGTCAGCTCCCCCTTCGTTGTCTGGACCCCCGTCGGCGGCGCCAACGGCACCCTCGTCCTCAGCGGCGGCAGCCAGTCCAACATCTTTGTCAACCGCGCCCTCGGCGACCCGGGTGCCTGGGTCGAGTTCCCCGTGCCCCAGCCCAACGCCTACTCGCGGTCCCTGGCAGTCGTCGGTGACGGCAGCAAGATCGCCATCATCGGCGCCGGCTGGCTGCCGCCCAGCGCCAACAACCAGGTCAGCGTCAGCGTCGTCGACCTGAAGGCCCTGCTTAAGCTGTAGATGTAGTCGGAATTACGTAGTTGTAATGTCAATGAAATATTAGATTCGAGTTGATGACATGCTGGAGTCCACAGGAGCGGTTTGTGATATAACGCACCCAGAAAAGCTGATCAGCCTCGCCATATGCCAGGACACAAGTTGGCATTTCCCTAGTAGTTTCTGAGACAAGTTGTTTGTGGTCTAACGTGTTCATGATTAGATTATATTGCTTTACGCTTTTGCTGCGACTCTACAGATCTAGATGATATCCAGAATATGTCCAACCATCGCTATTGCCTTTTCTTCCTCTAGTCGGCGTGCGACAAGCTGCAGGCTGATAGGCATCCCGTGCACGGCGGATGGACCGTCTACGCAGATGGTCAGCCGAGTTCGTGTCATTTCAAAAGCGGACTTATCCTTACATTCAGCACGGATGGCCGCGCAGTCGGGTCCTAGAGGCTCTCCGGTAGAGTCGGAGAATACGTCGGCACTTTCGTCCGCCGATAACCCCGTGGGGAACGACACGCAGGAGTAGTCCAGCACGTTGAAGACACCGGTGTATCCAACTTTGAGAAGAAAGGGAGAAAAAGGGTTAGTTCGGGAGTCTGTGAGAGCAGCGTCGCAGAAACAAGAACTTACCGTGCCTGAACTGGCCATTCTTGACACTCGCAAACGGCGTCGTCGGGCAGAGGATCGCGTCGATGCCGGCGGCGTTCCAGCGATCCAGATACCGCTTCTGGAACCCCGTGCGCTCAATGTGCATCTGCCACATGTCGTAAGTCCCGAGCTCCTCGGCCTCCTCGTACGCCTTCATCTCGGGCCTGAAGGGCTCCCCGGTCTGCTCCAGCTCCTTCTTGATGGAGATGCCGCCGTCCGCGACGAACATGCGAGCCAGCAGGCTCAGCCCCTGCTCCTGGTCCCGGGGGTCCCAGTCGACGACCTCGTGGCCGGCCGCCCTCAGCTTCTCGACGGTCTGCTTGAGCGCGCGAGCGACGGGTGGCGTGGGCCGGACCATGCCGTCGTCCCACATGACGGCGATCTTGAGCTTCTCGGGCAGCCGGACGTCGCGCCAGGGGATCGGAACGCAGCGAGGGTCGTGGAGCCAGGTCTGGCGGCCGACAACGGCCTTGCTGTACAGCTCCAGGTCCGTGATCGTGCGTGTCATGGGCCCGTTGACGGACTGCACGGCCTCCTGACCGCCCATGCCGGAGCGGCAGCCCAGCGTCGGGAAGCGGCCGAAAGAGGGCCGCAGGGTGAAGATGCCCGTGCAAGCGGCGGGAATGCGAAGAGAGCCGCCTGCGGGTTTGTCAAAATGAGCTCACTGTCCTCACAACACATGAGAGGCCGGGGGGGACTCACCAATGTCGGTTCCGATACCGAGAGGGCTTCCCTTCATCGTGATGAGCGCGGACTCGCCACCGGAGCTTCCGCCGCTGGTGAGATTCCTGTTCCGGGGGTTCACCGTCCGGCCGAAGACGTTGTTGACAGACTCGGCAATCATCATGGCCGTGGGCACGTTGGTCTTGACGTAAAAGACGGCGCCGGCATCCTCCAGCAGGGCGGCGAGCGAGGCGTCGTACTCGGCGGGGTTGCCGATGTGCGACGCGAAGCCCACCGTGGCGTCGAGGCCCTTGAGGTTGAAGTTGTCCTTGAGAGAGATGGGCAAGCCGTGGAAGGGCCCGACGGGCTGCCCGGTGCGCTCGAAGTGCTCGTCCCTGGCCCGCGCCGTCGCGAGCGCGCGGTCAAAGCAGGTTTCAGAGAGGCATTTTGTCTACGAGAGGGGGGTTGGGTCAGAGAGGAGGCCTCCGCGTCGCGGGGGGGGAATAAAGACTAGAGCACCCTCGACTCACCAGTTGATGAGCGGCAACCGCCCGCTTGCAGAAGGCCTTTGTGACCTCGAGAGATTTCAGCTGCCCGGAGGCGAGCTTCTGGATGAGCTCGGCAGCCGTGCTCTCGGTGATGGCGAGCTCCGCCTCGGTGAACCAGCCGGACGTCTTGGGCCAGGCCGTGACGTCCGCCTGGGACGCCGGGGGCAGCAGGTCCTCTGGGACGAGCCACTCGGGGGGGAACGACGCGACAAGAGATTCGCGCTTCTTGGCGGCCGCCAGCTCCCAGGTCTCGGCTTTCAAACTTCCCATCATGAACGAGCGTCCTGTCCGTCCGCGTATGTGTCAAGCAGGTTGGAGATGAGATAGGACAGGGGATGTGGGTTAGAGGGGGGGGGACGACACAAGAAGTGGACAATACTCAAAAGCGACTGAAACCAAGCAGGATCCATTAAATGCTATTTACACGCTGCGACTAACCATGGTTTGGGGATCGTGGCGCAAAGGTGCCGGACCGCATACCAACCATCGGTGATATGGGTTCCCGATGTCGCATGACGCCGTCGCATCTCACGAGGTCGAGGAGGGAGAGGAGACCGAAGACCAAGGCGGTGACAGTGCTAACTGAACCCGCGGGGACTGTAAATGGCGGGGTTAATGTCAATGAGGAGGGGTTCGTTCAAGAGATAAGATGGCCCGGAAAACATTAAGACTGCGGCGCAACGCCCGTGTGGAAGACTCGCCGCTGCCCGCACCAACACTCATCATCGATAAGCGTTTGGTCTCCAGTCCGTGTGGCAAACTGAGAACCCCGATGAAGGCGGAGTCGTCTCCGAGTCTCTGGATAATGACATCCTTCAACTTGTCACAATGCAGTTGAGGGATCGAAAACACACCCTTTTGAACAGCCGGGGTGACGCTAATCCCCTTTCCGCGCCAGCAAGTCGGATCCGTTCACTATAGCGTCTGGTAGACCATGCCTTTCTCATTCAGGCGTGCGTCATAGGTGCCGTCCGGCGGTTCGGCAGCGTTACCACGTGTTGTGAGTCAAGGGGCATACATGGCGGTCATGGCAGGCAAGCCGGCAAAGGGTTAAACTTCGCTGCTGTGCCGGAACCTATGTAGCACGTTCTCTCGACGTCAGGATCGCTGGCCCTCTTTTCCCCGTGTGTTGGGGGAGGACGATGGATGGCGGCTTGCATCTTTGGAGATGGGCACAAAAACATAAGACTATGGTGAGAATTTCACCCTTTTTTTTTCTTCTTCTTTCTTTCTTCCCCATATTCACGCTCGCAAAGTGGGACGCCACTAGCGAATTTCTTCCATTTGTAGTCCGGGGTGGAAAAGAAAAAAAGAAACTTTAAAAAAACACCCGCTGTCAACCCATAACGCCAAACTCCGGCGGCTTTCCAGACCACCAACGCATCAAGAGTCCGTTTATTCATCCTGACCTGCGTGTCTACACCGGTACAGCGCGCTTTGAACATCCCGCGCGATACCTATCACTATCTTGGAGGGCGTGCCTGGAAGCTCAAGGGAAGGGGTCTCGTCCCTGCAAACCGCAAGCTGCAAGCCCCGGCTTCGGACGACGTACCCTCCGGAGGAGCTGGGTAAGCTTATCATCCCATCCCGGTCCGTTGCCGGGGGGCCAGCCGACCGTGGATAGCAATCTTCATCGGCAGCGGCCAGATAGGATAAAGGTGTTGGGAAAGCTCACAGTGCAATAGAGGCCCGTCCAATCAAGGCGCATTCCGACGGGAATCGCCCTCAACTGTAATCAAGTGTACGAGATAAGATAATCTTTCGGATGCTGAGAGGCGAGGAGGAGCCCTGACGGCTTGCTGTCTGTCGATACTACTCTCTCTCTCTCTCCTTTGGGCTCCAAGAACTACCCCGGAAACCTGATCGGCCTTATCGCAGCCACCCCCTGCTATTTATTCCTGTGACCAAATTCCTTATCTCTTGGGCGATACCGGCCGCCGTTTAAGTCGCCTCGGCGTCGGGAAGCCAGCTCGCAAACGAAGCCTGGGCTTGGACGAGCTTTATTCATAAGAAGCCGGTCAGACTTCAGTACAATCTCCAAGGTGAACGGTGTGGTGACCGAGTTTGCGCAGTTCCGCCGCCAATTGGTCGAAGCAATAGTGTAATTCCGGCTTTTGCTGACGGGAGGCTCATTGACCGATCATTCAATATGGCATTCGACAAGGTCCGCCAGTACTTGAGCGCCGAGTATGCGCCTGGAGAGCGCAAGCTCCTCCAGAAGTGTGACTTCTTCATTTTGACGTTCTGCTGTCTGAGTACGTCCATCTCCTCTTCCGTGCCGTGTCTCGAACAGAAAGGCTAACAATTCCAAGGCTACCTGGTGAACTATGTGAGTATTGGAGACCGCCGTGTCTTGGTGCCCCCAACCGTTATGCAGCAATGAGCATGTTCTGACCCGGCTGCAGCTTGACCGCTCCAATCTCAACAATGCATACGTCTCCGGCATGAAGGAAGAGCTGGGGTTCGTGGGAAACCAGCTCAACCAGATCAACACGTGCTTCACTGTCGGGTAAGAAAAGATGCTGCATCCTCTGCGTGAGGTCTCGTTTCGTCTTGATAACTAAACGTCCAATTCAGTTACGTCATTGGACAGGTCCCGTCCAACCTATCCCTTCATTATGTGAAGCCGAAGATCTGGTTCCCACTTATGATGGTCGTCTGGGGCGCCCTGACGATGTGCACCGCGAGCGTCCACAGCCCGCAGTCGATCATGGCCATCCGGTTCCTCCAGGGTATCGCCGAGGCATCGACCTTTGTCGGCACGCACTACATCCTGGGCGCGTGGTACACGGAGCGCGAGCTCGGCAAGCGCAGCGGCATATTCACGGCCTCGGGCCTCGCCGGCACCTTCTTCGGCGGCTTCATCCAGACGGGCATCCACAGCAGCATGGACGGCCTGCACGGTCTCAGCGGGTGGCGCTGGCTCTTTATCATCGACGGCCTGCTGACCATCCCCGTGGCCATCTACGGCTTCCTGTGCTTCCCCGACACCCCGCACACGACGACGGCCTTCTACTTCACCGAGGAGGAGAAGGCCCTGGCGCGGTCGAGGGTGCCCGAGATCCAGGAGAAGTCCCCGCTCACGCTCCGGTTCATGAAGAAGGTGCTCACCTCGTGGTACTGGTGGGGGTTCGTCATGCTCTGGATCATCGCCGGTGAGACCGAGTCCTTCAGCACCAACGCGCTGCTCGGCCTGTACATGAAGAGCCACCCGGTGAGCAAGTACACGGTGGCGCAGCTCAACAACTACCCGACGGGCGTCGCGGCGGTCGGCATCGTGTCGACGCTCTTCTGGGCGACGCTGACGGACTTCCTCGGCGGGAAGCGCTACCTCGTCGCCTACTTCATCGGCATCACGGGCGTGGCGACCTCGGCCATGATCCTTGCGGCGGCGCGGGACCCGAAGAGCGCGGCGTCCACGTCGGTCGTGTTCGGCGCCTACTACTGGGCCGGCGCCGTGTACGCATGCCAGGCCACCTTCTTCGCGTGGTGTAACGACGCGATGCGGTACGAGGAGTCCGTCTTCCGCGGCGTCGTGCTGGCGGGCATGAACCTGGGCAGCAACGCCGTCAACAGCTGGTGGAGCATCATCTTCTACGGCGCCTCCATGGCCCCGTGGTTTACCGTGAGTCGTCCCCTCCCCATCTAACCCCAACGAAATCGCTTTGCTTGAGACCTGTACTGATCTTTTGGTGTGTAGAAGGGCATGTGGGCCATGATCGCCACCTCCATCGCCTTGGTGGTCTGGACCATCGGCCTCACCTACATGGCGCGCCGAGAGGAAAAGCGGAGAGTGTTGACCGCGGAGGTGGGTGAATCGGGGTTAATTGTCAAGAAAGTCGATGCGAAGGACGACAACGATGCCGTTTGATGGCTGTAGCTAGGGATATAGGGTTGATGGAGATCTCCCTAGGTCGAATGAGCCATTTAGAACCCATTACTTATGAAGAGCCAAAACTCAAAGAACTGTGTCCCGAATGGGACTGCACTGATATAGCCAAAAGATCCGGTGAGACATGATAGCTGGACTACTGTCGAGTTGAAGTAGGCTGGTAAAGCACCAGACCTCTAACTCTCGTTAATGGAAGGAACAGCTCACCAGGGTGCATCTTCATCACACAACGCTTAACCCAGCTATAAAAGTAGTATATAGAGGAATGGTACGGTAGAGAACCCCTGGGTCGGTCGAGATTCAGTTCTACGGAATTGCGCACTTACCCGGTGGGGTTTGATGGAGGGAGAGGAGGGTATTTCGAACGCAAGATGGAGTTACAAAGGCGGAATAAGGCCCGCACTTAGTAAGAGAGATGTGCGGATCACCTTAGCCCATCCAACAGTCATTAAACCGGTGACTCTCCCTGTTGAACGAGGCCAACATGAACCTTGATGCGGAAGCTTGAGCACCGAGGCCGGTGGATGCCGGGCCCGGCACAAAAAGGACGGAGATGCCCCACAAGATGACGGGCTGGGCCCGGATACCTAGACTAGCCAAAACCTTGGAGGGCGAGCTACACTTCTCCAACCTATTCAAGACAACTTGAACGCTCCCGTATGATTACAGCCTTTACCAATGCCAGAATTAGTGGTTAGAGCCAAGACATGAACCTGGAATACATGTAACGGTTGCCCCCAACTTGTCCTTGTGAATGCAGGGGTGAAGCTACCAAAACGCTGCTTTTTAACGTTTTCTCTCATTCAGAGACCCCCGTACAAGAGATGGATGATTACCCGAGAGCTGTTAACAGCTTCAGAAGGATAACAGACACCTACCAGCGCGGCGTTTAACTTTCATCTGAATAGCCGCTAGAGAGTTTAATCCTGCACTTGTGAACTTACAAGCAAAGGTCAACCCAAGTTGCATAAAGTATCCTTCCGTCCACTACTCACTGACCCTGGTATTGTAATGATCACACCATATTTTATTCCAGGCCCCTGGTGACTAGACCGAAACGTTGCGACAGGTGGACGGTATTCTAACAAAATGCGATACTTCGTCTCTTTTCTCTTTTTCCTTGCTGCCTCTCCCCTGAACATGTTGCCTTTGGCAGGTAGAGATCACTCAGCTTTTTACATCTTACAACATTAGTTAGAGAATATACCCGTACGCATTCATCCGTTCTGATACAACGCGCTCTGATGGCTCCTCTGCCATCAGACTACAGTGGCCGTCCGGTCGCAGTTCTCGGGGGCGGGGTCCTAGGTCGCCGTATCGGTGAGCAATAGTCTCTAAAGTCCATCTTGATGAGACGCCATCTAACACAGTATGATAGCCTGCACATGGGCCTCCGGCGGCTACAACGTTCGGGTCCGGGAACCCGACGTCAAGCAGCACCAGCCCTGCCTAGATTACGTCAAGCAGAATGTCGACAGCTACCCAGCTCCCGGCAGCAAGAGCCCGGGCACGGTCCAGATCTTCGAGGATCTCTCGCCGGCCGTCGAAAACGCCTGGCTTGTCGTCGAGGCCGTCCCCGAGAAGATCCAGATCAAGATCGACGTCTTTGCTGAGCTAGAGGCCACGGCCCCCGCGGATGCCATCCTCGCCAGCAACTCGTCCTCCTACCGATCGTCGGAGATGCTCGCCAAGGTCGGGGACGCGACCAAGACGAGAATCATGAACACGCACTACTACACGCCGCCCACCAACATGGTCGTCGAGCTCATGACGGACGGGCATACGAACCCGGACTACTTCCCCTTCATGTCGGAGAGGCAGAGGGAAGTCGGGACGAGACCATTCATCGTGCGCAAAGAGTCGACCGGCTTTATCTTCAACCGTCTCTGGGCCGCGATCAAGAGGGAGACGCTGTCGATACTAGCCGAGGGCGTGTCGAGCCCCGAGGAGATTGATACTCTATTCTGCGAGCTGTATAAGTATGGCATGGGACCTTGCAAACTGATGGATTGTGAGCTTTCCTGTCGTAACTCTTTGTCGAGCAACGTGTGCTGATGCCTCAATAGTGGTCGGTCTCGACACAGTCGCCTTTATCGAGGATCACTACGTCCATGAACTCGGGCTGTCCCCAAAGAAAACCGTCGACTTCCTGCAACGCGAGTACATCTCCAAGGGCAAACTCGGCAACAAGTCAGCCAAGGGTGGCCTGTACCCGAACCTCCCCAAGATCCTCGCCCTAGACCTCGCGCTTGCGAACCCCGACGAGTGGACCGCGTCTGGGAAGATACTCCAGATCTCTTCGGACGGCGAAGTGGAGCGCGTGCTCGCGGACCGACAGCACGCCCCCGGCGGCATCGACATCGACACGGAGAGCCGTCGCATGTTCTGGACTTGCATGGGAACGCCCGGCGAGCCGAACGGCGCCGTCTTCTCGGCGACTCTGGACGGCGGCGACGTGCGGTCCCTCTTCGCACCCGGGGCCGTCAACACGCCAAAGCAACTCGTCGTCGAGCCCGCGTCGGGGAAGATCTACTTCTGCGACCGCGAGGGCATGCGGGTCTACCGCGCCGATCTGGACGGCACCGGTCTGGAGGCCCTGGTCGTCGCCGGCCGCGACCCTTCGGACCCCGCATCCTGGTGCGTCAGTGTCTCGGTGGCGCCGAGACTGAGCAAGCTCTACTGGACGCAGAAGGGCGCGCGCGAGTCGAGCCAGGGGCGCATCTTCTGTGCCAACATCGATATGCCCGCGGGCGCGACCGCCGAGACGAGGGGCGACGTCGTCTGCCTTCTGGGAGACCTACCTGAGCCCACAGACCTGGAGGTCGACGAGGAGACCGGCGCCATCTTCTGGGCGGACCGCGGCGAGACCCTCGGGGGTAACACCCTCAACCGGGCCGGCATCAGCCCGAAGACGGGGCTGTTGAGGACAGAGGGGTCGGACAAGTGCGAGATCTTGGCGAAGGATTTCAATGAGGCGGCTGGCGTCACTCTGGACCGGGACAACGGCCACGTCTACTTTAGTGACCACGGAGGCAGCATCTACCGCTGCAACGTGGACGGAACGGACAAAAAGAGGATTTTCTTTGATGATGACCGGAAAATTACCGGCATATCGGTTCTGCGCATCTAGATATGATGTTGGAAAAAGACAGACTAAGGCGGCGTGTTGGTTTGAGGCGGTCGGCAGGGCGTGACGTAGAGGAGGTTGGAGATATCGGGTATAGATTAGACACGGCAATTCATGATTCCCGGCAGACTTACAATCAACTGTTTTGGTATGTCTTGACTACCATGCGTTTGCTTATGTCTTTCCTTAAACTGATCTTCTACATAATCTCTTATGGGCTCTCTCTCTGAGCCCCTCTTCCGGCCGCCCTCTTTTATTCGCCTGCCCGACTGCTTGTTGACCATCACCTAGTCAGGCTCGACGAAGACGCAAGCGTCGTGTTACCAGTAGAAATAGCCTGGTATATGACACAAAGCGTGTATTCTGTCGTTATACCTCTCAGTAAAATCTCGATAGCAACGCGCCGAGAGGTCTGGGTACATAAGATCCGAGGCCATGATGGACGAGGATGTGGACGCAGTAAAGCGTCCTGTGCCGCAACTTGATGTGCTGGTGCGGCCAGGATTCACTGCCGCTCTGCTGCTTCTGGGAGTTTGCGTGTTTCATATACTACTCAATCGACTTGGGCATCTGGAACGGGCCGGCCATCGACGCTTCTCTCTCCTTCAGGACCGCGGTGTGGATCGGGAGGCTGGGGTGAGTGATGGCTCGGGAGGGCAAGATAGGCCTGCTCGTCGCACTGAACGTCTCGTGGGGCAGAGCGGCGACAGACCACAGAGGCAAGATCATCGGGCCTAGGAGCCGAGTATGGTTGGTCGGTGGAAAAGGTCTATCGGAAGTGTCGGGATATTCAACTGTTCAATGGTGGAGCCGATCCATAGTCACGTGATTTACCATCACGTGACTCATCCTAGCGGCTCACTTACACCACTACAAATACCTACAGCAGCAACCTCTTCTCTTTTCCTTTATTATTATCTTTACCCTAGCTACTAATAGTTAATTAATACTATTATAGCTATCTTAATTATAATCCTTATAATACTAATACTAATTAGTAGTTAACTTTATAGTTACTACTACTATAAATTAGTAAGGATTATTAGAAGAGGCTATAATACTTTACTTACTATAGTAGCTTAGATTAAAGTATTAAAGTGCTACCTAGCCTAAAGATTATTAGTACCTAAGATCTTATAATACCTAGTAAATAACCCTTTAAGCCTTATGTTTACTATATAATAACTACTATTACTACTATTAACTTTATTACTTTTAGAGAAGTCTTTTCTTTTATATACTACTTACTTACTAATAACCTTTATAGTATTTAGTATAATTATCTTTTTTTTATACCTAAGTTTCTTTAAGTTCTTTTTTTTTTTATCTTTTAACCTTTTTTTCTTTTAATTATTAAGATTTTTATCTTACTAAGTTTTTATCTTACTATAGTAGTAACAGCCTATATAAGATTATAAGTAAATAGACTTCTATAAGTTCTTATCTAAATAAGATCTTATTAGTAGGACTAGCTATAAAGTAGTTAAGTAAGAACTACTTAAGTAATTTACTTTTAATATAGTATTTATAAATAAATAGCTTTTACTAACCTTACCTTTATATACTTCTAATATTATATTATTAGCTAGGTATAGCTTATAGTAATTATAACTTTTTTCTTTAACTAAATAGTTAGTAGCTAAGTGTTACCCTTAGTAAGTATGCCTCTTTTTATTCTTTAAGTAAGGTAAAAAAGGTAAAAGTTACTTATATTACCTTAATTTACTTACTTTTTTTTATCCTTTAAATACCTATTAATAACTATACTATCTTTTTTACTTTCTTTTTTTTTTAAGTAAGGTATAGTTATTAGTAACTAATATAACTTTTACTTAACTTTACTATCTTAATTAATTTAAAAAGACTACTTATTATTTACCCTTAAGTAAGGTATATAACCTTAACTTCTTACCTTTTTTTTTTAAAAAATCTTTAACTATAGTATCCTGCTTACTAAAAGGTAAGGTCTACGTATGTCTTTTTTTAGAGGCAGCGTGTGTCTCCTTATGTTTTTTAAGTAAGATCTAGCGTAAGGCCTCCCTAGAGCTATCTCTTTACGTTACTAAAGCATAAGGCCTCCCTAGAGCTATCTCTTTACGTTACTAAAGCATAAGGCCTTCTTAAAGCTATTTACTACTATCTATTTATTTATTATTTTATCCCTTTATTTACCTTATCTTTTACTTATACCTCCTTATATTATATTATTTATTTACTTATCTTATTATTATTTATACTAATAGTAGTAATTCCTCTAACATATAGATTTACCTCTAACCTTATAGGCAAGAAGTAAGTGCCTATAATTAAGAGGTTAGTAAGGCTAATAGAGGGTAATAGTAGTAAAAAAAGAACTAAGTAAAAGGTAAAGTAAACTATAGGCACTAGCTAGGGTAAAAAAGTATATCTATTTATAAGATATTAAGGATTTATATCCTATTCTAGAGCGTAGCTAGCCTTTTATTATTATATAACTATAAAGTATAACTAATTTAGCTAATATTCCTAATAGCCTTACCTAAGTTAAGTAATATAACGCCTTAAGCACTATTATTATACTTTAAATAATATAATATAGCTTTATATAGCTATATAGTTAATAGCTATAAAAATACGCTACTAAAGACTTTAAAGAATAGTTACTTAATACCTTTAAAAGTACTACTTATAAAACTATTATTAAATTTAGAGACTACTTAATATATAGGGGCATATAGGTATTAATAGTAAAGTTACTAACTATTACTAAATAAATCTACTATACCCTTAAGGCTAATAATCTAAAGGTGTAAACACTTAAGGATATTAAAGAAAAAAAAAAAAGGAGTAAGGATTTTTACTTAAAGATTAATAAACCTAACTTTATATAAGATATTATAAACCTACTACTAGAAATAATATTAATATAAGATTAACTAGGCCCCTCCTATATTATTACCCCCTTAGTATAAGTCACTTAAGTCTAGAAAGGTTAATAAAGGCCTATTAATCTAGCCTTATTATATAATAACCTAAATTTTATTTCTTTACTATTTAAGTAGGTAAGTAACGCTTACTCTTACCTATTAGTTACACTAGTTACTACTACCTTACTTATAACTTACTAGCTTACTAACCTTATTAAATTATACCTTAATAAGATAAAGTATAGTAAAGGGGTATATAAGTTACTTAAATTAAAGCTTATAATCTTTTATAACTACTATATAAAGGCTAAGATCTAGTAAAAGCACTTTATAAGCGCCTTTTTTATTATACTTAAAGGTAAGGCTATAAAGTACTATACTAACTATCTTTATAACTAGACTAACTTTATTACTATAGTTATATAAATAAGGGGTAATTTTAAGAATAAAGAGACCTTTTAGGCCTGCCTTACTAAGCTATAAAAGACTAATTTAATAAGGACTATCTTAAATAATCTAGACAAAAGTAAGGCTAAATGCCTAGAGTTACTTATTAAGAGAGTAACTACCCTTATAAGAATAGTTATAAGAATTAGTACCTTATCTAATATAGCCCTCTATAACTAATTACTTAACTCTTACTATAGGATAAAAGAATACTCCCTTACCTTTTTTAATCTATCTTTAATGTTTACTAGTGTATATAGCTAGCTCTAATTAGTAATTAGTAATATAATATAATTTAAATAACCTATATATTAATACCTAACTAAAGAAGTAGATAATTAATACTAGACTAACTATACCTATAACAGCTAGTAAAGTTACTAGTAATTTAGCTAACATAACTATAGCTATAGTAACTTTACACTATAGCGCCCTTTTAATAGTAATCTATAGTAATAAGCACCTCTTTTACCTTTATTATTATTTATAAAGAAGTGCTATATATATAGTAAGCCTAACTATTAGTTAATAAGGCACTTAAAAGACAAAAGGTAATAAGCCTACTATAAGTATAAAAAGTAGTATCTAATAGACTTTTTACCTAAAGCCTTTAACTACTTTATAACTAACTTTAAGGGATATAAGCTATTTACTTTAGATAAGGAAGGTAACTATATAAAGAGTAATAAAGATAAAGAATTAGGCACTACGTTTTATATATTAATAATATTCTTTAACTTATCTACTATTAATAGGCCTACTCTTTTTTTATTACTATATAACTAATTTATAACCTATTTTCTTATAAAAGATAACTCCTTATATAAGAATCTATATAATAATAAGCCACCTAATATAAATATCTTTACCTTTAATAAGTAATATTTATTTATCTTATTCTATAGCATTATACCTAACTTTAGTGTAGCTAAATATTTAACAGCTAGATATAAGTAGTATCTTACCCTTTACTACTAAATAAAAGGAAATCTAGCTATAGATAAGTTATAGGTAGGTAAAGTAAAAATCTGCTTTAGTAGTAGTAACTACTTTAAATTATAAGAGGTAATTAATATACTAACCCCCTTTAGTATACTAACCTTCTATATAATACTATTAAACACCTTATTTCTACTTTACCTTATAGATATAAATTAGTATAGTATTAAATTTAATAACCTTACTAATAAGCTAATTTAAGGTAACACTATTATACTTACTATCTATAAATAAGGCTATATATAGATACTACTTAATTAATATAAGTAAAGTATTACCTACTACTATCTTATAGATATTAAGTTATAGTAAATTTATTATTACTTTAGCTACCTATTAGTTAAAAGGCTTTATTACGTCCTCTAATAATCTAGTAATAAAGTTAAGATTACAGCCTTAAAGAAATTAACTAAGGTCTACTACTACTACTAGATAAATATAAAGGCGCCTAGTTACTTTAAATTCACTTTATGTAATAATAAATATAACTTTAACTATAAGATTATTATTAATATTATCTACCTTAATAGTAACTACCTAGCCTTATATATAGTTAATACTATAATATCTTTTTAAGCAGCCTATTTACTTAAAAACATTACTATAGAGTATATATAGGAGGCACTTTAGATATACTAAATTAACGTCTACTTTAGCCTACCTAACTAGATTATTACTAATACTAGCCTAAACTTTTATACTAGTAAATTTAAGCAGTTAGTAAGGTTACTTTATATTAACATTAAAGAAATACTAATTAAAGCCTATAATAGTATTAGTAAGGTTAAAAGATACTATATACCTCTTTAATATATATATAATATCCTCTATAGTAAGGGCTATACACCTAAGGTTACCCTTTAGCTAGCTATTAAAGTAATTAATAATATAGCTAGCCTAAATAGCCTAGTACTTACGCTACTAGTCTTTAGCGCCTACCTATAAATCTCTAACTTATTACTACTTTTACTAACCTTACTTAAAAAGGCTAAAGTAGTAAGAAAAATAATAAAGGCTATTTACTAGATCTATATAAAAAAGTAAGTTAATAAGGTAGTAACTATATATAACAGCCTAAATACTACTATAATAGTAGCCCTTCTGCTTTAATTTATAGTCTATATCTAGTATAAGAAAAAGGGCTAGTAAGGCCCTTTTTACCTTATTACTAGTAATAAGACTACTTATACTATTAACCTCCCTTAAGGCCTATAAACTTTTTATTTAACTATTATTAAACTATACCTTAAAGATATTTATAATAAGTAATAATAGCTACTCTCTAAAGTAAGTAGGTAAGGTAATAAAGAGAATAATAATAATAGTATAGTAGCCCTATTACTTACTAACGTCCTTACGCCTACTAAAGAAATATAAGATAGTATTACTATTACTATATACCTATAGCTAAGGTAAAAAGCTAGCTGCTTATAGAGGTATATTAATTTTTTTAATAAAACTAGCTTTACTATTAGGCTTACTACCTTCTTTACTACTATAAGTATAGTATACGTCTTAATAAAAGAAGAAGCTAACTAACTATTATTAATTAAACTATAAAAAAAGGGTATTATTACTACCTTAAGAAAGCCCTTTAAGTAAGTAACTACTACTAAGATTAAAGGGCTTATTACCTATAGGGTATTTTACTTTATTTAATATAATAAGAATAAGTATACTAAAATATAAATATTTAAATTATAGATTATTAATAAGGTAAAAGGCTAAAATAAAAAACTATATAAGAAATCCTGCCTAGTTATCTAAGGATATACTAATAATAGTAAAAAAGTAATTCTTACCTAGTTACTTATAATCTAGTAAGCTAGCTAACGCCTTATTTTTACCTTTACCTTATCTCTTATTTATAATAATAATAATTTCTTACTTTAGTTATATAATATTACCTAGGCGTATATATAGTTAACTACCCTATTAAATTATATAATTCTTATACGCCTTTTATTATAAATATAAGACCTCTATCTAAAGGGCACTATTATATAAGTAGTAAAGCTATTATATAGTATTATAAAGGCAGGCACCTACTAGTAAGTAACATATAGTTACTACTATAAAGAAAAGCTCTAGATAAAGACTTTAACCTTTAATCTATACCTACTAATTACTAATATAGAGAGCCTAGACTTTAGGATTATTAGTATATAGACTAATAATACTATTACCCTTTTAGATAAATCTTTTTCTACCTATAAGGCTAATAAGCTTACTAAGGCTATATTTACTACTAAGGAGAAGTAAATCCTTACTATTAATAACCTACTTACTTTTAATAGTAGTGTAGTATCTCTAACTACTAAGGGGAAGCTTTTTTTCTAATAAAAAGGCTAAGGTAAGAGACTTTAACTTATTAATAAAGAATCTCTATAAGCACTTAAGTAGTATGTTAAGTAATAGGCCTATAGTATATATATTACGTTAGTCTACTAGCCTAAAGCGTACTTTAACTACTTTATTATAGTATAATACTAATTACCTAACGTAAATAAGATTAAGGCACTTAACTATTATATTATATAGTAAATAAATAACCTTAACTATAGTTTATTATTTTATTTACTTAACCTTAAATTTATAAAGCTTTTTATTTTTATAAATAAATTATTTATAAATAATAAAGACTTTACTTTATAGCTAGGATTTATTATTATTTTTACTAATAAGGCACCTATAAGTACTACTATAGGTAATAAATTTACTATAACTAGTAATATTATTTACTTTAGCTTAATAAAGTATAAGTAAGTTACCTAAAGTATACTAGCCTTTAAGATCTATAGTATAGTTACTAGCACTAATATTACTTATATACTTAGTATAACTATTATAATAATTACTAACTGCCTTAAGCTACTATATATACTAATAATCCTTTATACTAACTTATACTTACTTTATAAGTACCTTATTAAGCTTAAGACTATAAAAAAAAAAGGCTTATAATTAAGATTATAGCCCTTTAGTAGTTATATAAGTAATATAAGGTCTATAAGGTATAATAAATATAAAGTAATAATAATCCTACTAATAGATTTACTAAATTATTACCTAATAAGGCACTAGAATAACTAGTTAGAAATAGGATAGTTTAGATTAGTATAAAAGAATAAGTTTCTTAAGCTATATAATAGATTATATAAATAAAAAGTATTAAATACTTTTAGGCTTTTGATTTTTATTACGTTTTTAAGCTTTTTAGCTACTAGGTAGTATCTAGGCTATTTATAGTAATTTTTCTTTACTTTAGAAAGTTACTAGTGTTAGGATATTTAACTATTTAATAGTAGAGCTAATCTATAGTTACGTAATTTACTATTACATAACTTATCCTAGCGGCTTACTTACACCACTATAAATACCTACAGCAGTAACCTCTTCTCTTTTCCTTTATTATTATCTTTACCCTAGCTACTAATAGTTAATTAATACTATTACGGCTACCTTAATTGCGATCCCTGTGATACTAACAGGAAGGCTTTCACCGCTGTGCCGAGGGTGGCTAAGGGCATCAGCCCCCTGGTGCTTATTAAAGAGCTGCCAGCGAAGAGGAATCCCCGGTTGCCGTCGTGGGTTCCTGATTTCCAGTTAGACGCGGAAGCTGGGAGCAACAGTTTTGATTCGTTGTCGGATCCCGTTTGGACCGGAACGAGAAAATGTTTTGATGCGTCGTCGTCGTCGTCGTCGTCGTCGTCGACAACGACTACGGCCGATGACCTGCAGTTTGAAACCAAGACCGACGACTCGATACTCGTCGTGCAAGGGATGGCGTTGGACAGAATCAAAGTCGGCGCCAAGAGCCCGGGTTGGAGCTCGTGCCGTTCCACTCGCGAGGCCCACGGGTTGTGGAAACAAGCGATACGGGCATGTTTGCGTCGTTGGCGGAGCATGATTGCCCAGGGAGATGGAGACTATCTCAGGGGAGATTATGAGAGCCGCTGCGTTCGATAAAACACCCTGCCTGACGTTCGAGATAGAGTAACAGAGTGCTTGTAGCAAATCTGCCCAAGGCTACGCCGAACACCTTGTTTATTATAAAAGTTTCTACAGTAATGCAGAAGTGAGCACCCAACAGATATAACGTTTCCCTGTTTCTTAGAAAACTTGGCACTAGGGCTGTGACCGGCTCAAGCGCGCTGCGTTCTACACTTCTGTATATGCATGTGCGATGCTCTTAAGGAACGACGCCTCTGCATTGGGCGGACGTCCTGGTCTATTTATTGTGTCTATCATACATGGCTTATATTACAAGCAGGGCCAGCACAGCTGGACCACAAGCACCCCACGCACGCGCCGTCGCCTTATTTCACAGCATAGCTGACCTTGGAGTTCCCCTTGCTCCTCGAGATCTTCTTCACCACCGTCTCCCCGCACAGGTCGGTGGAGTCGACGTGGGTGCCGCCGCAGGGGTAGACCTCGGCGCCGACGATCTCGACGACGCGGAACTTCTCGCCCGGCGGCGCGGGGCCGCGGGCGGCGGGGATCAGGCGCTCGAGCCCGCGGCGGCGGAACTCGTCCTCGTCCCAGAAGTCGACGCGGACGGGCATGGCGGCAGCGACGTAGGCGTCGACGCGGGCCTGGATGGGCGCCTTCCAGCGGCCGTCGATGGAGCCGGCGAACTCGCACGAGCGGCGTCGGGGAAGTGCGAGGGCCTTGAGCTCGTCGAAGCACTCGACTCGGCCTCGAGCAGGTGCCGCACGG